AACAATTAGCTATCCTTTGTTTTGCTGTTTTTTAAGGGCCTAACTTATATACAATAAAATAGAAAAGATCTTAAGTGTTCAGTTTCATGAATTTTGACAATGGTACACACCTATGTAACTACCACCCCATATGAGATGTTATGTTCATCACTCCCCGAAAGATTCCTTCTTCCATTTCCTGTCAAATCTTCTCCCACCCCCAAGGCAACATCCTGACCTGTATTATCATCGTATGGTTTTGTAGCATAGTTTTGTGCCTTCTTATGCTTCATGTAAATGGGACCACCACACAGTATCTATTTTTGGTTTGGTTTCTTTAGCTTCGTATAATACTTTGAGATGTATCCATGTTATTGAGTGTATCAATAGTTCCTTTCTTTTTATTGCTAAGAAGTCCAGTGTATAAATACACTAAATTCATCCATTGGGTTGTTTCCAGTTTTTTTATTACTATAAATATACTGTTATGAACATTCTTGCACAAGTGTTTTTATGAACATATGTTTTCCTTTTTATCAGGTAACTAGTAGCAGAATAGCTGAGTATATTTAATTTTATAAGAAACTGCCAAATGCTTCTCCAAAATGGTTGCACTAGCTATGTTTCTAGTGAAAAAAATTCTTATTTCCCCTACTTTACATTTAATACTTTACATTTACATTTAACATTTATATGTTGCCTGAATTAATCCATGATTTTCCCAAAGTTCCCTAGCAACTAGTTAACAGATAGCCCAGGTACTGGGAAAATATGACTTGACATAGAGTAGTTTCTGGAGCTCTCATTGGCTATCAAATGGTGAAGGTTTTGTTATAAATTCTCACTTCTTTTTGAAGGTGAACAGGGAGCTGAGACCTCTGTTCTCACAGTCATACCTTGAAAAACATTCCCAGCACAAAAATCTAAAATGTGAGATAAGATATATTTAAAAATTTAAAAATACGTAGTTGAACTGATGAGAAAACTTTTCAAAGGGGGAAATGACTAGAAATTACAAATCCAGATGGGTAAGCAACAGTGAATAAATTGTTCACCTCAGGAGCATCTATCAATTCCTGGTGCCTTAGCGTCTCAGTTTCACTGTGTCGTAGTGGGGGACAGAAGCTAAGTATAAGAGAGGGACACTAAAAGGTAAATACAAGGGTTGTTTCCAGTTCTTAGTTATTATAAATAAAAAAGCTGGCATGAAAATTCATTTAGAAGTATTTGTGAGAACATATGATTTTATTTCTCGTGTGTAAATTCCTAGGAGTAGAATTGTTGGGTGATATGGTAAGTTTATGAGGTCTGGCCATAAAAAGTCCAGCCATTGTTAATATAACAAGAACAGTTTGCGCAACATCCATGTAACCTGACAGGCAAGGAGCATGGACTGTAATCTGCATGTGTGAACAATGATGACTTCACTGTACTAGTCAGTGGGGGCAGTAGGCACCATTGAGTGAACATGTGTACTGTGTGGCCATTGCATTCAAAATGACTGAGCAAATAGAGCAAAGGATCTGCCAAGAATTTTGCATTAAGCTTGAACATTTTTCCGTGAAAACTATTTGGATGATTCAGAAGGCTGTAGCCATGGGCAACTGACAAGTCAAAGCTTTATTGCAATAACACGCCTGCTCATGCATCATGTCTCATGAAGATTTTTTTGGTAAAACATCAAATCACCCAGGTGATTCAGCCCCCTCACAGCCAAGATTTAGTGCTCTGTGACTTCAGTCTTTTCCCAAAACTAAAATTGCCTTTGAAAGGGGAGAGATTTCAGACTGTCAATGAGATTTAGGAAAATAGAACAGGGCAGCCAGCTGATGGTGATTGGGAGAACCGTTGAGGTCCCAAGGCTCCTAATTTGAAGAGGACTAAGGTGACATTGTCCTATGTACAATGTTTCTTGTATATTGTATCTTCTTCAAGAATATCTCTATTCTTCATATTACATGGCTGGATACCTTCTGAATAGACCTCGTATATTTAACTTAAAGAAAATGAAAATTTGTTTTCCAAAGTGGTTGGACTATTTTACATTCCCACCATGTATGAGAGTTATAGTTCATAGCGGCATTATTCAAAACTGCAAAAAATAGAAACAGCTCAAATATTCACTGTCAAAGAATGAATTGTGGTATACTCATCGAAATGAATACCACAAATAATTCACTACAGCAACATGTAAAAACATGACTAAAACATATTAAGTGAAAAAGCCATAAATGAACACATACTCCATATTCCATATCAGTATATTTCATATATATGTACACATTTCTAAAATATATTAAATAAAGTCATGTTATTTAGGAATACATACATTTTGGAAAGACTCTACGATAAGCAAAGGGGCGATAGCCACAAAATTCATGATCGTGGTTAACCTCTGGGAAAGAAGGAGTGTGTAGGGATAAGGGCAGGGTGCCTCAACGATGTTGGTAATATCCTCTTATTTCTTAATCTGCGATAGACACACGGTGTTTATTTTTATTATCCTTTAACTGACACCAATTTTATATATGCTTACATATGATTAGTTTATAATAAAAGTTAAAGAATATAAAGGTAGTTCATGTTTCTTTGTTTTTCTTTAAAAAGAAAAAAATAACTGACTTGGGCATTGGTCTTATACTATAATGTATTTTCCTAAATCTATTTAGTAGTCTATATACTTTCTCTGAGAGATTACATTCTTAGTAGTGGAGTAATTCTGGAATGCATTTCTATCTCTGGGAGTGAGAATTTAGATATCTGATTCTCAGCAATATTAATGGCAGTAGATAAATTCATAAATCCTTCTTTATGGAGATGAGAATATAGCCCACCTGATAACAAAACTGATTGAGTAGAATTCATTTATTTCTTAAAATTATACCAGGTAAAGAGATGCCCTCTATTTATTTTCCAATTGAATTATTTAAAACTAAGTTTTAAAAAACACAAAATGACCTCATTAGCCAAATGTAAAGGATATATCGTCAATTTTAGAAAGCCCAGTTGGTCACTTATTGGATAAGATTGCAATATTGTCAGTAAAAATTCCTCCATCTGGCTTCTATGTCACAGCATAAGAATATAAGTTCAAAAAGTGGAAGGTTTCATAAGATAAAAATTCTAGCGAGAAAAGTGGAAACCTGGCAAGAAATGTTTTTCATATATTTTAGTAATACAAAAAAAGTGACAGAGTTCCATCAGATGGTGCATTTCTATCTCTGGCCTGGTACAATATTTTAAAAGTAGTTATTATTTGATTGTAACTTTGTTTATAGGTAAATTATAAAATTGTGTATTTGAGTTAATTACCACCCCTCAAAAATTTATAGCATCTCAGGTATGAAATGTCTTTGTAGCTGGAAATCACATGTGAATTATTACAGAAGCAATTATAAATGTATAGAGTAATAAGCTCTTAATTTATTAAATAATAAAAATATAATCATCATTAATGAAACACCTGAATGGTATTCTTTTTTGTATGTCTAACATACAAATTCCACAAGCAAAAATAAATTTTAATGTCAATCAATAGCTTGCTTTTCTTTTAAATTTGAATCAAGATGTATGACTAGAAGAGGCAATTCTAAAAAATGGAGTAATTCTTCTACTGTGTGCCACATTATTTAGAAAATTTTAAAAATATATTTTGCCCTATATGATTATATGAGAAATGGTAAAGAAAAACATATAAAGGTGGATTTGAGCATGTTATTTATTTTCTTATACTAGCAAATGAATGACAGATTGGGAATATCTGACAGAGAGGGTACCTATTCCTTGGGTGATCATTATGTCTACGTAGGGATTCCCAGTTTTTACATAGTGAGCTTTAATTACTTGTGGACTATGGGTTTTCATTTTAAATAATATACATTTGTACACATTTCAAAAGAGTTTTCATGCTACTATAACCCCACGAGGTCAGCAGGATCTAGAGTTATTATCCTTATTTTGCTGATGAGAAAATGAGATTCATGGAGATGAAATTGTTCAAGTATCTTGGCACTAGAGTCTTTGTTGTTTTGAACTTAGTGTTTTTTCTGTTTATACCATCATTTCCATATCTGATGTTTGTCTTCAGACAAAAATACAAATTATGTCACCCTGTTAAGTTACACCCTGTTAAGTTACATCTTTGGGGGTTCAGGTAGGTTGAACCAAGGCCACCCAAACATATTAGGTGCTAATCCCTAGAACCTGTAAATGCTACCTTATAAGGAAAAAGGTCTCTACAGATGTGATTAAGTTAAGGGTCTTGAGATGGGAAGATTATCCTGCAACGTCTGAGTGAACCCTAAATCCAATCACAAGTGTTCTTATAAGAGAGTGGCACAGGGAGATTTGACACCGAGGAGAAGGCAATGTGGCCACACTGGCTAAGTTTGGAGTGATACAGCCACAAGCCAAGGAATGCCAGCAGCCACCAAAAGCTGGAAGAGGGGCAAAGAAGAGACTCTTCTCTAGGCCCTCCCGAGGGAGCGCAGTCTTGCAGACACCTAGATTTCAGACTAGTAAAACTGGTGTTAAACTTCTGGCCTGCAGAATGTTAAAAGAATGAATTTCTTGTTTCAAGCCACCAAGGTTGTAGTAACTTGTTGCACAGCCCCCGGAAACATTATAATAGAGATACCATTCATGTTTTTATTCCCTGTTCTACTCCATGCAATTGACTTGAACATCTAGTGTAGCACAGACAAATTCAGAGAACCTAAGTTTGTCTACTAAAACTTTCCCAGGAGAGAGAATAGTTAAAATGCTAGGATTTCCAAGCACTTCTCTACAAGGACTGTTGGCTGAAAATTAATATGGAATGTTGATAAATCTTAAAAAGGAATATTTAAATGAGGTAACTACTGTTAATTCATGTAAAAACCAAGTCTTGTCATTGGTAAGCTAAAATGAACTGAATCTGCCTAAGAAAAACTCGGAGCTTTTATTGTGTACTTATTTGAATGACCAAAATTCAAAATTTCATAGTAAAGGAAGTTGTTGTGTTTTTTTTTTTTCCTTTATAGGGAACATACTGGAGTTATCATGTCTGGAAGTACGTTTACAACCTAATCTCACCTATTCACTCTCTTCCTTAAACTTTTCTCTTGTGACTTTTCTGGAACCAGTAAGGGAAACTGAGACCATAATGAGAATATTTCTAAATCACTCGAACTTTCAGAACTTCACCAGGATGTGCCAAGACATCACCAGTGAATTTACAATGTGCTCCTTGTGTTTGGTTTGTGAGTCCGAAGGGAACAAGGATTTTATTTCTCAGGAACAAACATCCAAAGGTAAATGCAAAGGGAGAGTGAGAATAAAATTTATTGAGGATAAATGACATTACTCTGTTATGAAAGATATTAATAATATATTATAATTTTGAGTCCACTGGCATTGGAACATGCCCATGGGCAGTTCTTGATGAGAGACTTGCAGGGCTTTGGGATATTACTTGTTCTTGTGTTTTGATTTATTAAAAATAAAGTATCTATTCTGAAAATATATCAAAATACCACTGTAATTCACATTCATTTAATGGTTAAAAATTATTTAACATGCTTTTTTCCAAAGGCACTGAATTTAAAGAAAGGAATTTAAAAATATGAATTTAAAAAATTCTAAATAAACTTCTAGGTTTTCATAGTAAAAAAAAATTACACTTTGATTCTCTAAAAGAGTCATTGAATTCTTGATACATTTGTAACTACCCATATTTTGCCATGTATAATGCATACTTTTTGTCCAAATTTTTGAGGGGAAAATAAGGATGTACCTTATACATGGGTAGTACTAAGTTGTTACCAGTACATAAAATTTCTTGTATCTTACATCTGTTCTTGTGTTTTGTTATTATTTGTTACATAAAATTTCTTGTACCATAATATGTTCAAAATACATGTTAAAATTCCTTTATAATACAAAAGAAAATGTCTAAGTATAAATAAATAAATAATTGAATTAAAAAATTAAAGTTTGGGCCAAAACTGTGGGTGTGCAGTATACACGGTAGCACATTATACATGGCAAAATATGGTACTTCTGCTTAACATTTATCCACTGCATATGAGTTGTCATTTTACTTGTCTAACTATCCAATGAATCTCTTGATAGTAAGGACTTTGTCTTTGTTCACTAGTATATTTCTATATCTCAGAATGTGATATTTGAACACAGGGTTGTTGCCAATATAATTAGTTAAGATGAAGTCAGCAGGGTTACCCCCTAATCCAATACGCATGGTGTCCTTTTAGAAAGCAGGAATGTGGACATAGGCACAGAGGGAGAGTTCCAGGTGTAGTTAAAGGCAGAGATCAGAGTGATAGTTATACAAGCCAGGGGACCCCAAGATTCCCAGCAATCCCCAGAAGTCAACAGGGAGGCATGGAACACACCTTACCCTTATAGCCCTCAGAGAGAAGCATCTTGGCCAGCACCTTAATCTTGAAAGTCTATCCTCTAGAACTGTGAGACAATAAATTTCTGTTGCTTAAACAACCCAGTTTATGGTACTTCATGATGGCAGCCCTAGAAAACCAGTATAGTATGGGATGAGAACTACTGTTGTGACAATTTTGAAAAATAAGATCTGTTCCACAAATTGTCATAGAAATATCTGTGTTTTCTTTGAGATGCTCTCATCTATTTCAACCTTGCTGCCCCTTGGTTTTCACAGTCTTACAAAATGTAAATCATTACTTTTAATGCAAGTAACTTCTTGGTTCTTTTTTTATGTGGGAAAGAAGAGATTTAGTTTTGAGTTGTATTGTTTTTTCACTATGTACTATTTTGTGAATAACATTTACTTAATGTCTCTATAGTTCTTATCATGAGAGGATCCATGGAAGCAAAGGAAAATGATTTTCATTCACCTTGTCAACAATTTAACTTCACTGTAGCCCCTACAGTTGACCGCATGGAGGAATATAACATTACCTGTAATCTAAAAGCAAACACTAGAAGTTCAGCAGTCATGGAAGAAGATCCAACCAAGGCAAAGTCTATGAACCATACTTGTAGAATCATGAATTACCCAAATAATTGTACACACATTTCCTTGCACCTAGAAGTGGATGTAAAAAGTAAGTTGGAAAGGAAATTAGAGGGAAAAGAGAAATCATATAAGGGCTATCACATTAACCTCAGTGAAAGTCAAATAGTTGAAGAATTTTGTTGATGAAATAGTATGGCGGGAAAAGTATTAGCCTTTTTTCTGCTTTTGTTTTCCATTTCAATTTTTTCAGTTTTTCAGTTTGTGCATTCATGGGGTCCCAACTATACCTGGAGGCAGAAGAGGCATCTATGGGTTGTGGTTTGAGGGTCATTAGAAAGATGCTCTGCCCTAGGATAAATTTTGAACATGCCTTTAGCTGTGCTTGAAGTCATACTACTACACTTGGGTATGAAAGAGTGAGATTTATTTTTAAATGTAAATATCCATGTACATTGTGGTATGCTATTAAAATCTTATTTTGAATTGATTTAACATGTCTTCTCTTAGAGCTGAGAACCAGGTCTGGATTCATTGGGGTTTTTGATGTAAAGCCGAGAAGATAGGCAGCATCCAGATTAGGCACTTTGGGTTACTGGATGACTTCTGGGGAATATAGGAGCCCCAAAGACAAAACTTACATATATTTTAGTTCTGTTTAAGGCTGATTAACTTTCTAGTCACCCTCTTCTGAATTTCCACAACTGATTCTTTTCTACTAAGCAGTGTACCCTCACTTCCCCCACAATACCTACTCTTGAAGAGCATCTATAATATAGCCATTGAATGGGCGCCTGCCATATGCCAAGCAGTGTGCCAGACATTGGAGACACGAAGACAGATGGATGTAAAGCAACCAAGCAAGTGCGTTGAGCACCACAGGTGCCATGGCAGAGCAATTTGCTGTGCTTCCGGAGGGTCTAGACATGTGAGAGCCTTTCAGATGGCTTTAGAATGGTGCTCTAAGACTTCAGTTTTGAGGCAACTATTTTTTTTTAATTTTATGTTTATTTTAAAGCAAACAAAAATACATAATATGTATGCATTTTTTAAAGTAAAATACATGATTTTGGAGAAATGTCTCCTGTGAGTTAGTTTGCCCAGGGCCCTACAGCCTCTGTGCTTGGGAGGTATTTCAAAATGTGTGGGTGTGGGTGGAGCATCGGGAGCATGTGAGAAAGCCGATTCCCTCTGGTTCAGGAGTGAGGCTGGAAGGTAGGTTTTGGAAAGGTTGCCCAGGGAAGGTGACTATGATAAACTCTGAAAGATAATGAGGTTTGGATTATAGATACTAAAACATTTATTTTAATGTGCATTTATGTATCCATTTAATTATATTTTTTATTTCCTCAAACATAAAGGGAAAAGAAGCATTTCTATTATGATTTTAAGAGGATTTATTTTTGTTAGTGGGAAAATCCATAAATCCTAGTCAGAGTGAAATGGTAGTTAATTTCTTGGGTTCATAATTCAGAAGGATAACAGGGATGCACAAATAGGTAGTCCTGTATTCTGGAAAAACTATATCCCTTTTGCCTTGTGTAGAAGATTCAAGAATTATTCGTATTATCCTCTGATGTGCAAAGACTAATGTGATCTTCTTTAAAAGCCCTATCCACCAGGGGATGATGCTAAATTTAGTCCAGTCTGGTAACTTTACTCTGAAACAATAATTTAAACTGTCTCTTTAGACTTTTTTCAGGTTCTTGCCTGGTTCCCCTTAGTTCTCTCCAAGATGGCAGCATGGATCTGGGGAGACACATGGCCCGGCCTTGCCCCACTTGTGCACATTCCGCTCTTGCGTTATCAAGTTGGTGAATGCGTGGTTCTTTTCCTAGCTTGATCAGTGCCCAGTGACACCTTGGTCATGGGACCCAACTTGACTCTTGCTGGCACTGCAAATCTTCTATTCCAATTAACTGCCTGCTTTTATCTTGCTGAGTGAGAAATGCAAGTTTGGCAGCTGGCTCTCATGGAGCGATACTGAGGAGGCCGAGTGCTGCCATCCCAGGCAACTTTTCCCCTTTTCTCTGCTCAGCCTCTTCTCTAAATGAATGTTGACTGCTTATGTAATGAACATTTGCCCGTGGACAGAGGTCCTGTGAAAGGAGCACCACAGGCCAGCCATCCAAGGATGTAAACAAGTTATGTATCTTGCTGAGTTGAATAAGGATTGGCTGTGTTTTGTGTACAAGGAAGAGGGGACAGAGGATGGCTTAAAAAGTCAGTAGACACTTGTGTCTCAAACATGATGAGGTTTTCTTTATGGGACTAAAGGAGACCATGCTAAGCTATTGAGGGATGGTGACCACCCTCCCCATGTTACCTCACTGTCATTTGAATGAACAAGTTTTTACTTATATATTCATTATATAGAGGCTGGGATAACTGCATGTGTAATTAATGCGTGCATTTGTTCTGATCATCGCCACAAGAGCCTCTGTGAAAAGGGGTTCTGGTTTTTCACCTGCCCTGGCCTCTTTCACCTCTTCTGCCTCAGCCTAGCCCTTTCTCTTTGTCTGCCTTTCCCTATCTTCCCCATCCTCCTCATATGCAAGGCATCTTTGTTGATTGAGGATATAATTTTTGGCTGCTTGGCTATATTGTGGTCTTAACCTAGTGATAGAAATGATAGTGAAATTAACACCAGCATAATCCATAAGTGAAATTAACCCTAGAATTTTGGGCCAGAGTGGATTCCTAGAAGCCATCCAAGCAACTTTCCTCATTTAATATCAGGGAAAAATTCAGGAGAGCAAGTTACTCTAGAAAGTGATGTTATATACTATTTAGCTTTTTGGTTAAGGGCAGAATATGTAGTAGAACCCAGCTACACCACCACATAGCCTCTTATCTGTTGCATCATTTTATTATATGTTTATAGTATATTTTTCTTTGCAGATTTCTATTGTTCAATGAAGATCACTTGGTATACTTTAGTAATATTAGTTTTTGTATTTTTGATCATCTTCACTATCTACAAAATACTTGAAGTCCATAGGCAAAGACAGAAATGGCGGAGTAAGTATTGAGAAATAAATCCATCATTTCAGATATTCCATTTAGTTTAAGGAACTCCTAATCTTATCTATAGATTCAATTTCTTTTTAAAATTTAATTTACCATTTATTGAGTATATACTGTGTATAAGTAGTGAGTATAAGCATAAATAAAACAAATGCCAGCATTCAAGAAGAATCATGTATGTTTTTCCTACTCAGACAAGTGAACAGGAGGAGAAAGAAGACTGGGTGAATCAAAAGCAGTTGATGGACTGATGTTTGAGCAAGAGCTGAGTGGAAAAGAGAGGCAGAGGAATAGAGAGTGATGATAAAGAGTTTCAGAGTTGGAGATCTTGAGCAGAGTAGCTCCAGGTGATGAATGTGAGTAGGAGCCAGTCTTAAATGAGTGTGTGAGTAGATTTGTGGCTGGGCTAAGTTAAAATGTAGAACTGGAAATCAGGATAATAGGGATAATATTAAAAATATTTAATAATGAATACGATGCTCACCTGCCAGGATGGACACTGACTGTTCATATTGCTGCGGCCCCACTGGTGTGTGCCCCAGCATATATCTGCCCTGCTGGTGTGTACCTACCCATCTGGTGTGTACCCACGCATCGGCTGGCTTAATATCAGGCCTGATCGAAAGGAACTGGTCTTGTAAAGGCAAGAGAAAAATGTATCACAAGGAAATTAGACTTTGGAGATAGGTGGATATATTAGAATCCTAGTACTACCACTTACAAGTTGTGTGACTTTGAGCCAGTTGCTGATTGTATCTGAGTGTCCCTTTCTCCTCTGTAAAACAAAGCTCATCACCATTACCACCCAGGGCTGTTGTAAGGATTGAACTAAAGAGATCACATAAGAAATTTAACACAATGTCTAGTGTATGGTAATGCTCAATAAAGGAGGGTGGTATTGTGATGCTTGGATTATTGCTCAAGGCTCTTCTGTTCTTTACTGGGCAAGGCTGTTGTTAGTCATTTCAGCAGGCCAAACAAATGGTTGCCTCTAGGTTTGAATGAAAGTGCCATTAATTCTTTCAGCTAAGTATTTGTTGCAGATATTTCTGAGGACAGTTTCATATCAAGTCTTGTTGTTGATACCTTAGTATATAAGACCCCTTAATGCATTGGTTACTAATCATAATATTGTATATTTGTAGAATAATCATTTTCATAAGATTTTGTCAAAGTATGAAAACAGGTTCTGTACTATTATTTTTATTTTATAGATGAAAAAACTCATCAGAGAGGTTAAGTTTTTTTGTCCAAAGTTATACAGCTAATAAAATGTCAGCATAAAGACCCAGGGTCTCTCTAGTTTTGAAAATTATATTATTTTAAGTAAATGTATGTTATTTGCAAATAGTGCTTAGTTTTGAGTTTTTTAATCATTTCCCCCATATAATTACATATTAAGAAGGAGATAGAGAAACCAGAATGAAAATGTGTCTAGAAAGAGACGAATAGTGGGAAGTGACATTAGGTTCTTAGGAACATCGGGCTACATGACAGGTCTCATAGCTTCCAAAGGCTTGCCTTACAAATCCACACGTATACAGTAATGGAAAATGTCACATCATTTAAGACATTAAATATTATTAAATACCAACTATACATTAAATATTCTGTGTATTATATCTATATTTAGATAAATAATACAACATTCTATATATAAGCACCAGGCATTCCCTAAGAGGAGACGGCACAATGACATTCATGGCAGAGGAGATGCCACTGTTTTTAGAAAGACTCGGCATTTGTTAATGAAAACTAACTTAAGGAAAAGCTCTGAGTGTGTTGCCATTCCAGGCCCTGTTGTGAGTGGCCCATTTTCCCTGGTAATTCTTTGAATCAACATGGGGAATATATTTTAAGAATGTGTTTGTTTATCATCTAACTATTTAATTTCTTTTCTTGGAATAGGTCATAAATACAAACCATCTGTTCTTTTACGAAAGAGTGATTCTGAGAAACTTCCAACATTGAATGTGCGGGCTGTTTCAGGTGAGTTCTGTGACAGGCAAACAGAATACTGCTTAGGAAATTCCAAAGCTTCACTGTTGCAATATAAACTCAAGATCATGAGGTCTGTGCTCATTTAAATTAGTCTTGTATCTGCAAAAATGGTACGATGGGCAAATGATACCTAGTTTAATATGTCTTATTATCAGGGGACAGTTACAATCAAAACTGCCTCCTTAAATAATGGAAAGTTTGCTCAATTGGCAAGAAGAAATTCATGTGGGTAGGCAGAGAAGAAAAAGCAATTGGGAATAAGTCTCAGATTTATTTTTAAATGAGACAAGATACCATTATTCCCGAGTTGCAAGAAGTAATTGCAGAGCGAACATGACTTCTGCTGGAGCCTTCACTAAGCAGAGGGTGTCATTGTGTAAAGAGAGCTTCTAATAGTCCCAATTAAAAAGTCGCCTGTCCTCTCTCGAAAAACAGAAGTGGAATCAGGGAATGCTAATGAGAACAGCAAGGAGGCTGCTAGCCCAGATGCTGGGGCTCCATCTCCTTCTTCAAACTCTAAAGCCTGTTTCTGAATTTAAGCCATCGAATCATATTTAAAAAGACAGAGAGGGAGAATCCGACATGGGCAAAGGGCTTTTCTTTATCAGGGAAAAATACTGTCCTTGAGTCTTTGAAAATCACAGAATGATGAGTGGTATTCCTACAGCTCCTCATGCACAGCTAGTAAGCAGGCTTCTTTGTACTGGGTGAGAAGTGACAGAAAGAAACTTCATGTCTGGTGTGTAAACTGTTTTCAAACATGAAAGAAAATTGAACAAATCTTGAGGCCCCACCCCCACCCCCTGCTGCATCTGTAGCCATGTGAAGATTTGCATGGCATTTCATTGGGTTCTATGCTCCTGAGACTTTCCCTAGCTATTTAAATTATCAGGTACTCAGCCCCTCAGCTGGAGGAAAAATTGGATTGGGTGCACCTAAAGAGCTCACTTTTATTTTTTTTTTAAATTAGATTTTCTATTTTCAGCATTAGCAGCAAAATTATTAACCTATGGTTAATCAGTCTTCGCTAAATAGTCATTGGATACTAGCTAAAGTAGGGGAAAGCTAATGGAAATTTTGGGTGCTCAGTGACAATTTTGTTTGGTTAATGAAATAAAAATCACAGGATTGTTTCCAAAGGCAAAAATTACTTCTTTAAATCCTCACCTGAGGACATTTTTTCATTACTTTTAGAGAGAGAGGAAGGGAGAGAGAGAGAGGAACATAGATTGATTGCCTCCTGTGTGCGCCCTGACTGGGGATTGAACCACAAGCTTTTGGTGTACAGGACGCCTCTCTGACCAACTGAGCCAGGGCTTAAAATTAATTTTCAAAGGGAGAGAACAGTGGTGTCCCCTCTTATACAGTACATGCACCTGACATCTGTGCACCAGGAACGTTTTAACCTGCCTCTGTAGGGCTTTTTTGGTTGCCTTAGGGTATCCCATTCCTTTCTCTTTTCAAGTCATAATTTTGGGCACTGCAGCCTTGTCTGAGGAAAAGTCAATAGTTCCCCTGTCAACAAAGGTAATCAGGGGAATTACAAATTTAAAGTTCTCGCTAACCACAAGACTAACCTCGCACGACGTATTTATGAGCCTGTGATTTTCCTTCACCAGAGAAACCTGCCTCGGCCGTCCTTTCCCTTTAATAGCCCTCACTAAAAATCTCTGGCTTTATTACCAGGCATATAATATGAATGTGTAGAGCATGCCAAGGGATGGTGGCCCTTTTTTAAAAAGGAGTCCTTTTGAGGTTTAGCATCTTAAAGGGGATAAAAAGCAGGTTCTTTCTCATTATTTATATTCCTTTGACCTAAATGCAATTTTTCCTCCCCCCATTATAAGCTTCTCTTTCTAAGAGAGAAATGGAGAGGAAATAACGTCTCCCTTGAGTGCCGTTTTTAAGGCCTCTCTTTGTAATGATGGATTATAGGCAGTAGTGAGAATGGAAGGAAAAAACATGCCAGCATGATTCTCTGGAGAAGTAGTAACACGGGTTAAAAAAAATTGTAGTTCAAAGAGGGCAGTGACTGTAGTCGCATTCCGCAGAGCAGCTTGCTGTCGACGCTGGCTGCATAGTGCGGAATGTCTCTCCAGTTGTCCATGTTTTACAAAGTAAGCATTGTTACACATGCACACGCAGGGAGAGAGATAGGCCTACACCCTCAGAAATACAAGGGAGAAATAAGGAGACCCTGGCACTGTACAGTGCCTGGCACATAGTGGAGGCACAGCAAACGCTGATGGAATTAAATGAGTCTCGTTGCTGTAGAAGAATAAGATGTACAGAATCAAGTCCCGAGCTTTTGTATGTCCCTCATATTTTCTCACAAGTTTTGAGGAGCACAGTGACATATGTTGCTTGTTTTGGTATTGATCTATTTCACATTTTATTCATTTGACTATTATTCTTCACATAGTTGATGATTCTGTCTTATTTACCTTTGGATGCATGTCCCTAGCATAATATCGGGCATGTAGTAGTTCATGGACAATAAAAGCTTGTTAAATCATACAAAACCTAAGAGGAAATGTGTATAGAGGAAAAAGAGCAGATGAACAAAAAAATGAATCTTGGGGGTTGGAAAAGGTGAAGCAAATAGACAAAGAATGATCAGAGGGAACATAATTCTACTTCATCAAAGAACATATTACACACTTTATAGAAATCATCAAAGAATGATGCAAAACACTGACCACCTTGAAGAAGAGATTTTGAGATATGTGCAAAAGCAGCTTTGACATGTATCCCTAGAAATGATGTTTAATGAGTTGACCGCATGGGAGACCAAGGCCAGGGACAGAGGCAATAGGCTAGGACCCAAGTCATTGGATGCAAACAATGAAACCAATTTGGCTGACTTGGCAGAAAGGAAATTTTTTGGAAAACCAATATGGAACCCATAGAAGCAGGAGGAAAGTTAGGGACTCTGAGCTTGGAAAATAAAGAGGAGTTAAGAGAGGCCAGAGAGCCAAAAATACATCCAGAGTCACACCACAATAATGGTTTGGTGACAAAGCCTCTGCTGGTGTCACCACCACTGGACTCTCTCTCTGAGCTTCCAAAGCTATCTGTAGGCCACCTGGCAGTCTTGCATCTCTGCCAGGATTGGAAGTCCCAAGGGGGAGTATCTGACTGACCAAATATAGGCCAGGGAGCCGAGTGTGGGAATATCGGCCCTTCTGGCTACAAGGCTGGACAGCCAACAAATAGACACCTGCAACACCAGGTCTCTGGGATTAGAGCTCCCACTTTATTCCTGCTTCCTAGGTCACTTAAGAGGGCCATTTCATCTCTCTCCTTTATGTCCATGAAACATGCTGAAATTTTAAAAACTTGACACGTTCACCTTCAAATATTCAACCAAAATCTATTAAACACGAACTACACACAAGGCATTATGTTAAGTGTCAATGACAGAGTGGCGCATATTACCACACAGACCCTGCCCCCACGGAGCCAGTGCCACAGTTAAGATTTCAGTTGCCTTAAGAGAAGAGAAACCAACTAAACTATGAAAACTTGTTAAGTATCTTCCAAATGCACAGTGATTCCACACACATCACTTAATTTCATTTCATAAGAACCTCACATTTTTTCCTGATGAGAAAACAGAAGCTATAAGAGTTTCAGTAACTGACCCATGGCCCAGTCCTAGCAGCGTTGGGGCTCAAACTCAGTTCTGTCCAATGGATGCAGTTTCTAGCACCCCTAAGGCCATGGTGAACTGGGGAGCTTACCTCTGCTGGTTCAAGTCACAGATCAAACCTCTTCATGCTCTCTAACATTTAACACTGGAAACTGAGATGACACATTTCCTCCATAAGGTTGTCGAAGCCTGTGTGAGGCAACGTGAGTCATCTACAAAGTAGCGTTTCATCATCAACTGAAATGCTTTTGCCGTTAATGCAGGTGAGTTTGTAGTGACAATGAAGGAAAGAAAGTGGAATTTTATTGTGAAAGAGAATTAGTGCAGGCTAAAAGGGAATGGCCCAGTAATTGGTATTGCTCTCCAAAACAAAACTAATGGCAATTATAAAATCGCAGTTTGCAACATGTTTATTATGGCCAGTATAATAAAGACTAAGCAGGTTTCAGTTGCCTGCAGAAGAGAAGATAAATTACTGGTGCCAGATGTCTAGCAACCAAGCAAGATAACATGGAAATTCAATTTTTACTTGCTGAACTATGATCTTTATGACTTTTAAAATACAGATTTGAGTTCATAAAACAGTAAAGGTTATAGCCATCTGCCTGGTTACAGAATAGATCAAAATGCAGAGGGTGACTTTACAAGCAGAAAGAAATTCGTAAGTGTGAAGAATCTACAGGCAGAATAGGGTGATACCGTTTATTTGTTCATTGAATGCCTTTATGTGACGGCCATTTATGTCAGGTATGAAAGAGTCGATGATAAAACATATGCAGGTGAACATTTTTTCCATCTCCGCAGACTCTCCCTGCCTGAACCATCCTGCCTCCCTCACCGCCCTCTGTAAACCTTCCCTCCTCTCTCCCTGCCTTTGTCTAGAAAACTTCAACCCTGGCTTAATGGACATCTTCTCGAGGAAGTCACCTGGACCTTCCAGATGAGGTCAATTCCCCTTATTACACACCTTCATAGTATGGCAGATATCTCTGTGTCAGTTACTACTTTTGCTATTTGACACTTCTGTGTTATTATTGATTGATGTCTCCCTCATGAGCCAGGTAGCTCCCTGAGGTCAGGGATACTATCTTACAGTACTCATCACTGCATCTCCAGCTCACAGCATAGTGCACATAAGGACACATAGTAGGTGGCCAATAAATGTTTACTAAGAAAATACAACTCTAAATTGACTATGTTGAAGGAACAGCTGCTGCAAAGACCTTTGAGTACTCTCCCCACCCAAATTATAATTTGTGATAATGCCTATTCAATATAATGAAAGGAAAATGGTTAAACACTTCATCAGTTTCATTCCTTGGAGTACTAAGGATATCTGCAGTGTGAATGAACTGGAAACTGAGTCAATGGCTCAGAATATTGGCAGCTGTCTGTTGAAGGACTTTTTCCCCCCTTTAGTTAATTCCACATAATTTTGCACTAGTTTATTTTCCCATTTTCATTTGACTTTCACATTAGCCAGATTTGGAGCAGATGAGTAGATTTAGGATCAATGTTAATAATAACAGATGGAGCTTTGTACATAGTAGGGAGTTGGCACCTTGAATAATGAACATCTATTTTAAGCTATCATAATTGGTTCTATCAGCCCTGAAAGGCTAGTAGCCATCTTGGGCTTGCACAAAAGTGCCAATGTTTTTATGGGATGAAAAGGTTAGGTGTACAGCAACATTAAAGTTCTGCATTGCTTTGGCAATGAGAAGAAATCATGAAGGCTGGAAGGTTTTTTGAAGTCAGATTAGAGAATGGAATCACTAAACCTGGAAATTCCCACATCTGTCTTAACCACAGTCATCTGTGGAGATTAACTTGCATTCCTTCATTTTTGGAGGAGCTCTTAGGAGGAAACCAAGTCCTTTGTGGGTAACAGTTTAGATACTTACTGCCACTATCTCCATGAAGGGTCATGGTGGACTCTCCCAAGGTATGAAGGAGAGGAAGGACGCCCGGAGGTCGTCATTTCCAAGGCTGGCTGTTCTTACCCTTCTGCTGCCCGGCACATGCGTGGGTCCTACCACATTATGAGCAGACCCCTTGGATGGGCTTAAACGGATGTTGGTAAAGATACTATGTTGTGCTTCATAAAATTTTTTATTTTTCAAAGTACATCAAAATACACCTTTATTATCTCATTTTACCCGTACTTTTATGTTCCTCCACAAGGCGCAAGGCAGCCACGCTAGCTTTGCCAGCCTCACAGGGAAATGGTCTCAGTGCATGAGGTGTCGGTAGCCACTGCGGAACTTTTACACAACACGACACTTGTGCGGGGAGGCCAGGACCCTGCGGCGGCGGCTGCCAGGCTGCTGCGGAACGTGGAGCCACACAGGCGCCTCCTGTCGGTGACCTCACCTGGTCCAGTGCCTGCCTTCAGGCCTGCGGGCTCAGCCTCGGGCAACGGCGGCGCACCAAGAAGGATCCATTGCATAAACCCGCTCCTGTCAATAGGTCTATGAAACCAGAGGCTAATGTATTAATTCACAGAGAAATGCCATTCAGAGAAATATGGACCAAAAGCTTTCTGACAGCAAGCACATGTGTTCTCTCTCCTTAGAGAGGACCACATGGGAAGTCACATCACAGCCAAATCTTGTTTTGGTAGGTCTTAAAGTGGATTCCTTTGCCGACAGAGCTGGAGGGACACGGCCCCCCACCCCTGCCCGCCCCCCCCACCCCGCCCCCACGGCCCCGCGCCGGTCTAGCGGTAGCCTGGTTGGCCCGCGTAACACAGCGCTTTTAACAATGAACAGGCTTTGGCCTGGGGAATTATTTCTGAAGAAGACTCGATGTGTTTCTGCTCCGATTATGGGTTGATTTGATAGATTTACTCTCAGAGGACAGTCTTATTTTCCTTATCGCCCGATTCCTGGGTGGCACCCCAGTCAATTGCCTGTGGTGCTTCTACCCACACACTCTTATTAGGGAAAATGAGGCTCAAAGAAGTTAAATGACATTCAACACGTCTTTACTGAGGACCCATCAGGCGTTAGGCTCCCAGTGGGCTTTTGGGGAATAAACCGTGCCTAAAATACAATCTTTGTATCCAAGGAGGCAGACAAATAAGCAATTAGAGCAAAATTGGATAAATTCACTGTTGGGGAAGTAGCAGTCACAGAGGGTCCCTATAGTATGGACACCTAACTATGATAGCTAAAAATAATAATAGCTAAAGATAAATAATAGGCCTCCCTTGTTTTGTTTTGTTTTTAGCGATTTTGGCTTTCCAATGTAATAACCAAGTAAAATATCGTTTGAATAAGTAGTTTTGGAGATAAGAGGATAAAAAAATTGATGAGGCTAATCTTTTAGCAGCCAAGAGAGCCTGGTAGGAGGAGGAAGTTTTAGACATGGCTTCCCTGTGGGAGATGGACCTTCTCTTTGACCTGAAAACCGCCAGGAACAAAGTGAAGGGAACACCTTGTAAGTTCCTGTTGCTCTGTGGGAATCACAAATTACCTTGGAAGGATGAATTGAGGTTAGAGACCAGATGTCACGGCTATTAAAAAAAAAACAAACCCTCGAAAAGTGATAGAAATCTTAAAACAGAAAAAGAAAAGGATTATCACAGGGCAACCTGGACATTGTCATGGGCAGTGTGACAGAGGCTTTATTTGAGAACATAAGGCATGGAGTTTTATTTTTAATCAAAGTTTCTACTGATGGAAACCCATTTTGTTCACTGGAAGCAGCCAGGTCAAAACTCCAACCGGGGTTCTTTTTAATTTTTTCTAGGCTCTTCTGAAGCTCTTAAAATAAGGCAAAGAAATGTTTGGTTCAGAGATTTGACAAATTCATTATGAGACTTCTGTGATGTTTTAAAATATTTCTGACTGATACTACTGCCTTAACTAGTGCTGGTGAATTAATAGTATTTGAAAAAAAACTCTATTTATCAGTGTGGAACAAAAAGAAAAATTCCACCTGTTTTAACTATTCTGAAGAAGTTATTGAAATGACCTATCTTGCTTTTTGCCTTTTTATCAATTTCTCAGAAGTGTTGCTATTAGCATGTAAGTTAGATGACTGACCTTGGATACTAGAAGTCACGGAGAGTAATACCCCACTAGACAGTTGCTTTGGACTAGTCATCGTCGGACAGAAAATAGCTTCTTACAGTAAAATATGTTATACCTTATTATAAAATATCACCACACAAAATGAGTAAGCAAATGGTGAGCAATTTGGCTTTCCAACTAAAAGAGCTCTGTTAATTTTTTTCAATAATTATTTAGTTTCATGGATAGGCTCTTTCAATATTTTAATCTAATTCTGTAAACAATTATTTGCATGGTAGTTTCCTTCTGAAGCTTTAATGCACATCAGAAGCAACTTGGATGTCTGTAAACAGGCTATCAAAGTTAAAATGTACAAGCCCTTTGAACCAGCAGTTCTTTCTCTAGGAATTTGTCCTATAGATTTACTTACATGAGAGAGAAATGACATATGTAGAATGTTTATTGCTAGTGTGTTCACAATATCAAAAGATTACACACAATCTAAATAGGAGGCTGTTTAGCCCAGGGAATATCAATAATATGACAACAACTTTGTGCAGTGACAGATGGATAGTGCACTTTTTGTGGTGATCACTTTGTAAGGTATATAAATGTGAAATCTTGCTATGTTATACGTCTGAAACTAATACGATATTGTATGTCAACTCTACATTAATTCAAAAGAGCTTTACATTCCAGAATAAAAATTAGACATGAAAAAAATAAATAGGAGGTTGTTTAAAGACATAATGATAGATCCATTCTATGCAATAGCAGGAAGCTGTAAAAAGAAATGATAAAAAGCTTACATGGAAAGATCTCTAAGATATACCCTTAAGTAAATGTGTATAGTATGCCACTGAATTGTGTAAAGAATGACAAAAATAACATATGCACAGCTATAAAAGTATAAATTTATTTATCTATCTATCTACTATCTACCAATATACACAAACACTGAATAACCATGGTTGCTGGTGGCAGGGGGAGGTGAGAAGAAAAAAAAGTACGTAATGTGGTGGGAAGAGATGGTCTGGGTTTGGGGTCAGAGGAAGACATTTTACTGACTATCCCTTCATAGTTTAAAAATTGCAATCTTGTGAATGTATTCCTTATTTGGAAAATTAAATCCCAAAAATTAAGTTTTTCCTTATTAAAAGTTTTTTCTTCTAATTAAAAGAATAAAATTCTGAGAGAAAGCTTGACTGTATTTATGTTTTGGTAAACTATACCAGTGTTTAATCATCTTCATGGACAAGAGGTATTATACATATATTTTAAAGTTATTATATTTTTTCATTACCATTAAACCCTCTTTTATCCCCCTCCCCCCAGCAGTCACCACACTGTTGTCCATGCCCACGAGGCCTTTTTCCTTTTTGCTCAGTCCCTCCACCCCCTGACCTCCTCCTGTAGTGGTCATATATGAGTCTGTCTCTGTTTAAGAAGCATTATATTCTTGATTACACTTAAATCCTCCTTTTTGAATTCTCTTCTTAAGAAGCAGCTACCCACTTTTCTTTACATGATAGGTCACCTCATTTCCATCCATTTCCAGGGCTTTGGATAAAAAGCAGAGACATTGGGGAAGCAAAACCCACATGCGTTATGTATTGTAGAACGCATGTTTCAATAGAAAAACTAGAAGTGCATGGTATCTCTTCAATAAAAGAGATACCATGATGCCATGGACCTGAAGTTTCATCTTCTACCTCGAAGTCGGCCAAATATAATATTAGAAGAATTTGATAGAGTCACAGAGTCATAAGTAAAAAAAAAAAACCAACAAAAAAAACAGACCAGAATTCACTTAATCTGTAACTTTGCTTCTTGAAATAAAGGACGTCATTAATATTCTTCTTAAGGGATGTTTCAACAAGATACAATAGAAAGACATCTTTGCAGTCAGTTTCCAAACTAAAATCCGTTTCTCGCTACTTAACATTGTAATTAAAAATGTTTTTTCTCTACCTTGCTCCTTAACTGTGCTTCAGGTCTTGTCCGCAGGAAGCAGGAGCAGAGGAGTAATGAAAGGGAAGAAATAGAGTTGACAGAAACTGCTTACAAGCACTAGAGTTGTAGGCAGGAAACTTAGTGAATGGCGGAAGCTGCCAAAATCTTTTTTAGGTGGAGGGCTTGGTTCTCCTGCTGTATTAGAAAACCCTGTGTCTGGTTTTGCATTTCTATTGACCACATATAGACTGAACCTGCTCTTCTTAAATAGTAGGGGCTGAGCAGAGGCTCCCCTTCACTCAGGTCAAGAAAGTGCTTTCTCCAATACCAGAACTCGAAGTTCCTTCCATGATACCTCAGCAGGAGCAGCATATGCGGTGAGTGACCATTTGGCTTTATTGATGATTTGACTTTATTCATTATAAACGTGAAGAGATCAAGGGAAGTCAAGGATACTTCAACCTACCTTTCTATCTGAGAGCAGGAGTGAGAAAATGATGAACTTGCAAAATCAGTTCATATTAATGAGGTGACATGAAGTAAAATTGCTTCTTTCTCCAAGGTATAGGAAGGACCAGTAAACTAATCTGTTAGTCTGTGAAACCACATGTGCCCCTGAGCTGCCAGTTCATCCCTTGGCACCGTTTCCTGAGGTTGAGTCATAATTCCAGCCAGCCAATCACTGTTCAGTTGGAGCACAGAAAAAAGAGTTTGTAAATTTATAAAGCAGAACTCCCCACTGACCCTCAGTTACTGAAATTAAAAACATCTCTGATTTTAACATCTGGTGCTCTAGATTAGTGCACATGATTTCTATGTATTTTGAATTCAAAACTGTGGCCAGAAGTGTCTTAGAAAATTTTTTTCACTCATGCAAGGAGTATTTCTTAAGTAGCTGTTACGTTAAAGACACAATTGGTAGCTATTGTAGGGGGTATAAAAGTAGTAACAGGGAAGAGAAGAGACTCTAGCATTTATTTGTAGCTGTTTGTGCTTGGTGATGATAGGCTAGATCATTACTCTTTGTAACACTTGGGTTGTTCTCAGCCAAGGTCCTAATAGGAAACTGATGGTTTACTCAAATTGAATAATTTGTGGAGAGTTAAATAAAGGGTCTGTTATGCTAGCATGTGGGAAAACCAAGAAGGAGAGTGTGACACCACAGGACTAGTATGTGGAGGTACTGCTATTGTCCCTAAGACTAAAGGAACCCAGAGAGACAGACATAGAGGCAGACGCATGTACGCACACTCATAGATGGAGTGTGTGCGGAAGGCTGCCCGGCCGGAGTCGTGACCTGTGGTCAGGAGACTCTACGGCCTGTGGCTGCCAGGAAGAGAGGCTAAATATCCCAGCTTGGCGGCTCTCCCTCTCCCCATGTGCTAGTACTTCCCATGGGCCAAACCCACCCAGGGCCAGAGGACACTGAAACTGGATTGAGGCAGTTCATACAGCTTGACCACCCAGCTCACTCAGAGGATATGTTGGCTAGCAATAAGTATTTTTTTAAAGTAAATGATTAAGGTCCAGCTTCTATGTCTCTCTACTAGAATCATGGAATGTTATAACCAAAAGGAACTAAGCAGAGAACAACCCAAACATTCTGTAGTGGCAGAGGCTAGAGAAAACTCTAGGTTTCCTGAGTTCTGGGCTGAGAAGTTCATTACCACTAACCACATGGTCTTCTTGGATGTAGTGGAGGCTCTATTACATAACAGGATCAGAAAGAGCCCTTACTCAGTGACTTTAGAAATATTTTTGGTGTTCTTACAAGACACAGTTGTGATAAATGGTTTTAAAATTGTTTTCCACTAATTCTTTTCAAGTAATACTTAACAAAACTTCTGTGTGTGATTAATATTTGTCTATTTCTTGTTCTTAATCTTCAGGAGATCCTTCTGAAGCCCTTTGGACAATTTGGACAAAACCTTTTTGAAGAACACTCATAATTTTATTTTTAGAATGAGTTAACTGGTAAATACATGGGTCCAATTGAGGGTGCGTGGTAGGAAATAGCAGGAATGCCGACCAGTTCATGCAAACTAGCTCGAGAGCATTCACTGGACCCATGAGATCAAAGAACTGAGTGTTTTTTCAGGAAGCCGCTATGAGTCATGGAAACAAGCTGATGAAACCCATGGAAAGAACAAAAGAATGTGTATTCCTTTTGTTTATCCATCATTATGCAGCTTACAATGGCCCCAAGATTTGGATTTGGAGGATCAACAGCAGGGGAAGCATGAAAATCTTCTCTTCTTTGGCTCACATTGCAGATTCTGATTTGATGGGTTTTCCTGGGCAGATGGATTGTTTCTCTTTGGCAAGCTACGCAAGAGGGCCTGGGTTTTCTGTTTATACATTTGTTTGGATTTATAAACCTGGCCCCCTTTTGGCACTGAGAATGTTAAAAAAAATCAAAGATACTAAAATAAAACAAATTTAAGTGAAATATTAAGTGAAACTTCAATATTTAAATGTAATAGCAAACTTTTTTGGCTTTCATATTTTTATAGCTATCATCGATGTCAGGAATAATTATAGTTATTACTTATAAGAAAAGCACATATATATAAGAGGGAAGTTCTTATTGAAAACTATAAAAATACCTTCCCAGGGTTAAGGTGGAATTTAATCTCCTGGCGTCACGATTTGGTTAAAATTGCTTAGCTGAGTAGATTTCCAGACTTGAGAATTCTGCTAGTCCCACTTTTTCTTATTTGTGTATCACTGATTAATAGATGTGTCAGGCTCAGGTCTGGAATGTTCGGCAGGAGTTTAGGGGTGCCACACTCCATGAGGTATGGATGTTATACAATTTCTGAGAAGATAAGCTATTGTTTCCTTGCACATCCCTTATTATGTTCAGACAAGTGACTTGGAAATCAATGGGGACTTGGCTTATAAAAGGCATAAATTAAGCTTTAAGCTCTGCTAAATTGTATCAGCTTTCTGGAAGCTCATTTCACTTATTTATTAAAATAAGAGACTCTAACAGACATTATGAAGCACTCAAAGATATAGTTAGCCTGTTCTCTGTCCACAGAGGCTACAGTCTGGTGAGGAGATAGAACATGCATACCACTAGTTATAATACTAGACACACTGCAGTAAGATAAGTGTGTCATTTGCAGCCTCTGTGCTTCCTGCTGAGAGTTCACAGGCCAATAGTATCTGTTAAAGTCTATTTTCTTTTCTTTCTACATGTTTTTTAATAATTCCCAACTATTGGTGCTGTTCAGATGGGTGGTGATTTTAGGAGGAGTGGAAGTTAAGTCCTTACATTAAAAAAATCTAAATAAAGTATGTTATCAGATTACCCTAGAGGTATGACAAACAAAAGCCACATTAAAAAAAAAAATCTCTGTGAACTAGCAATCCTATATTTTAGTAAAGACAGCATGGTGAAGAATCTTCTGTGAGGTGAAGGATAAGATGAAGTGTGCACGCATGAACAGGGGGGAAACAGAACATTTTGGCACAAATACGATACTTCATAAAATCTTCTGGAAGAGTTAATGTTTTCCGCCTCCTGAGAGGTAAGGCTGTTACCGGAAGAAAATATGGAGATGATATTGCTGTTTACTAGAAGACTATCATTTTGACAGTTATTAGTTAGGATAATTTCATCTTCAAATAAGAGCAGGCCCTAGTCAAAATGTCTTAAACAATAATAAGATTTATTATCTTATCTAACAGAAGCTCTGGGTAGTGTTTCCAGGGTTAGTTAATTCAAGAACTCACATCCTCAATCATCCAGGTTCTCTCCTCTCTCCTCTGCCATCTTCAGCTTTTGTCTTCAGGGTTCCCTGTCCTGATTCCAAGAAGCGGTTGTATTAAATGTCAGCATCACAGCATCAACAATGATCACATCCTTACATCACAATGTCCTTTTTGAGAATAAAGAAACCTTTATAAGAAGTCCCCCATCCCTCACCCAGCAGATATTTCCTCCCATCAGAACATCTAGATTTGGATCATAGGCCCACCCTTAAACCAACCAATGGGGGTCGGGGATGGGAGCCTCAGGACATGAAGGGTCAAGATTTGCCTGGCTCTTAAGGAGGAGAGAGGAACTGACCATCAGAATAAAAACAGAGCTCTGTAAACATGGAAGATGGGTGCTGGGTGCCTCTATGAATGTTTCTTCTCAGTGCCAAGTTGACATGCAGAGAAAAACTCACTAAACAAAATGGGGGCTTGTTTTCTCCTGAAAGGGATCTCTTAAGGTGTGTTAAGGCTGTTCTTCAAGAATGTGTCATTGCCCAGCATGTTGTGATGGTGCCCACTATGTTGTCACAGGGCCATTATCTCCCTCCAAAGATACATGTCTTTTCAGATGTAATAGCCCATCTATTTTCACATAGAAAATTGGTACTAGTGTGTGTCACAAAGGTGGATGCAATTTTTGTAGTGGAGAGCTTCACAGAGTGGTCATTACTGTTCTCTCATAATCCTACACCAATTCCCTCTTAGGGAATTACCTCTCACCCATTGAATGATGTCTTCTTCACGGGACTGTAAATCAAAGTTTCTTGCCCACCAGCCAAGGAGCGACACGTGACCTGAGCTAGATCCATTTGACCCTCTATTTTTGATATAGGGGTGCACTGGCATGAGGATTGAGACATGATTGGCGCTCATTCGTTCCAGCGGCAGGGCTGAGTGGTTTCTTCCTTTAGATATCCCCATAGAACCTCTAGAGCACCAGACGGCCCAGGGTGTGAGCCTGGTCCTCCGGCCTCCCTCTTGGTTCTGTGAGCTACCATTAGTATCTTTGTAAAGATTGTTTCCCTGCCTAAGTTTCTACGTTGGTTTCTGTTGCCTGCTGGATATAAAATTTATTATTATAGTTCATAAAGTCATAGGATGCCTCAGCTGTGAGAAACTTTATAAATCTGGCTCCACCCCATTTTATAGCTGAGCAAACTGAAGCCCCAGAGGTTGAGAGTGTCACCCCGCAGAGCTCGTCAGTGACAGAACGAATAAGACAGCCTCTCCTTTGCCCACAGTAGCGCAGTCTGCTTTTCACATTAATCCTTTTTTAGTATAAACCACAGTCTCTCCTCCCACCCCTTTCTCTGTCCCCACCGCCAGGCTCAGTAGAGAATAGTGACTTAAAAATCTTCATTTATATTCCAAACTGACAATTCGCTTTGTGTAGTTTAAAAACTTGTTTCACAGATTGTCCTTTCAGAGATTTGGCATCTGGTAAAGACAGGCATCAGTTTATATCCTTATATGGAGCCTTGATTCTTTCCAGCTATCTTTAAATGTTTGGAAAGGAAGTGGTGTGCTCTAGGGAAACATATGGGCTAGGGTTCTGACAGTGATTATCTACCATTTCTAAGCCTAGCTTCTAGCTGTGTGCATGCGGGGAGATCCTTCCGTGGCTCACTCTTAAAGATGTATATCTGCTCTATTCTTTTGGTTGCTGTCAGGCAGTCACAGCTCATACACTACTGCCAAAACAGCCCAATGTTGGAGTAGAGGGGGTTAATGACAACTTTCATTAACTCATCAAACCCTGTACTTGCTGCATTTTGACTAGAAAAAAAATGTTTCAGTACTCGGCGCTTGTTCATGACGCGCTGCACTTGCTTGAACTTGTATCAGTTCTAACTAGAACTTGTATCAGTCACAACACTGCCCACAAGAGAAAATGCTTCATTATTCGTTGCTTGCTCGGTACTCATCAGTTTTGGCGCTCCTCACGCACTCCGGAATGAATTAACGAGTCCTGAGGTGCCACTGTAGTACTAATTATGTGCCAGACACTATTTTAAGCACTTAGCAGGTTAGTTTATTTTTACAACACTGGTAGATAAGTACTATGATCCTCACCCGGATTTATAGGTGAGGAAATTAAGGCAGAGAAAAATTAAGTAACTTGCTCCAAGTCACACAGCTTTCAAGTGGCAGAGTTGAGCTTTCAACCCAGGTGGTCTGGTTTTAAGTCCATACTCTTAGCCCTCTGTTCTGTTCCTCCTTAATCACAGAAATGCTCTCTATGGAGGTACAAGTGTATTAATATTGTTGTTGTTGTTATTATTATTTTAGGAAAAAACAATTGTCTCAATGCAGACAAATGGCTTTTCATAATCACTTTAACGGTGGTTCTGTATTATGACTACTTTGTGCCCCAGCAATGTTCGGAGGGTGTATACTTACAAACAATCTACCGCAAGTCCCCTACACAACTGCTTTTCTTCTCTACCCATGTAACAAAGTATTTATAAAGAACTCAGTTATTTGAGAGAATTACACAGAATGAAGCTTTTTGCCCTGGATGCTCATAAAATAGGATCAATAAATAATTGTTCCATAGGCCATTTAAAAGAGTTTAATTCTTTTAACTCATGTCCAGACCCAGTGTGGTGAAAGATATTAATTACAATTTAACTATACTCAAATATTGATAGGGAAAGGCAGTGAACTGAGTACCCCAAAAGCCCCTTTCTACCTACTATGTTCTAGACACATTTTTCTACTTGAAATGAGCTGCAGAGAGACAGGAAATCATTTCTATTCCCATCCTATTTGGCAAACAGACAATATAGGCTTTATTTTTAAGCAACTTATCGTAATAAAGTTCCGCTATGTCAAAATAAAGTAACCCTGCTTAATGATTACATCATAGTAAGTTTTTTTAAGTATGTCATTCTTTATTCAGAGTGAAAATTTAGTAGAAAAAATGATATTTAAAAATTGTCTACTTTATTCCAGCTACTTAAATAATAGACTAATACTAGAAAGAAAGTTCTCCACTATTCAGTAATCATGGGTTTTTTTTGTTTTTTGTTTTTCAGAATAATTAGACCAATGTGAGCAAATAGGAATTCTTTCAATGGCATGTTTTAGTGGCAGAAATTTCATCGGAGACAGAGGTCATCCAGGCTGTATTGTGGAGAATCTGCTGGTTTGGTGGGTGGACGGTGGGGGGAGGGGAGAGCAACAGGGAGGTGAGCGGGGAGGAGGCCATTCAGTCCTCTCCTGGGAACCAGTTGTATGGGCCCTGCGAATGGGGGCCTCCCCTCCCCGGGGCCCAGGTCGGCCCACCCGTGCCCAGACGACAGTGTCGGAAGCTCTGCCTTTCCTTCCTGCCTGGTTCGCGATAGCTGAGCAGAGCTTGACCTCGCTTACCGTCTCAGCGCCCAGACTTGGTTTATTAGCAGGGTTGTTTTTTGCAGCGACACCTAATTGAGGTTCATTACCTATTAAAGCCTTAGATGGGCTCCCTTTTGATTATTAACATATTGTTGAAACGGAGGTCAGTTCTTTATCCATTCATTTATAACGTGACGCCCACCTTATGCCAGGCTCGGTCCTTTAGCGGAGACAGGTTACCCAAACAACAATAATGCAGTCTGGGAAGGCCGAGGCCTTCTGAGAAACCGGTTTTATCCCTCTTTGAATTCCCAGACAGGTGCTTTATATAGAAATAACCCAAGAAGTGTTTGTGGACTTAATGAATGTTGCTGCGGGAGCCCAGACGATGGGCACCTGTATCAAGGAGAGGCTTCCTGGAGAAGGGGTGGAAAGGCTTCCTGGCCACGGTGGAAGGAACACATACAGGAAAAGGGAACTTAATTCAAGATCTGTGTCCTCCAGAACACACAGACACAGGGGTGGGCTCCTGACATGCAGGAGACAGAAGGCTCTCTTTGCAAATAGTAACAACTACGCTATTCTCTATGTCCAGGACATTGCAGTAATTAATGGGTGAGAGACGAACTTTGTTAAGCTTGAGAATGCCAGAGTTCTGCAGGGGAAAAGTGACAATACTGTGATATATTGTGCTATTTTTCCACACTATATAATTTGAGCTTGTAACTGATTAATCAATTAAAGATTAAGCAGACCAGCCTTAAAGGCTACGGCACAACTGAAAGAATGATTTATTACACAGAAGTTTATCGGAATAGAGGAGAAAGCCAGATTGCACTCAGAGGAACACCACTATAGGGCTGTATAGATTGGTGCCCCAGAACCAGGCTTCCCTGTTTAACCTGGAGAAAAGCAGCACCTTAAACCCCCCTTTTGGAGAGTTACAATGCACAGTTACAAACGAACAGCTTTGGAAAATTCCTATAGGGTTTTTTTTTTTTTTTTTTTTAAAGTTTACTAATGGTTAAACATACTTCCCAGGGAAATTTTTTATTTTTCTCTTCTTAAGTATCTCCTAAATATCAGTTTTTGAATTATTGCAGCAATAAAAAATTGAGACATTGGAGGGTTTATGGAATTTTATTTCTTTTTGGGAGTTATACTACAGCCACTTAAAAAAAGACCCCAAAGATAATTTTCACTAAGGCACACAATTTCATTTTGTGCTAATGATACTATACAGTGAGTCCTCGCTTAACACTGTCAGTAAGTTCTGTGACTTTAAGCAAAAATGAGGTATTGTGAGAACAATTTTATCATAGTCTAATTAATATTAGCAAGAGTTAAGTTCGATGGCATTTCATCAACACTATAACAAAATGCCATTGAATGAAGTGATGTTATTTGAGGACCTGCTGTGCTGATTTTAGGAATGCATTGGGCTGTGATATCATCAATACTATTGAATCCTTGGGTTCATATTTGTTCTTCATGGGCTCCAATAAATGCATGATGGCAGCTGCATAAGTTAAATTCCCACAACAAAGAGGTGAGTGGGAAAACAGTGCAAGGGGCAACTCACAAGGATTTCTGTGGGCTTTCCCCCTGAGTTGATGAGGAATTGATGAAAGTGCCTGAATTGATGGGAGAAATTGATAAATGTGCCTGAAAAGGTGGGCTGGGACCAGACTGTAAAGGATCTTGTTTGGGGATTTTCCTAAATGCTAGGCCAGCCTACAAAGTCTCTCATTAGAGGAATAACCGGATTTGAACTCATAGTGCCTGTGCTGACACTATCATTACAGGTAATTAGAAGGGGCCTGAGACTGTGCTGAAACCAGGTTTTTACTGTAAGGGAGGAAAACTAACCTACCCTTCTGAGTTCTTAACTGAGACCCCTGTAATAAAAGGTTAACAAGAGAAAAACAAATAGAAGGTTATTAATATGTAACCTCATGGGGGATAACCAGGGAAAAATGAGTAACTCAAACAGGTGGCTTAGAATTCAGGCATAAATACCATCTTCACAGAGAAAAAAGGCGTGGAGATACAGGCGCCCTCAGGGAGAGTAGGCGATTTTTAGTAAAAATAAATGGGCCCTCAGAAGAACAGATGGGAGGTACTATAGGCTGGGACAAAGCCTGTCTGGGTGTGGTGTCCACTTCTAGTCTGCTTTCCTGCGATAAAAGTCAGTCTTCCTTGGTTGATAAAACTCCTGGGGAGGAGATCAAGGACAACTGAGTTCTGCTTAGAGGATCTGTCTTTAGACATGTGGGAAGTTCAGAGAGGGAGCCTCCCCCTGTATTAGCTGTTTTTCAAATGCCTACAGCTTAAACTAATCAACATACCAAAGTAGTGTATAAGGGGAGGGGCGCATCCTAAACTCTTACAATCATATGGCATTGGGATAGCATATTCTGTTACCTTTCAGTGTCTATTACACTAGTTCACAGGAAGGAAGTGAAGAAAATAAAACAAGAATGAGGCAATAGGGTGGAGAAAGATATACAAGGAAGAGGTAATTGATAGCTCTAGGAAACTGATTGGGTGTTGAGGATGAAGAAAAGCAACAGCCTAGAGTGATAGTGAGGCTTCTGGCAGAAGTAACAATGTGCATCCAGCTAAGACAGAGAATGTGGGAGGAGGTAGAAAGATGATGAATTCAATTTGGACATGTTCAGGTTAAGTTTAGCGGGTCACCCAAATACTGATGTATAGGTGTCTGGTAGGAAGTTGACTCAATGGCTGAAATTCAGGAGTGATGTCAGAACTCCAGGTAGCAATTTGGGTGTCATCAGCATGTAAGTGGGTGGCTACAGAAACCATGGATATACCTAGTAAATTTCTTTGCTCAAACAGATTTATACAATTTTGGATGAGAGACATGCAAAGTGAACTTCAAACTGAGCAATGGTTTATTTGGTAGAGTGCACAAGAGTTACAATACATGTTTGTGGACTGACTGCATGGATGGATGGATGGATGGATGGATGATTGAATGAATAAAGAGTTCATAAAAATCTGTAGACATTCTCTTTACTTTATCTCATGATTAGTTTCAGTATTAGCTCTGGAAAGAAAAAACATATGACTACCTCTAAGAAGCCAAAAGACAACATTTGGATGTCTGTAAAAAGCAATGAGCCTTTCATTTTTTTACAGCCAAATAATTTCAAAGCATTCGATGTATTTTATATTATTCCCATTAGGTCATGACGCCCCAGCACTGACTGACCAACTGCTGCCTTTGCAGCAAATCCAGATGGACATGATCAGCTGAGTGACAGGTTGGGTGCTGTTGAGCAAGCAAATGCGTTATTTTAAACTTGACTTTTCTTGAGTAAACGTGCCTTTACTCTGCATTCCTTGACAGAGGCCAAATGATTTTAAAAGAAAGAGATATCGAATACCAGAGATTGGCGTGTAACACCCATATCTTACATAGATGGTGATATTTTGGTCCCGGGGGCTGTAGACTATACCAAGCCTCTAAATGACCAACCATACCACCATCAGGGCAATATACAGGGCACATTGGAAACAAGTTTTTCATTGCCATTGATGATTGATTCTTACCGTTCCAGGGGAAGATATTCCTGATTTTTCATGAATCACCGAGGAAATTCTTAAAAGGGACCCAGAGTTGCCAAATGTTTTCACACCTCACTGCAGGCACCAAATGATTTGGGCAATGCCAAATAAACCACAAATCCGTATTGTAGTTCAGAAAGGTGATCAGGACTCAGATTCATTGTCTGCTGAGACTTTTTTTTTGCTTTTCATTTACTACTCTCCTTTGAGTGACATGAAACTGTAGGTGTAGAGCAGAGACCTCAGTTCATTCAACCTTGACACATTTTTTGTGCCCACATTTTGTGCCCACATTTTTGTGCTATAAATTTGGAGACAGAGAGACAGAAATTGCAAATGCAGGTATTAAAATCCCCTTGTGCTCCATTTGTCAAGATGAGCACACTGTAAACTGCCTCTTGCAAATATGATAGGCACCAAGCTAGTAACTCTGAACCACAGACTTACTCATTTGTGGGGTGTTTCCCTCCAGAAGTTTCTGACATTGCTTCTGTAGTCATTGCATATCCCAGAGCTGTTCAGGTTTAGTAAGAAAACTAGACAGACTACCTGGCCAACAAAGTTGGGGTCTTCTTCCAATGAGATAGAAATGACAAATTTTCCTGTTTACACCATTGTATTGGTCTTTACAAATTATACATTTGAAATACTTTGTTTGGGCTTTTCTGTGGAAACCAAGGAGGGATTTGCCGTCATTGAAATTGTTTTAGGACCTTATAGGAACATTGATGACAAGAAATCCAAGTCATTTTGATGCTCATTCAAACTTATGGCTCTTCTATGGAAAAATAATCTGTGTATTTTCATTTTAAGTCTCTGGCAGGGTCCTATCTTCTTATTTCCTTGATCAGAAGCAGTTTTCTTTTGCTTCTTGTTTTGATTTTTAAAAGCTTAATTACAAGAGTCATTTATTAATACATTTTCATTATAAAAATATCTAAATATTGCAAATAACACTGGGGTACCCTTTAATTACTATGTCAAATTCTGACATTCTCTCCCACCCTTTCTGCCCCTGCTCACAAGCATTGTTAATAGTTTTGTGCGTATATTTCCAGATCTCCAGTCGGGGGAAGGTACATGCCTGCCTGTGTGTGCATGTCATATGTGTGCGTGTGTGTGTGTGTGTGTGTGTGTGTGTGTGTGTGTTATTTAAGACAAATATACTACAAGTACCATACTGCACCTTTCAATTTACAATCAACTATACATCTTGGGCTGTAACTGTTAGTACAGAGATCTACTTCATCTTACTCTTCAACAATCAGTGTCTCTCTCTGTCTGTCTCTCGTTTCCTCTAAAAATCAGTAAAAACAAACAACAACAACAACAAAACAACCCATGCTCCAGACAGGTAGTAGAGGGTTAATGATTTTCAGGAAGGGTGTACAAATGGGTTTCCCTGGCACCAAGCAGAGGGGTGGGAGGAGGAAATGAAACCGTTTTAGGACCAGCGAAGGCACCTGCAAGACAGGATGCTGTGTTGATGATGACCAGGAAGCTGCTTGATGTAAGTGTCTGTGAAGCGGTGGAGAGGCCTGTGGTGAGAACAGCCCGTGGGCCCAATAACCTCGCTTGGCTTCATTTTGTGTCTCTTTAGTCCCAGCTTGTTCTCAGTTTCATGGCAACGACCAAAGCTGACGACCAAATCTTTCAGCTATAAATCCACCTCATGGCATAAAGAGAGCTAAACTTATAAGTATTCAGATGTCTCTAAAAATAACATGATACATTTCTCTTTTATTAGGATGTATAATAGTTTAAAATGCTAGTTAGGCCGCTCTGACCTGGGTTTGAATTCTGGCTCTGTTTTACTAGCTATGTAACATTAGGTAGGTGACTTATATAATTTCTCTGGGTCTCAATATTTTTATTGTAATAATATCTACAAGATTGGGTAATTATGGAAATTAAATGGAATAAAGCATATGAAATGTTCAGCACAGTGCCCAGCACATGGTAACTACATACTAATTATTATTAGTAGTAGTAGTAGTAATACATACTAATCATAATTAGTTTTATAATGGATTGTTTTCTGGTGAGATAAATGGAGAGAGTTTAATATAAATTATAGAGAAAAAGAAAAGGAAGAAGGGATATGCAAAAGAGAAGCAGGACTTTATAAGCAGATCCTGGGAGAGAGGCATTTGATGACTGTCAGGGAAAAAAAAAATCCTGAGAGGGAGAGAGAAAAAGGATAAGGATGGCAGGGACTCAAAGGCAGAGGCTTGGCTTTGCTCTCTGCCAAGGTTTCATCCATCTGGCCTTGGCTTCTGTGCTGGTTTTCCCCTCCAAATGGCAGTTCTAGAAGCCTGGTGCTGCAACTCAGGTCAGGGCGAAACTGCGTATCTAAATTACCTAAACCTCTGTACTCCGCAAAGGCGTGTAAGAAATGTACATGCTCTTCTTCTGCAGTAACGCATTCCTTTGGGACTAATAGGAGAGACAGGCCTGTCAGGCGAATCAGCAGTGACCACTGGTAGGCCTAATCCTGTTTCTTTTTGGCTGACAGCTCATACAGAAAAAAAGACTCTTGGATCCAGACAAAGGTAAATGTAGCTTAAATCCCAACACAATATCCCGACCTTGCATAATCAGCCTTTCTTCCCAGTCTATGATGATCTGAGATGCCAGAGATATCAGAAACACAGTCAATACATTTCTCACTGTTGGGCTGTAATAATTTAATCATTGCTTGAAGGCAAAGCGCTCAAAGGGTGGAATAACTCAGATTATTTTTAAGATCTAAGCAAAAAACCAAAAAAATAAATAAATAAAATAAAAAGAACAGAATGACGTCTTTCCTCAGTTTTGTTTAATAGCAGGTATTGAATGGAGCATCTATTATAGAGGAACATATAGAAAATGAACATAAACCTGAATAAGTAATGAGATACCTAGAAAAAGGAAACAAGTGGTTAAATATAGTTTTTCAAAATTTTTCTTTCTTTTGCCTGAATCCACTTCTAGGGCTTTTTGAATTCTAATCAACTAAAAGCCAGGCAAAACTGCAGTTCTAAAATGAATTTTCAGTATGATTTCTTCTGATGTGCCTTTATAAACACAAGATTTAAGAAACCAAGTTGGAGCTGGATCTGAATGTAAAAATGTAGGGCACACTTGAGAAGAAGATCAAAGGGCAATTTTTGCATTACAGAAATTACCTTGACCCTGAGGAATAATTGCTTTTATAAAATTAAACACAGATTGAAGTCATGTACTATGATCCACCCCACCTGTTCCACATACATACATACATACATAAATATGTGTACATAATCTGTGTACACATATATATGTTTAGGGAAGAAGAGAAATAAGTATATTTCACTTTTTTGCCAAATTACTTCCCTAAGACTCAGTATGTTTTGGACTTCTGGAATGACTGTGATTGCAACCTGTCTGCTTTTGTTTCCAGCTTGAGCGAGCGAGCGTGGCGGCCCTGTAGAAGGTGACTTTCCAGACATGCGAGCACCTGGGGCAGCTGACTCCTACAAAGACAGAAATGCTCTCATTTCTGGACTCAGACAACTACCCTGTACTCAGCACTTTCCTTCAGGCTGTCCAAGGCTGGGGCTTCTTTCATGCCCTGTGAGCTCTGCTACTGAGGCCAATGGTTCCTTAGTTGGGAGAAGGAACAGCTCAGTCCTGCCACTGCCCCGGGCTCCTCACACCACTCATTTAACCTGATGTGCAGCCCAGTGTGAGACCCAGAGAAAAGAGAGGCATCTGCTCTTAGGCGGAGAAGATATTGAAAACTGGGCCCCTACTTTCAGATCTGGAACTCAATGTTGCCGGTTAGCAGTGTGTGTATCAATAACCCAAAGGAATTTTCCTTGGATGTTTTGGTTCGAATTCGAAATAGGCTTTTGATGCTTTTTATTTAATAAGGCACAGGCACAGAACTACATTCATTATTTAGACTGGAATTCATTTTGCACTTGATGTAAGAAAAATCTGGCACGCTTGTTCAGGGTAATTGCACAGAGTGAAATGAACCCAATTTATGTACAGGATTATTGAAGGAATAGAAAGCTTTCAAAGTAAGCCTGCTAAATCATTCATTCAGCAAACTGATTGACATTTTGCCCAGATTGGGATCCTGTGCTTTGCCAGCTTTTAAAGCAAAGCGAAGAAGCAATTATTTAAAGTGATGGTAGAAAACAGTATTGAAAGAGAGCAATCCTGGAGGGTGGATATATAGTGACTGAGTGTTCTCTTTTAAATAATATAGTTCACAGACCATGAAGCTAGGCTCCGGGAATCATCTCTCAGCTTCTATCTTCACCTCGCAACTTTCAATATTCTATTAAAAGACATGAAAATGCAACGTAAATGATGTCACCCACTTCTAAAAGAATAATTATCTCTCTTATTCTTCTACAGGTTTCTATTTTACTTTATGAATAAAATTTTCCTATGCACTAAATGGATGCAGTTAGGCTTAAAGTCTAATTCTGGGAATCTAGCTTCTTTGAAATGATTTGTTTCTTTTACATTTCCAGTGAATGTCTATAAATCTGTCTGATGCTAAAAAATCTGATGTGAAGAAATTGTAAAAGTCCTTTCCTCTCTGCTCCATACATAAAAAGTCTAAAATTTATAAAGAGGTAGAACAATATTTTCATTAGCTAATTGTTTTCTAGATTTAATAACAGGCCTATTTCAGGCAATCAAAAAGCAAGTAAAAAAAAAAAGTCATCTTTAATTGGTTCCTTGAATAGTGTTTTCCCAGGTTGTAAATAAATTGTTTTGATGTTTTCTATTTGGCCGTTTCAGGAGATACACAAATGAAATACAAAACATAGACAAATGAAATGCCTGTATGGAACAAAGGCAGTCTGCTCTGTCAGGGGAATGAAAGCAAATGCAAAGGAGGGATTTTCCACACTTGGGAACGTATAGGCTTTATTTGCCCTGGAGAAAGCCACTGGGCAAGACACCCTGACAGTGCCTGTAGGGACGTCTGAAGTAGAAGCGTGACACAGCGCCCCTCCCAGAACCGCGTATGGAGTTCAGGAAGACAAGTGCCCACCGGCAATGCCTCTCCTGGCTGCAGGCTCTTCTCTGCAGCCTCTCACGGACCAATAGACCAGTCAGTCAACCCACACATCAGCATTTTCTGCCCCTCAAGAGCAATGACAGTATTTACTACTGGCGAGTAAGATCTGCGTATTCATAAAACAGCCTGACTCAACTATGGTAGATTTAAAAATGCAGTCCTAGGGGTCTACTGTGTTCAAATCCCTTTCATTTTCTACTTGAATACATCCAAGATTTATAATTATGCTATCATGTATTTATGGTCATAAGAAGTCAATTTTAAACTAAATACTTGGTAGTACCACCTTTCATATATATTTTTACTCCATATACAAAGTTTGGGATAAAAAAATTCAGAAAGAGTGAAAAAATACAATTAACTTGAAGGGTAGAACACTTTTAAAACCATAAATTTACCTTTTTCTTCAAAATTTTTAAGGTTTAGAAAATCTATTAGTCTTTTAACACAGTTTAAGAATAATTATAAACCCTCTCTCAGGATGTCTGTCTTTATTGGGGTAAGATCATGTTCCTCTACTGTGAGCATACAATAGGAACTCAATAAATGCTTGTTTCAAGAAGGAATGGCTCTAAAGAGATACTTATGTTCCCTTTTAACTACATCTATAAGTAGTGTTATCTTTGTCCATGACATTTACGTAACAAAACTAAGTTCAGTGTAAGAGTTGATTTAAAGTAATATTATACAAATAGAAAATTTGAAAGTGGAAATTTAAAGGATTAAAAAAAGTTTAAGGTCTGCCCATGAATTTCTAAATATAGCATGCTTGACCAGGAAAACGGCAGTGAGTATTTGTGATGAATTTCAGATTAAAGAAAATTATCAATACAAAGCTGTGTATGTTTAAATTAACATCAAGAAAAACACAATTATTTGTAAAAAATAACCATATACATTAAGAGAAGTGATAGTCTCTTTAAGCTTGCATTCTCAATACTGTCTGTGCAAAATTGCTTGTAGTGTCCTCAAATGGGTGTCTGTGGCCAGATGGGTAGAAAACATCACCTTCAATGATAAACATATCAAAGGGACGTGGCCTGCTGTTGCCTCTGACTGGATGCAGTCCGGCCAGGTCACGGCTGTGCTTCTGAGCAACTGGTCTGGAGATGGGAAACCTGCAGAACAGGCAGCAGCAGCTGGAAAGCATCCTGGATGTATGTCGTGCTATTGCAGCCCTGAGAGGGGAGAAAAATGTGGTCCAAGGGGTGTTTTCATAGTTCAACCCTGACAATTCTTCCAACTTGATAATGTTCCCTCTCATCAAGCCCCACAACATTTTTTAGTATTTTTCTTGTAATGTTGGTGCATAAAGCAAATGTAAACACACTCCTTGGGATGGAGTGTGTCCAGCTCTTAATGATCTACGCTAACAGAGAGAAGAATTCACTCAAAACGAGGCACGCCATTTCCATAAACTCTGAGGGCACACCAATGCTTATTCACGACCCAGTATGTCCAATCTTAACCATTCCCTTCCCAGATCAACCGCACTGTCTTGAAATAACACAAAAGTACAGTATGAAGAGGGCTCTAGTTTGCCCTAACTTATAGGTGAATAAGTAAGAATGGTCTGCATAAAGCTCTCAGGAAATATTGTGCAATTATTCATGGCAAACCTTGAACACTAGCATCCTCCCGTGAGCAAATACCCTTGGTTTGGGTATTTGATGTTGCCGGGAAGGTTCTGTGGCACTTTAGCATATGGCCTTAGGCGGAGAGGCCATTTCAAGTTTCAGGTAACTAAAACGTGAGAGAGTTCCACTGGGAGAATGAATAAATATTTGACCTCATCTTCTCCATGACCGACATGGTAAATTAATCTGCTAATGCCTTCCGGGTGGCCAAGGGGGAGATTTTCTTGTTCCATATTCTGCCTCTGATTGCTTGGGTTACCTCTAAACTGTGTCTGTTCCCCCAGAACCTGCCCCTACATGTCTTGTCCTTTCTGGTTGACTCTATTCTCTATGTGGCTGTGTCTTATACAATAACAGCTGGTGCCACCGCCTTGTTACTTTTTTTGTGGTACCTCGATAGTTTTCCTTAACAGTGAGGCATGACTCCTAAAAATGCTGCTATATTTATAATAAGTAGCCCTCTGTTACCTGAAGTTCTGTAATTTCCAAATTTTGCAACTGACACCTACTTCAGACTGCAACAACTGCTGTATATGCATGGCCCATGTTTAAACGTAACTTGTTAGCCCCTTACAGCTTCGGCTGGATGCCCTGTGGCTATAGATGTGTCTGTTTCTAATTCTGTAGCCCCTAATGGAAGGCTCTCCCCCACCAACCATAGGTAGAACACAGTGCCTTATGACTCAAGAATGTTCCTGAGCCTCTCTTACATCACCGTTTCTTCTCTCTTACATCACCGTTTCTGGCAAAGACATCAAGCTGCCAGGGCAGCCTCCTACCTATGCTACCAAGTCCTGGGGAGTGGACAGGCCTTAGTGAATGGTTGCAGAGGATGGTGCCGCTGGTCACTGAACAGGCAGAGGGTCAGCAGTCTACTTGTCATTCTGCCAGTCTGGAGCTTAGATCCCACTAAATAAACCAATGATTATTGTGAATGAAGGGAAGTGCCCATATTTAGGAAAATTGCAGCATCAAATCTGGTGCCTAACTTGGCAGCAGAAATCTGCTTCTGCCAGAGAAAACAGCGACAGGAATAGCATGCAAGCTTTGCGTTTCTCTTTATCATCAGGAATTTTGGAAAATTACGTATTGTTGCTTCACCCGAGGGTTTACAGCTGGTTGAGCTTCACAAATGTACTAAAAAAAATACAAAAGACTGGTGATGATATGACTTAGAATTGCAGTAACAATTGCTGCCCAGGGGGAAAAAATGTAGCTCTAACATTTGCTTTGATTCAGAAGCACTTTCTCCCTGGGGCCACTTACCTCTAACAATACACTATTGATCATGGGGTTAAGGACCTCGGCCTTCTTGTCGCTCTGTGGGATCAAAAGGATGAAATTGACAGATTAGGTGCTCATACTACACAGCTTGCCACATGAAATGTCATACACTGACTTTGTTGAGGGATCCCTTAGGAAGGAGAGGATAACTGGAAAGAATACTCTAGACCAGGCTTCATATTTGCTGCTTTCCCTAGATGATCTCATTTAATTTTGACAGAAATCCTAGGAGGTAGGTAGGTAGGTAGGTACCATGATAACCCTAATTTAAAGATGAAAAAAACAGCAGTCAGGAAGGTTGAGTAACTTGCTTAAGGTCACTAGCTAGAAATTAAAACTCAGACCTTTTTAACTATTGAAGACTTGCAGTGGGTCTTGGGCTTAGGGTCAGTGGAGGGAGGCTGAGTTGGAGCGGTGCAGGGTTGGAACCCATCTTTACTGAAAATCGTGGGGTATTCATTTTGATTTTTAAACATATTGCACTAAAATATTTATCTAGATGACTGAAGTTGTTTCTTTGTCTTTTAGGGGAAGCCCCCTTAAACCCTGGGGATGAGTTCAGTATTTTAGTTGCCTAACTTAGTTTCAGGCCTGTTCATTAGTCTTTTTTCCCCCTTCTTCATTTAAATGCAAAACATGGGTATTTGGTTACACGGTATGTCTTTCACATTGGTGGCAAAATTAAAACAATCTTAAATATAACTTGCAAACAGGTTTGCAGATTCCAGTTTTCAAAATATTTACATATAAGCCTGATATAAGGTAGGTGTTCAAAAAATGAGAGCTATTATCAGTAGCATCATTATTATCTCCACTATTGGTCTATCCATCAACAGTCTTCTCTATCTGAAGTGTTCAATCTATTCTTAGACAGTAAATAATTAAAGGGACGGGAAAGAGAGAAGGCAATCTTAGTAGATGGTTTTCCTTACTGTACCCAGAAGACTTTATGGTAAATGAAAGTACAATATGTAAATGAAATATATCTCCCCAGTACAGCTCACTTTTACTGATATTACTCTACTGGGGGAACCATAGTGAAGTTTTGGTGAAAAAAAAAGATCTTTAAAAGCCCAGTCATTTTAGTAAGTAGCCAGAAAATCCATTATGGTATCTGCTTTCATGTTTATTTGATTATCAATAAACCTCTAAAATATAATCAAAATAAGGGCAATAAAATGACATTGGTTTTCAGAATCAATGAGATGTACAAGCAATTTTAATAGAGTCTGGAGAGCAATATACACTCATTAACTTCAAGTTATGAATAATGGCTGTTTTGGAGAACAAAAACAATGACTTGATGTAAACAATTCATTGCAGCACAAGATGAGGAGGATTGTTGTGGTGAGAGGCATCTCAGTGAGCTCTGCTTAGACTTAGCTTTTTCTTTCTCCAAAATAATAACTTGTGTGTTTCTGATTTTGTGCATGCAAACATTTGCGCACGTGTGCATATATACAGTTGACCTTTGAACAGCATGGGGGTTAGGCCTGAGCCCCCGCACAGTTAGAAATCTGTGGGTAACCTGAGGACCTGAAAACTTAACTACTAATAGCCTACTGTTGACAGGAAGCGTTACTGATTACATAAACAGTCAATTAACACATATTTTTTATGTTGTATGTATTATATACTATATTCTTACAACAGGATAAGCCAGAGAAAAGGAAATGTCATTAAGAAAATCATAAGGAAGATACATTTACAGTATTTATTGAAAAAACCCCACATATAAGTGGACCCTGAGCAGTTCAAACCTATGTTGTTCAAGGGTCACATGTATGTACACACACATAAAAGCTCAAGTACAACACCCGTGTGCGGAGCTTTGCTACTCAAAATGTAGGCTGTGGGTCAGAAACATTGCTGCCATGTGGGAGCTTGTTAGAAATGCAGGATCTCAGTCCTCATGCCGGACCTATGGAATCAGAATCTGCATTTTAACAAGACCTCTGAGTGATGTGCTTGCGCATTCAAGTTTGAGATGCTCTGTGCTGGAATACCACATGTTAAAAGGAATGGAAAGCAATACTGTCACTATTACCTGGAGCTGTCTGAAAACCCACCCAACGTCTCAGGAGCCCAAGATGGCGGCGTCGGGGCTAAGCCCCAGTCAGCGGAGAGCCTGAGCTGCCTGCCTGTCCTTAGAGAAGGGGCTCTGCGCCTAGTTTTAGCAAATGTCCTGGCAGAGCTTCTGTTCTGTGAAGCTACCAAAGGGGGCCCTGAGTCCTCCACTTGTCCGCAGAGCCCCTCAGAGCCCCATCTCTCCTAAAAAGATGAAAAAAGAATCAGCATTATAATCTTACCCCAACAGTGGTTAAGGTATTTGTAAACTTCTTTGATAAGGAAGCTACTTCATTGCACATTGCAGTAGTTAATCTGAAATTTAGAAAAAAAAATGGTTTAGGGATTTTCAATGAAGTAAAATAATGTAATGATCAAGACAATTACTGATATTAATATCGTATTCCACTTAAGAGAATGGCACACGAGTTTGAAGACGCTCTGTAGGAATGTTTTTCTCAGTAATCTTCCATGATTCACAAGTACAGTTTAATCTAATCCCAGTTTTCTCTGCATCCTTAAATGAAGAATAACCCTCTGATTCAGCCTACCTCTTTTTAGAATCAAAACCTCATGCAGAAGACTACATAACAGTCTTGAGCTCCACATGTAGAGGGATTAAGATTCTTGCCAAGTGGCTTTTCTCCATCTTTTTGATCATTTTCAAATAATAATGAACATTCTGTGAGGTGCTATGTTAAGTACTTTGGAATAAATAATCACATTTAATCCTGATAGTTACCTTATGGGTAACATTATTATTCCCAATTTATAGATGAAGAAACTGACATTTAAGAAGGTTAAGTACCAATAACTTGCTTAGGGCATACAGTAGTAAGTGACAGAGTTAGGATTCAAACTCAGGTCTCTCTTGACACCTTGATTGTTTTTATTAGATGTCTGAAGATAAAGATCCCGTAGAATATGTTTTTAAGATATATCAAAACTCCAAGTTTATTCCAGTCATTCCACTTCTAAGACTTCACCCCCCAAAAATAATGCAAGATGGACACAAGTATTTCACTAAAGCAATGTGTTACATTACAATGACAAAAACGGAAAACAACCTAATTACCTAACAACGTGGGTAATTGTTTGATTTTTAAAAATAATACATATGACTTCTATGAATAGTGATTAAAATGCTATTAGAAAAATAGTAACTCCAAGTTAAGAAAAGATCCAGTGCAGTAAGTAGAAGTAAGCTTTGTTTTGGGAAATCAGAGTCCCAAAGCTGTGTCTAAGCTGTGTATTCAGGTTTATTGAGCAATATTCATCCATCCATCCATCCATCCATCCACCCAAAATTTCTCTGCAGACAGGGTCAGGAGTAAAGCTAGGAGACGGCCCAGAGCCATTCTGTCTATGTTCTGAGGCATGTGGGTGGAGAGGCACTTGCTATATGGACGAATGTGAGGCTTGATTATCCTTTGCCGTGCAGCTTGCTAAGGATGGGATGATCAGGCCTGGGAATCAGAAGGAAGCTAAGAGCAAGGTCCTGCTATCCATACCCATGTTGGAACTTCCGCCCTCCTCTTTCAAGTCAGTGCAGCAAGTCTAAAATAGTACTTAGGTGTTTTCATCAATATTTTAAACTTCTTATTTTGCCTTTTTCTCTTCCTTCTATGCATTGAAGTGAACAATATTCTTTTCTAGATATATTAAAGGTAGGAGTGTACAGTTCTTATAATATCTGTCATTTTTACATGTTTAGATATGAAAGTCTAGACTAGGTGACACATCCTTACAAGTGAGGAAAAATGCCACTAATACTGACTTTTTGGAAGGTCCTTCCAATAAAAATTTCCTCCCTAACCTACAATGCGAAGTATAGTAATAAGCAAAGACTAATTAGCTAGTGAAGTAAATGAGTGAGCTGATATATGTGTGTATGCACCCACATATTTTTAGGAGGCTCTTATTTTGGCTCCTGTGTCTGTATGATAATGAGATGATATTTGGACCTGTGCTAATTATCTACACCGCAACACACAGTCATGTGTACAAAAGCTAATGGCTCATTTTTCCACTCCATGCCAACTACTTTAATGAACTCCATACCAACTATTTTCATGTATGTAAAGTTACATATACACATTTTTATTTCACTAGATAGACTAATAATAACTTCTGTTTACTGAAGAACATAACATATGACAGCACATATATACATACAGGCAATCTACAGTGAACTGGCTCACTTTAGAGACTACCGTTGACAGAATTCAGAATATTTAGAGCTGGTATAAGTCCTCAAGTACAGTGGGGGTGTGTTTGCATATTTTTGTGAAGCTTGCTGAGAGGTCGCATTAAGGTTTCCTTTCAACATTTGTGTGGTATGTTGAAAATGTAATTACCCTCAAATGTCTGTACTTCCAAGACTTGTATCTATTAAAACAAACTTGCTTAGCTCTGAATGATTTAGGGTGTCTTCCCTGAAACCTCATCATAAACAGTTCAATGTCTAGTTAACTACTATTATTCTTACTACCATTGTTCATTTCTTAAGACAGTCCTTGTTCCTTAAGATGACCATAAACACTGAAATTAGTTGGCTTGAAAACTGAATCTTTAGTAGCCTGTGTGTGTGTATTTGAATGGCATATGTATGTAAAATTGGAAAAATAAGAGTTTAAAATAGCATTTACTTTATCAGCACTTTTGCTTGGTCCTGAGCTGGTTTTTCCTCTTCTTGTCCATGAAGAATTAATTCTGCTACTTTATGAAGCTGCTCGATACAGCGTGCTGTGACTTCTGCCAGACTTTCAATGGACAGCATGTATACTTCCTGAAATGAGCAAACGCAAGTAAGGAAGTTATTCACTGAGCAGATGCTTAAAAAAAACCCTGTGATATGAAAATACTTTCTATTTATACACACACACACATATAAATACATATATAAAACTACATATACATATATATATATATATATAATTCTTTTAAAAAGAACCCAAATATGACCTGAAAATGTTTACCCAAAGATTCATGGGCATGTCTAAGACTTCTAAGTAGAAACACTGCCATACAATGGGACATGGCAAGCCTTAGTCACAGCTATGTCCCTAGTTCCCAGGGCAATGCTGGGCACACAACAGGCAGGTGCTCAAGAAGGTGTGTGAGTTGAATGAATAGGCCTCAAGGGGCATTTTTCTCAACATGAACTAACTTTAAAAATTACTTTCTCTAAAATTAAAATCCAATGTAAGATGAAGTTATCGCAAACTGAGTTTTGAACATAGGGAGGATATAAATTATGCACATATATATTTATTAAACTGAAGAATAAAAACTGTAGCAATAAATTTTTGGGGGGAAAAAAACGCTTCAATTAGCTCATTAATTATTAGGCATAAAGACATGTTATAGTTTCAAATTTGCATACAAGATGAAATTTCACCCTGAAGGTAAATCAACTATGCTGTTAAAGATCTGGGTTTTTTTTTTTTTCCACTTTAAATTACAGTTGTAGAGCTATGGAGAAAAGCTACCATACCTATGCTAAGTCACAAATTATCTCGGCATGGAGAAATTTTAGTGTTTATTATATTAATACTCATATTTCTATAATAAAAATGAAATAGCTTTCCCTCACTTAAAATTAGGCTGCTAATAAAATTAACATAATATTACTGCTCTTTAGGTGGGCAATCTAAAATAAATTTACCTCCACTGCCTGAGTTCTCCTGTCTTCCTTTCTGTCTTCTTCGGGGTTTTCAGGTTTCTCTTCCTTTTCTTCCGTCTTAGTTTTCTCCTCTGACTCTTCTGCCACATCTACCGGCGCGATGGTTTGATCATCTTCCACCCAGTCATGAGCTTTTTTCATGGCCTGTGGAGGACCCCAGCCAAAGCAAGACATTTATTGTGCAAATATGGAGACTAAGAAATTCCAATCTCTAGACTAGGATCAAGTTGCCCTCAACTGTCGAGGCTGGCTCTCTGTGTATTTAAAGAACTTACGGGGCAATTCCATAAGCTCCTTACAAACCCCTTGCTTTCGGATGACCATGAAGTAGGAGAAGGGGACAGAATACAAAGTACAGAGAGAACTGTTCAAGGCTAGAGGATTTTTTTAAAAAACACTCTAAAATGGTACTCAGATAAGAAAATAAATGACAGTCACCTTGAAAGAGTGATAGTATATTTTTCACTTTTCATGACCAACCGTAAAAGAATCACAGTACTTTTTTTAATATATAGGTTAGAGATGTAGCCAGGGTCCTTGCTAAAGCTGATTTCCTCATCCGCTATGTCTCATGAAGCCCTCAGTGTTTCATGAACCTAATAATACATCACCCTGGGGAGATGAGCAATGGCTCTGATCTGCTCTCGCCGTGCTGGGTCTCCCTAGCTCACGGGGGAGGAGAGAAGGGCTGTTGTAAAGACCAGGTGCTGCTCTGTGACCGGTTTAATTTCACAGGAGTGCCTGAAAATGATGGCTAAACTGGACAAGCAGAAACCACCCTCCCTGTCTGCTTCTCCCTGAATTTAGAAAGGGAGCTTTTGTCATTCTCGTTTAAGCTGTTTGCTCAAGTGAAAGTTGTATATGACTTTATGCTAGACTTCTCATCTTAAAGTTTACACGTCAAAGGTTCAATATGCCAGAGTGTTGAATGGTAAGTTAATGGTAAGAAGATTTGGGGAGACAGAATCGAACAACACTATCCCTGGTGCGCCCCCATGGAGGGACCAAGGTGTACCTGACTATGTAAGTAAACGGGGGAGAGCACACACACTCCCCGAGCGGTGGCAGGTGCTGCCCGGAGATGAACGAGGCAATTTCCCATTGTGTTCAGGTCACTGACCTGCCAGAATCAGTGACCTCTATCAGAGATAAAGAAATTACTCATCTTTCCTCCCCGCTGCCTCATGCTGCCTTTCCTCACCCACCTTGATAAATGAGGGCCAACTACTGCTCGCTAAAGAGAAGAAAGGGAGGGCAAAAAGAGAGAGAATAGGACAAATGCATAGTTTTACATAATTAATAGTTAGTGTCCTCATTAAGAAACTCCAGCAGCAAGACCTTGCACTAACTTGCAAAACCTACTGTGGTGCTATTAGAGGAGCCCAGATGGTTGCAGCTGGGACGTTCTTAGACACCATGTAGCCCCAGAATTCCAGGTGGGAGGGGACATGGGGTTGACCTGGCTGGCGTGCTTCTCTCTGCCTAGCTCTGGCCTGTCACTTCAGTGGGGGCGGGAGGTGGAATTGGAAAAAGCCCCTTGGTGCTTCTCCCCTCTATGCTAAAGATAGCCACTGCTCTGACCTAAAATTCTATTTTCAGGAGAAGTTACTTGTTCAAGGTCATAAGGTAATTACTACTGAAGTTGCAACTAAAACACAGGTCTCATGACACAGTCTAGCCTGTTCTCTACCCTCACATCTCATTATGCAGCCTCCTCGAATCTCAATTACTGACCACAGACTTCCCTCCACCCCTATGCCATTTGGGGTTTTTCCATTTCAGGTGGATCCCTGGAATTTTATAACAGACCTTCTTCTAAAAGACAAAAACTCCGACTCAGATGGTGCTGACCTTATTGAGTTTGTCAGGCGTGGCCGCAACATGTAATTCAAAGAGAAGCTCCGTAAGCATGCTAGCAAACTCCCCTCCCTTTTCTTCTGAGCCTGGAAAGAGAAAATGACAGAAGTAAGAAGCATGATTTATTTTTCATCTTTCAGAATGTGGCAGCTCCCCCAACCTAGAGCCTACCCTCCAGCTGACAGGCAAGGGTGAGCTTGGCCCACTCAGGACACTGCACAAAGGCAGCATGTGGCTGCTGGGTGGGGACTGCTGGGTGCAGGGTCTACTGCTTATAGCACTGGCTGGGGGGCCCCAGGTTGGCCTGGAGGCAACGTGAGGATAGGGAGGGACTTACCTGCCTCATTTGCAGCTATAGGTGGTCAGCAGCTATTTGCTGAAAGAATGACTGTATGAACAAACGAATGCCTTTCTCAGGTCTGAGTGACCTGGGACACACTGTATTATGACTTAGAGTATTGTAATGCCTAGCACTGCAACTCGGACAACAGCCAGGGCACCCTTTCCTGTCCACAGAGCCACAGCATTGAGGAAGCCATTAGCCTCAATGGAGGAGGCGGTGTCTGGACTGAGCCTTCGAGAATGAGATGGCATGAGGCCCACACACAAAGGGAGACTTGGGAGTGGGTGGGAGGGAGAGAAGTGGGGAGAGAGATTTCATCAAAAGCTGAGAGTCTCTCTCTGCTTGGCTGAGGTCCTGGTCTCATCCTCTCTAGATCATCAGTGTAAGAGGGGCAGGGGTGCATCTGAGCATCGACAAGGTCTCATTCCTAGACTGCCTGGGCCTTCTCATTCTGTAGGAGGCAGTGTCACAGGGCAGAAAGAGCCTGCATGGAGGCTTGGCAGGTGTGCGTACCCCAGCTCCAGCATTTAATGGATCTGTGACATGGGACCAGTCACGGAGTTGTGTAGCTTCCGAACCTCCTCTGCCCATGTAGCATAATAAAAGCCACCCCTTGCCTCTTCAGCAGTGTTGCAAGGACCGAATAATATAACAAATGCGGAAGCATTTTTTAAATACTAAAGTTTTACGTAAGTATATTGTTAAATGCTACAAGGATATAACATAAAGAGATTAAAAATATGGAAGAGTAATCAACACTAAGGAACCAAGTACTTTGTGCAGCCCCAGCTTTTAAATGTTTATTTACTCTATAAAACAGGAAAATACACCAACAGCTTCTGCGAAATATTTTAGAAAAAAATCTAAGAAAAATGGAAGTAGACAAAAACAGATGATGAAATATATTGCAACAAAGGATACCTATTATTACAATTCTCGGCCTGTGCATAAGGAGAGAAGACCTTCACCAAGGCAATAAAACTAGGAAATAACCTTTTAAAATTTCTTTACAACAGCAGTAAACCAAATTAGAGACCATGGCAGTGTGACAAAATTACACTCTGCTGGAAAGACAAACATGTAAATCATTAGTTAACATTATTAAATGCAAGGGAGCCTGAGATTCAATTTATCTAAGAATGACAGTTTATTACATTTTTGGAGACCATTGAATACATTATTTAGGTGTGAGGAAGCTCTTAGGAATGTAAGTGCTTACAAGAAAAAATTTGATGACAATGTTCTAGTTTCTTCTCAAGTTTCACCCCTGGTTTGTCGGTTCACCCCCACCGACAAGTTGTAACACTCCATCATAATTGAATTGATTAATCCTGGGACAACCCTGGATAACAGAGGCGACCCTGTTCTTTACTCCTGGTTCTTCTGTAAGCATTTGAATAACATTTCTTTATTTAATTAATTAAAACTAATAGTGGTTTGAAAATCTGGAGATCCCCTTTGGGAAAATGGATATACTAAGAGAGATTACAGGATTCTGTCACTTAAAGAAGAGACAGATCTACCATTTCTTAAGCATGCTATTTAGGACTTCAATATTTTTTGTCATATTAAAAAACAGTCTCAATTTACTGAAGCTGTACACAGAGACTGGAACACATTGTTTTCTATTTAACAGTATTGGACCAGGTTTCCTCTCCCAGAAGTAGCACTAGCTGGCACCACATACTGCCTTAACGTGCACTGGCAACAAAATCTCTTTGATGTTATGGGTAATTTGGGATCCTCTTTTAATCCTTTCTGAATGAATCCCTAATAGGATCCTGGTCTACCTCAGGCATCAAGAAACTGAAGAGAAATAGCCCGGTTCTTTACAGTGATTGTTAATCTGGAAGATAGGCATCTATATTATTGCATCCTGAGTCCAGAACACTAGCTCCATGACCTTTAACAGCCAGCGTCTTAGTTCCTTCATTATTAACACAGAGACAAGGCTGTCATCCTTCGTGACTTTGGAGAAACATATAGATGCTCAACAACATAATTCTCCAACAGTCTATTTGATATTGGCCTCTTTCTATGCTCTAGTATAATTGATTCTTCTATTTTGATGCAATGAGCATAAAGCTCATTAAACTGAAGGCACATAAGGTCAGTACGTGGGACTAAAGTGGGAGATGGTATTTAAATCACAGTTTGCAAATGCTTAGAATAACTTTGCCCTGAGCATCAAGGAAGAAGCATCGGGAGTGCTTGTGTTCAAGCTCTGATTAAAGGTCTGTAGCGCACCTGGACACAAAGCGCTCCCGCAGCCTGACGGAACAGATGCACGTTATCACTGCTCTGTGTGTGGGTGATAACAACGGCAACCAGAAAGAACAGCTACCGCTTATTTCACCTTTACTATTTTCCTGGCGTTGTGTGAGCACTTTAAATAATAATCGCAGCTAACATTTTTGAGTGGTTCTGTGTGCCAGGCACTCTAATATATGTTTTTATGTATATTACCTAATTTTGATCCTCACAATAACCCTTGAACATATGTATCATTGTCACCATTTTATAGGTGAGAGACTGGATCTCAGAAAGGTTACCTCACTTGTTCAAGGCTGCATGATATGTCAATGGTGAAAGTGTTTCAGATGAGCCCTTTCACATGGGCCCAGAAGAAAGCTCCGTCATGTCCACGGCTGCTTGACCTTTCAGCATAACTTACATGGACACTGTGGTTGTAGTGCTTGGTGATGATATGAGTAAGAAATCACTGTCAAGATATGTAGCAAATGTTTTACTATACTCCGTTTCCAGATGGACAGCTTAATCATTCAGCAGGTCTACCTTTGAGGTCATTCTTCCCCTTCTCAAAGAAGCCTTGCTTCTCACAAAATAGGTCCCAGTGTGCTTGGGGTCACGTTGTTGTCTGGCTGGAGGGTTATCGGGAGAGTGCACCTGGCTCAGCTCGCTGATGGACAGCCTGGCACATTACGCCCTAGTGTGCTGTGTGCCTTTGTATGAGCGGTGATTTTTATGTGGAGCATAGGCCACTCACAAATACATCCTAACTCTTACACATATAAATTAAAAGAGAGGGGGAAAAGAGGAAAGGAAATCCATTGAAAGACCAGTGCACCATCAACATCAATCACGTCCAACAGCTCCCATGGGCAGATAAAAGAATTAGACATCGGGACAAATATTGTAGTCATCAGGACCCGCTTAGTGCATGGCCCGCCTTGTTCACGTGACCACACCCAGTCATTGCATGCCAGTGAAGGGCCAGCGATTGAGCTGGACACCGGAGAAGTAAAGATGTCTCCATCAGGGGTTCCCACCCAGAGGAAAAGGATTATAGATCAATGTGACCAGCTCCTGTGACAGGAGTAGGCACATGAAGTGTTTTGGAAGTGGGAAGGAGGAGCAGAGAGTTAAATAATTCCACCCTGTTCAAAGGGATTTGCTTATGAATAGCAGCATTATAAGGATTATACCAACAGTTTGTCTTGCTATTAGCTTATTTTCCTTTACCTTGCTCTTCTTGATTCTCTTCGTTCTCTAACTCTTTGGCCGCAAAGATGTCTTTAATGGAAATTAGGTCATTTTTTATGAGTTCCAGCTTCTCTCCCTCTAATGATGCTAGAAATGACTGAACCTGAAAAAAGAAATAGGTCAGCATAACTGCCATTCTTTCTTCTCCTTAATAACATTTACATACAGACATCCCCAGCTCTCCTGGGACCGAGGTGATTCGTGGTGTGGGAGGTAACGCTGGGTTGGATTGCCTATTAACTGTGCAACTTAGAGTAAGTTACATAACTTTCCTCGGCCACAGTTTAAAGATTTTTAAAGTGAGAGTCATACTTCACTGGGATCGTCATGTGGTAAATGAGATAATGAACATGAAGTCCACTGTACATGTGCACACAGCAGGTGCTAAGTGAATGGTGGTGGTAGCTCTTCTGTGACAGTGGCCACAAATGCACTTCAGGGTCAATCCTGCATTCAAATACCAGCTGCTCACATACTAACTATGAGACTTTGGGTGATTTATTTAACCTTCCTATGCCTCAGCTTCTTTATCTGTAAAATGGGGACTAACAGCATCTACTTATAATGAAGATTTGTAGGTTACATGAAATAATGTACTTAAAAGTGCTTATAGTGATGATTGAGAAATGTATATGCACATATATACACATGCAAATACACACACACACAGACATATATATATATATACATATACACACTGGCTAGATGTGGGTTATTGCAGTGGGGTTGTAAAAACACACAAAACACATTTTTCTTCTTAGGCATTTTGTAGTCCAGACGAGGGAGGCCTCTGTTCACCAATAAAGACATGACAGCTGTGAGTAGAGGGACAGTGGCGGCACCAGGGAGGGAGCTGTCCACCCCCCTGGGGAGGCGCAGGGGTGAGCAGGGAGACCTCAGGGAGCTCTGTTGCCCTCCCTGAACTGCTGTTTCCCCTGTGCACTGTCTTCAGATACCCTCTTTTGAAATGATCCTTTGTACACACTTAAAAACTATTTGTTCAGATGGCCAGTCATGCTCTGTGAGTCTGAAGATTGATTTCAATTTCCGAGATGGTCAAAGTGCATGGAGAACCACATAAAACGTGAAGTATGACTGTAGAATAGTAAGGCTTTTAATTTTTCATTCTGCAGGTCCAATACTTCCTCAGCAGAGGAAGCACCGTGCCCTTTCGAATGCTTTAATATTCATTGTAGTAGTAGATTCGCACATTAGGATAAGTGAGAGAGGTAGAGAGGGCATTGGGAAGCCAGAGCACCATTTTCAATGCCGCTAATGCAACCAGCGCCAGAGCTCGGGGTACAAGTCATCAGCTCAAAACCCATTAGCTGAGTTCAGCAGGTGAAAGCAAATGCGCCCCGCCCAACGGCTGCGGACCCCCTCTTGGTCCTGACCTTTTCAGGCTCTTTATTTCAGCTCACACACTCATGTTTAGGTCTCAGGGTCCTAAATAGGCCCACACCATGTTCCTATACCTCAGATATATTTCCTCAGCAGCAGTTCTCTAAGAGTAAAAAAGAAAGTAACTGAATAAATGTGCTCGAGTACAACACTGAGCGACGATGTAGATGCACGCGCAGAACATTTTTGTTTTCCCGTGTCTTCCGGAGGGGAGCCGTCCTCCAGGAGTGACTGCAGCGGGGTTTTCTGCTTTGGGCATCCCCTGGAAAGGGTTCTTTTAAGCAAAAGACTTCCTCAGCATCTGGCTACTACAGCATCTTTTTTGCTTCCTCTTAAGTTAGCTTGTTCTGTTATGTCAAGGCAATGTGCATTATTTGCTTCAATAATAAAAAACAAATAATTACACACTCCTCAATAAATATTTGTGGAATGCTGACTATATGAATGGCACTGTGCTTAAGTTCTGTCAGGAACACAAGGGTAGACAGCCTGCCTTACAAATCTTTTCCCTGAAAGGGGGAGTAGGGTGCCATTTTGAAGATTCTTGTTTACTGTTGCGTTGGCCAAAAAGTCCGTTATGTTTTTTCCGTATGATGTCTCTAGTAAGTTGTCTTTAACTTCATTAGAAACAATTTTTTTAGATTGTATTGTGACAGCTGTCATATCAGTGTGCATCTAAAAATTACTTATCAGAAATGGTGAATTTTGGTGCAGCCATTTTAATATGAAGGTGGAAGAAAATAGGCAACATTTTCAGTGTATTATGCTTTATTATTTCAAGAAAGGCAAAAACACAACTGAAACACACAAAAAAGATTTGTGCAGTGTATGGAGAAGGTTCTGTGACTGACAGAACATGCCAAAAGTTTGTGAAGTTTCTTGGTACTATTGACATTTTGGCCAAGTAATTCTTTGCTGTGGGGCTGCCTTATGCATTGGAAGGTGTTTAGAAGCACCCCTGGCCTCTACCCACTAGAAGCCAACAGCAAGAGATGGCTAACATACTCAAAGTATCCAAACCAATAAACTTATTGGTGAAAATGAAAAATGTGTCTTTTATTTTATGGAAAAAACTAAAAGGCCAATCCAATATTTTTGTTAAATATTGAGCATAATGGCAATACAATGATTAGTTTTTCCTTAAAGGTTTATAGATTACACCACATTACCATGTCAACTGTCATCCTAGAATCAATCTAGTAGATAATAATGCTAGTTAAGTCTTTATATTTTACAATATATCATATTAGCCAATGGAATGTTAACAGAGGAGATAGAAATTATTTCTGGGTTGAGGTTTTTAAAAAATGGGACGGTCCCCTCTATACTTTCTCGCCTCATGCTGACGGGATTAAGAAGACATTCAGTGATGGTAAAAGCCAATACTTCAGCCTTGGACACAGGGGAATCCGCAGGGCCAAAATGAGACGCCTGCTTAGAGCCCGTACTCCCCCTTCCACACCACCCTCCTCCAGGCAACTCTCCAAGTTCCCTGCTGTGCCCTGAATGGACCTCTTCCCCAGACTGTGCTCCTTACAAGGGGCCGTCTCCCAGAGCGAGCACTCCTAGCCCCAGCGGAGGACAAAGAGCTGGTTGTCTGCAGGGTGTGGGCGGAACTTGCACTCAGTCCTCCTTACATGTGCTCGCGAGGCTCTCTGAGGTGAGGAACAACTGGAGATAAAGGAAGGAGAGCTGGCAGGAGGTGGGTGTGGAAATCTGAGGAGTCTGAGAATTCTCAATGGGAACCTGACCTTCCAGGATATTATGAAAGTATACTTGTCAAGGTAGGATGACAGAATATATTTTCTTCAGCAGTCGTTTCCAAAGGTTCTTTTACTTTTATGTATTTGGTTTGTGTAGAGTTGCCAGATGAAATGTAAGACATTTAATTACATTTGAATTCTGGATGAACAATGAATATTTTTGTAGTACAAACGTGTGTTCCAAATGTTGCACATACCATACTAATGCTAAAGAAGTAGTCACTGTTTTTCTAAAGTTAAAATTTAACTAGTTACCCTGTATTTTTATTTGTTAAATCTGATGACCCCAGTATAGGTCTCCATTTGTATTTTTGCCAGAGGTCTATGGACATTAGGAAGGGTCTAGTGGAGGCAGAAGAGGGGCAGAGCCTGGCTCCCGGCTCCCTCAGCGCAGGAAGGCTGCCTGCGGATCGGGCACCGCCCCCCGCCGGACTGTGTTAGGAGTGAGGATGACTCCTGACTAATGGTTTTGACGCAGACATTTTTAGGGCTGTTTATTGCTGCCCCTCATAAATACCATTACTAAGGCAAGAAAACAATTCTGCGTTCCTTACTATGAAAACTTCAAAAATCTCTAGGTTGGGAAAGGGAAGCAGTGTGCAAACAGAGGGCAACACATCCCTCCAAGGACCCAACCTCCCTCCTATCAACACCAGTCCCCTGGGGCTCCTTGCTAGGGAGCTGGGCTGTTTCAGCACTGAGACCTGCGAAGGAACCAGCCAGGGTGAAAGCTCTCTACCACCGTGATGGCTTCCAGGGGTCATGCTCGCCTGTAATGCTTTTATCAATAATAACAAATGTGTATAACATAAGAATGCATATAAAAATAAAATGTCATTGACATTATAGATGCATATGCACATATATGTATATAAAATAGCAGCTAACATTTACTGAGTGCTCAGCATGTATTAGGCATGCTGTCACTAACTTCACATACGTTATTTCAATTATTTTAATAGCCCTATGAAGCGGGTTTTCATTATTATTCCCATTTAATGGATAAGGAGACTGAGGTAAGACAGGTCCAAAATCATACAGCTACTGAGATGTATTTGATCACATGACATTTGACCCGAAACACAGGTTTTGTAAAGAAAACTCCGTGCTTCAGTGGAACGATGCGTTTTCTAAAGCACACCTCACCAGATTATCAAATTCTGACTCTGTGGGAGTAATTTTATAACTCTGGGAATTGTAGATAGCTGATCGTAGTGCAAAACAGTTCTAGTCTATAGACATGTGAATGAATTTTGCCTGGTGGACTGACAGCCTCCATTGGGAAAACCAGGTTTGTATCTATCTGCACATTCATTTCAGAATTGCTTATAATGACTCCATATAAATTTGTGCTTCTTTGGCTTTTCCTCTGAATCAGATATAATAAATAGCTGGTTGGTTTCTTCATTTAATTAATGAGCTAAATAAATTCCTTAATTCATGTTTATTTTATATCTATACAAGACTCATGATTTTGCTTTTAAAAAATTATCAATTAACAGTATAACCCTGAGCCCTGGCTGGTGTGGCTCAGTGGACTGAACACCGGCCTGTGAGCCGAAAGGTCACAAGCTTGGTTCCCTGACAGGGCACATGCCTGGGTTGTGCCAGGTCCCCATTTGGAGGTGAACAAGAGGCAACCAGTTGACGTTTCTCTCGTACATCAATGTTTCTCTCCCTGTTTCTCCCTCCCTTCTCCTCTCTCTGAAAATAAATAAAATTTTAAAACAAAACAGAACAGTATAACCCTAAGACTGTCACTGATGGCCCATGGATAACTAAAAAGGAAACAGACACAGATAGAACTTGTAACTTGATAATCTTGTGGGTGGGGAGTGAGGAGGTGTGTCTCTACCTTGTTTCGTTCTTGGTGGCCTCTTACGTGGCCGATGTCATCTTCCCCTAAGTGGCCATGAAGAATGTCTCAACATCCTCAAAGTCTAAACACGAAAGGAGAAGGCCTAGAGAGAGTCCAAATCCGTTCTCCATTCTGAGGTTCTCTTCCAAGTTCACCTTCTTGTCTGAGCACCTGCCTCTCCCCAGTGAATGGCCCATGGCTCCTTGTAGCCCCAGCCCCTCCCAGAACATCCAGAGGGCACTGCCCTGCAGCCTCCCCTGGAAAAATACCCCAGAGTATGGTCAGCCTGAAGAGCCATATATACAATTAAATGATTTGATAGGTTTAATGTGCTTAGAATAGTGACATATATAAGTGCCACTATGAGTGTTTGCTAAGACACACACACACACACACACACACACACACACACACACAGACACCACACAGATCTTTTGAAAAAGATATCATCAAACCCTGCTGATTTCTGCTCTTCGTGTTTTGTTTCTTGGGATCACAGCATGGGAGATGTGACCATGCAGGGCTGCTGGGTAATTTCTCAGGTTTCTGATCAGGGGCATTCCGAAACAGAACTGTAACCACCAGGATGCTAATCCTGCCCTTTGTAGTTCAGGCAGCCTAACAAATGGGTGATTAAATACAATACATAAGCCATAATACTAACACTGTTAAAACTCCACAGTCTGAAAGAGACATCCGCTGCTTTGTTTTCACTGGGTGGGAATGAAGAATGGCTTGGGAGGGCATCTCTGATCTGGGTACTATGTCACTGAAGAAAAGCGCAGGGCCAGGAGCCTGCCAGGCAACGTTCCCTAAGCAGCGATGCCTCTGCTGGCGCTGGGCATGGGGAGGAGTGATAGCTCAGCACAGGAGAGAGGAAATAATATGGAGGACAGGCTGCACAGCAGTTGTGTCCTTAGTGTATAACGAGGCTCTAAAAATGGGATGTTCGAATGGCAGATTTTCTAGTTTCTTTCCTGTTTAAGAAAACATGGTGACACAGATGTCATTTAAAATGGTCATTGCAGACATACCTTGCTTTCACTTTCATTGGATAGAATTTCCAGAGCTTCCAGGTGTGACAAACCTTGATACTCGTCAAACAGCATACCGTAGTGTGCAGTCCTCTCGGCTGTGAGCTGCTGCGCCAGTCTCTGCTTCTCCTTCTCCTTGGCCTCCCGTAACATCTGCAGAAATACACAATATTTGGCCCTGGCTGGTGTGGCTCAGTGGACTGAACGCCAGCCTGAGAACCAAACGGTCACTGGTTCAATTCCTAGCGGAGAGCGCATGCCTAGGTTGCAAGCCAGGTCCCCAGTGCGGGGTGCGCAAAATGCAACCACACATTGATGTTTCTCTCCCTCTCTTTCTTCTTCCCTTCCTCTCTCTAAAAATAAATAAATAAAATTTTAAAAAAGAGAGAAAGAAATACACAATATTTGTATGCTCTATGATACCCAAAAGCCCCATTTCCTGCCTAAGACATAGGGGGCAATGAGCACTGACTTTGTATTTGTAAGAGCAAATTTTAGTAATTTTGGAGTTTCTTATTAAAAAAACGATGCTTTTGATTGATTCTACTGGCAATTTTTACATAATATTTGTGGAACTTTACATGTTCATTATGGATACAACAAAACAAAGCAAAAACTCTATGCCCAGGAATACAAAGGGAAAGAAGCACAACAAAAGCTCAACAGTGGTTTCCACTGAAGTGTTTTCCATGTGTGTGATTAATTTTCTTATTCTCTAAAATGTCCACATTTTTTATAATGAGCAAATTTATGTGCACCAGAGAAGTTTAATCTATTGTGACAGGATTAATTGCAATGTCTGCACCTAGGGAGACTTCACAGCAGAAATAAACTGCCCTGATTTTATCTGAGTTACAATATTTAGAATTTTTTTGAGTGTGTGGTTATTAAACATCTTTGATGAAAAATTAATAAAATATAAACTCATAATGTATTTCTTACTAGATAATATAAATAAGAATGCAGGCTTATCCGTTCTTAGATTGATCATGAGAAATAAGACTATGAACTGAGTTGCTATCCACGTTTTGCTGATTAACTAAAAAGACAACAAAATGAACACAAGTCCACCATCACTCCCAGTTTCCTGCACTCACTTTCTTTTATTCTAAGCCTTGTTTATTTGCTTCCTCATCAAGTTTACTGGGGCATTAAGTTTATAGTGCTTTTTGATATCTGTGAAGAGCACCATAAATATACTGGCCACTACAAGGTCACAACGGGAAGATTATGGAAGAACAGGTTTTGTTTTTTATTACGCACCAATAAAACAATCAGCCATTTTAGGTCTTGCGGTTGTTGGCCAATAACCCACAGGGTCGCAGACAGAATTCTGCCTCCTATTTGTATTTTAAGACTAAATAAGTGCAAGCTCTGAATTTTAAAGTTTTCAGAACAACCCCATCAAACCACTGGGAATTTTTAACAGAGTAAAACCTCGTGAAGAAGGCGAAGAGAGAAAAAAATTGATTCATTTGAAATATGGTGTCGGGAGAGAGTTGTACAGATGGACCACCAGAAAGATGAACAAGTGAGTTCTAGAGCAAATTAAGCCTGAAACATCACTGGAGCCCAAAATGACAAAACTGCAGCTGTCTTACTTTGGGCGCATCATAAGAAGGCAGGGTTCTTTAGAAAAGAGGGTAATGCTGGGAAAACAGAAGACAACAGGAAAAGAGGAAGACCAAACAGGAGATGGACTGACTCCATGGAAGAAGCCATAGGCGGGAGTCTGCAGGAGCTGAGCAGGGCTGCTGGGGACAGGACACTGGGGACATCCCTCAGGCAGAGGGTCACTAGGAGTCCAAGCCAACTCAAGGGCATGTACACACACACCCCTCCTACTCATCTCACTGGGTTGGTGGTGGTAAAATAAAATAACCAAGTGACATTGGAATTGCTTCCTTTGCCTACACCACCTTGCATCTCTAAATTTGTACTTGGGGTTAGAGGGGGAAAGACTGAAATGGAAGGTAAAGGGGAAACATCAACCTGGAATGATTTGAATTCACTCCAAAAAAAATAAAAAAAGAGGAGAGTGAAATTCAAGTTGCCTAAAGAAGAACGGACTTTATCCAGCATGTTGGGTCTATTTTCCCCCTGGAAAAGCAAAGGAAATGGGCTTAAAGAGCAAGGAGTGATTCTGGGGTGGGGCCTGAGAAATGCTCCTCAGAGTGTTTCACCGGGATAGAACACGCAAGGAATTTAGGTCCTGCATGATGAGCACTTCTGATCCCTATGGTGATATAGTGTGGATTAGGCAAAACCTAAGGGACTTCCCTGTCTCAGCTAGTGGCAGCTTCATCCTTCCAGTTGCTCAGGACGGACGCCCTGGAGCCATCCTTGCCCCTCCTTTTATCTCACACCCCACATTCGGCCCCTCAGGAAGTCAGGATGGGCCTTGGAACCACGCCCAGAATCAGCACTCCAGTCCACCTGCACGGCTCCACCCTGCTCCGAGCTGCCGCCTCCTCCTGTTTGAATCAGTGCAGTTGCCTCCTGGAGAGGCTGAGACCCTGGAGTGTAAATGACCAAGGGCCCCAGATGCTGCGCTTTGGAACCCATCCCCCACTTGCACCAAGCACATTCCAGCCATGCCTCTCCCCTCCTGTCTCAGTGTGGCAGGAACTCCAAGGCAGACCTGATCCCGGGAGATGGGAACTCCTTTGTCAGGGGACTGTGGCTGAAGGACTGCCCCCGGCTTTGCCAAACCTTCCTTCGATGGCACAGCAGTCTAGGGTGCTCCCACCCAGTTTGCTGCAAAATCAGCAAATGTCTCTCCCTCTCCCCTTCACTGGGCCCAGACTTGTATCTTGGTCTGATGGCTCTCCCAGCCTTCTTGAGTACCCAGCCCTCAATTTTCTCTCACACAGGCATTTTCTCTAATGAAATCCTTGCACGTTTAAGCCCATCTTGGCATCTATTTGTGGGAGGACTTAGACTGATATGTATTCTAACTGGTCTCCCTGCCCTTGACTCTCTTCCCTAACCAGTCTATTTTCAACACAGTAACTCCAGGGATCCTTTCAGAATCAGATTTGTCACTCGTTTCCAAAATGCTGCATTGGCTCCCCCATTTCACTAACAGTACAGCCCAAGGTCCTTACAAATGCTCTCCAAGATCTGCCATTGACTGCTCCCCATTACCATTCCGGCCTTCCTTCAACTACTGTCATCCTGGCTCACGCTTCTCCCACCACACAGCATCCTTGTTGGTTTTTGTTTATACCAGGTACTCCTGCCCCAGGGCCTTTCCTTCTGACTGGAATGTGCTTTACTTAGATTTCTGCATGGTCAAGCCTTTCATCTCCTATAAGTATCCACTCAAATGTCATCATCTAGCTCCATGAGCCCCCCATTCACAACCTGATTTAATACTTAACTTGCCCCTCACACCCACAGTTCTGATTACCCTCTTTCTGCTCTACTTTTTCTTTTTCTCCCTCAGCACTCATTACTTTCTAAAATACTAGGTAATGTTTATCATTTGTTTGCCTCTCGTCAGTGAACAAAAGCTCCTTAGGTACAGGAATATTTATCTACTTTGGTTACTAGATACAGCTCAAGTGCTTGGGACAGTGCCTGACACAGTCTCGACATTTAAAATGCATTTGTGGGGTGAATGAATAAAAGAAACTAACTGTTTGGAAGGAGGTTAAAGCCGACAGTATTATGGGGGCCCGGCTGAAGCCCCCGTAAGTCCATGCGAGTTACGGGTGCAGTGCTCCAGTGCGCCCCAGAGTATGTGCACTGCGTGTTTTGCACACGTTTCAGATGTGTAATTAGAACAAACACTGCAGATGGTCTGTGCGGATTCTTGGGTGACACATTTCTATGAGCATAGCTACTTACTTTTTATCAGTAGATTGAATACAGATACGACATACATTGTGAAGGTGGCACAGAAACTATGGGAATCTGGGAAACTGGCCAGGTCCCATTCTTCATTTTACAGGGGTGTAAACTTTTAGAACTTTGAGACACAACTGTTTGTTGTATATAAGCCACTTCATCTTTGGTATGCTGTTATAGCAACCTGAATGGACAAAGACAAATGGCATAAACGGAATGATCTTCAAGAAAGTATTAAATGACTAAAGCAATGTACAAAAGAGTGTGGTTAGTATGCTACCCAATAGTATATGCATATACCATTGGAAAAAGGATATTCGCATACATGTGCATATGTATATATGTATATGTAGCTACCTATATTTTTATCTCTATCTACATCTCTGTATCTATATGGCAATTCTGATAGCATCCATAAGAAGCTGTTACAGTTGTTGTCTCCTGTGAGAAACTAAATGACCGGGGCAAAGGGTGTATTAGAAACTCAGTTTTCACTCTCTACTATTTTGTATCATTTGAATTTTAATCACATGCTTTAAAATGTCTAATAAAAAGATAATTAAGGATATATTTATTTTATTGACTGAAAGAAAAACTTGCAAAAGTACACACACCCACCTGGGATAAGGAAACAGTTCTCTCCATGAGCGTCTTGGTCCGCCTGAAGCCCGGGTCGCTTTCCGCAAGGACAGTCATGGTTTTCTTGCCGATGAATTCCAAAGCGTCAAGCCCGCCTGTTAGGACACTTTTACCCTGCAGAGGAGATAATTGCCCGAGATCTGATTTTTACATTTTGCCCTTTTGCAGCAGTCAGCAACTCCTAGGCGGCTCTCTCTTCACGATCAATATAAAGTCACGATGTTTTTTTCATCAGGAGAATTCATCATCCATTTAATCCTATTTTCTTTCTCTTTGAAGAGCATATGTCATGTAATTTGTAGGACATATATTGTTATGCAAAAATAAAAAAAAAAGGATGGTTAGGAAAAAAAAACCCAAAGTCTATTTTGGATTAATTATGTCCAGCTCTCTGTGTATGAATAGATATGTATCTAAGACATAAAATTAATAGGTGACCCAATTGCTACTTTTGTTTGAAAAAATATTAATCCAAGTAACAGAGTTATTTGGAGCAATCTATTAAAATGTCAATTCCTCTGCCAGTTTAGGGAATTCTTTAATCTAGGGCCCTGGAGTGCAGGACCCTCAGGCTATTTCAGATGGCTCCTGCATACTTTCAGAAACTAGTAATAACTGCCAAATTAGCATATTCATGAATAAGACAGGCTGATTTCCATATACTACTGGTTTTAGAAACTGTTCTATTATATAGCTATCCTCCTACAAATTCCTTTGTCAACCATTGTTTTCCTTTAAAAAAAGAAGATTAAAACAATCAAGATTTACTCACATAAACTGTTCATATAAGGGGAATTCAATTCTGCTTAAATTCTTTGCAGCTTATGTTCATATCCTCCAACTACACAACTGCAATTGTAATGTGCATACATCTGTGTTTTTTCCCACCGTTCCTGAATTTTGTACATTATATTTTATTATTATATTACTACCAAATGCATTTTCCAATCTTCTTAATTATTGCCTCAATAGCAGTATTTGATTTCACTGAGTTAATGTACTTCAACTACTATCTCCATCTTGGACATTTAGACTTTGTTTTCGTATTTGGGAGCAGTCCATAATCATGCTATAAAACAGATCTTAAAATACACATACTTTGGGAGGACTATGGGATAGCAGCAATTCACACTTCTGCATAACTTGATTTATTTTCTCCTAACATTCTACGGGGTATTACTTGGGGAGAGAATAAAGTGAGAGAAGGAAGGTTGCAGGAAATTTGAATAAGGGGAGACCTGGAGGGGTGTCTGAAACTTGGGGAGAGAGAATACAGTGCTTTTCAGTCCATGGTTTCACTTTCCATGGTTTCAGTCACCTGTGGTCAACTGCAGTTCAAAAACATTACATGGAAAATTCCAGAAATACACAATTCATAAGTTTTAAGTTGCGTGCCATTCTGAGTAGTGTAATGAACTCTCATGCCATCCTGCTCTGTCCCACGCACCCTGGATGTGACTCATGGGTTCATCCATTTTTCCAGCAGATCCACAATGCTCTAAGTTCCCTGCTCATTCATTAGTTACTTATTAGCTGTCTCAGTTATTAGATCAACTGTGGGGGTCTCACAGTACTTGTGTTCAAGTCACCCTTATTTTACTTAACAATGTCCCCAAAGCACTAGAGTAGTGATCTCGGCAATTTGGATATGCCATAGTGAAGCCATACTTCCTTCCAGTGAGAAGCGGGGTATGTACAGGAGGAAAACAGTATATATAGGGCTCAGTGCTGTCCGTGGTTTCAGGTATCCACTGGAGGTCCTGGAATGTATCCCTCGCAGATAAAAGGGTCCCCTGTACCAGAAACTTGGAGAGGACACACAAAGGAATGTGAGAATGCTAAAGACAAACTCGGAGAGCCTCACACTGTAGCTCACGGAGACCGTGAATTCATTTCTTATACCAGAGATAGTGAAAAAGCTCCTTCCCACCCCCAGCCCTACAAATTCCCCAGGGCATACTGGACTTGTATTGCTATTCGATCCTGAAACACGTTTTGCTACTCCCCATTCACCCTACTTAGTCTAGAGGTCCTCAAGAGTCAGGAAGAGGAGTAGTCCTTTTCTATTTCCAGCCTGCCCTGACCCCGAAGTCTGGGCGGGGTGCCCTTGCGTGTGTGCCCACGGCCCCTCCTCTTGCCACGTTGCACTGCATTTGCCTGGTGAGTTGTCTCTGTTGTCCGGGATATTGTGCCCTCTCGTTTGTCAGCATCTGCTCAGCATCGAGCATAGCTCCTGGTATATAATGGAGGTTAATCACTTTTTTAAAAAATGAATAAATGCATATATTAAACATGAACCATATTTCTAGAAAAACTAGTTGGTTGGTTTTACATAGCAGAAGATAAACCTCTTCTTCCTGGCCCTGAAGACCAGCTCGCCACCACATCTCAGTTAAGATGCTCCCCCGCTCCTTTTTCATTATTCATCTGTTTTGTTGCCAATAACAAGTTTCTTTAAGAGGCAGGCAGCTCCCTCAGCTGGGGGAGGGGTGGAGTGTGGGGAAGGGGCCTTTGGGTTATTTGAGGAAGGGAGAGTAGAAACTGGGAGGTGGGAATGGGAGAAGAATGTTGGTCTCAGTTATCTGGAAACACTTTAGAACATCTTGGGGATGTTGCTCCTGACCCTTTACCAACATTCATTTTTATTTAAATGTCTCTGTAATTTTTCAATTCCAATTTTTCAAATGGAAGGTTAAGGGACACAGAGCACTGAGGGAAAACAGCTGTCCCAGCTCTAAGAAAAAGGCCTCTCTCCCGCCAACCAGACGCTGTCCTTGCAGCCGTTGGAGGATGCCACTACATCAGACTGAAAAATGTGTCTTTTACGCAGCTCCTTTCTTTTAAACATAAACTGTATTTCATTTTGCCCTTCTTATTTTGATTCCAAGGTTACACCTATGCTGCAGAAGAAAGCATCACCGAACCAGCATCCAAAGTCATGAGCGAGGCCATCTTTTCTCTGATGTATCTAGGTCACTGGTAAATAGAGATATCAAAGGAAGGCGCTGGGAGGCACTAGGGAAAACAGAGGAAGCCGCTAAGGACTTACTGTGTTGTGAACCACGCTGGTGATGGCTGACAGCATGCCCCGAGACCCCGATGAAGGAGAAGTGGGTGGGCCTTCTGCCGGGCTCTGAGCTGCGGCTGCATCCGCTATCGAAGAGAAAAGCATCCTTTCAGAGTTCATTTTGCCAATAGGAAAGTTTCTTTTTGTGTGTGTGCAAAATATAGCCCAAGTCCAAGAAGCCCCCCCAAATAAATACATCACTCACTTTGAGAGGTACCATTTTCGGGGTCAGGCTGGACCCCTTCAGAAGAGCTGGAATTCCCAGTATGAATCCGTAGAGTGGCCCCTGCTTTTTCCTTGACTGCTGTCAATCCATGACCTGTCAGGAAAGAAAAATATGGTTCATGGATACAATAGAAATCCATGGTCTGCAAATTCTATAGCTCATCTTCCAGAGTTGTTGTAAGAAAGTGTGGTGATGAACAGCATAGACTCTGCAGTCCCCCAGGCGTGGGTTCTAGTCCCAGCTCAGCCTCTGCCTTGTTGGACGATCTTGAAGAAGTCTCCTGTTCCCTCAGTGACTCAGTTTCTTCATTAAGCTGTTGTGAGGAGTAATGAGAAACCTTTTAAAGTGCTCCTGGTGCTTTATTATCCCTCTTTGCTTCTCACGCTGTCTAACCAGCAACCTGGGATTCCAAACCGAAGATGTTATCTATAAATAGTGTGTGTCTCTCATCCTCTTTCCTTTTTTCCAAACTCCTCAAGGCAGGTATGCATTCATTCCTTTTTCTGGTTCCTTGCAGGTCCAGCCCATTGCAGGTACTCCATTGTTATTTGGTGAATTGAAATCGATTGAGCTTTACCATGCTCTTTTCCCATGCTGGTTATTTCTTTAGCAAGGAGAGAGCAGGGTCTGATGTGTCAAAATCGAAAGGCAAGTCGGTGGAAAAACCAGCAAGGGCACCCAGTAGCTCTGGCAATTGTCTTAAATAATAACAGTCCAAACACAAGCTGTGAGAATAGTCAGCCAGGATGAAGGGCTTTGGTTTCACTCTATCTGTGCAGGGACAAAGCCTTCATCTCCCAGCCCCAGGACAGTGGGTATTCAGTAACTATTTGGTAAATTCAGAGCTGGCCTTCTCATCCCCAGCCCTACCTCCCCACCCCCGCCCAACACATCTTGGCTTGATAGATATTATTGTCTCCATTTTATTCTGCAGGGTTTTGTTTTTTTCTCCTTAGAGGCCCTCACGATGAGCTATAGCTTTTCTCAGAATTCCCAAACTAAACAAAGAAGTTAATCGTCTACTGATGCTCCCAAGTGGCTGTTTGAGTCCTGGGGGAGAGACAGCATGCACTGCCCTCATTGCAGACCTCACCTCACCTGGGCGCTCTGGGGGACAGGGAAAGATGTCTCTCGGGACCTGGGCAAGCTCAGGCTGTTAAACCCCAAGGCAGCAGCAATGGGGGGGGGGGGGGCAGGGGGCAGTCATGGCAGGATTTAGGGCCAAAGAGAAGCGCTTGGTCTTGCAAGGCACTGTTAAAATGACCAATTACCATCCTCCTGAGTAAGAGAAAGACATGGATGGATCCCAAACCCAAATAGTAGCATTGCATCAGCTGTAATGTCATCAGAGCTGTCTTAACATAACTAGGACACTGATATTTACCAAACAGACATAGGACTAATTATATCCAGCGGGAATCGCCTGTTGTTCTACACGATCTAGAAAACCTGAAACATTATTTACAATGTTTACAACATTAATTACATACAGGAATATATGACTCTGTTCACTTGCAGATCATTAAATACAGTTCAAATTCATTGTTGAGTTACTTGGGGGGGGGGGGGGAAGACGCACTGCACTTGACAAACACACACACATGTGAATTAATTCTCTCTAGCATCTAATGAATTCCAAACATTTCAATGGGAACTTATTGGAGTTGCAGTAACATATTTAAGCTATAGAACATAATCATCGAACTTGTTTACATACTGAGTCCATATTCCTTGCCGTCTTTTAAAAACATATTTCTCAAAAGGAAATAATGTATATCCAGATCTGAATCTATAATTCTCACCTAGATTTCTGAGAGCTAAAGTCAGGGAATAAATGAGTTGGAAAAGGCTGGGAGGTATCTGCTACGGCTTCTTTGCGAAAGCCATATAAAAAAAGATGATCCCGCCCCTTCCTCTGAGAGCATTCAGGGTTCATTAAGCCTCGCTGTCATTATCTCCCCTTTCATCTTCTCCACACTTTGTGGGCTGGGACCCTGTCTGCCTAGGGAAGAACAGCTTCTCCCCGTCTCAGAACACAAATGATCACAGATACACACGCATACATTACCTCTAGAAAAAGCACTTTGTTTCTGAAGGAAATATCATTTTTACGTGCATATAAATGGGATGTGTTTGTTTAACAGATATGACAATAGGCTGCTACTCCAACTACACACATATACACACACAGCTTTACTGAGGTATAATTATATACAAAGAATCACTTATTTAAGGTTCCTCAAATTATGTATTCTGACGAATAGTTCTTTTTTCTGAATTCTTCTGTTAGTGAAAGTATACCTTTACTGCATTCCACTAGAAACCTAAAGCTATGGTATGTCACAGCCAGGGTTCATATTGCACGCCACACCCTACTTAGAAGAATAACTTCTAAAACTTTGCTTCGTGTGACATCTAGTGCTCAGAACAAGGAAGCAAAAATAAGGAGCCATTGTTGCCTTTGGACTGGGAGGGATTCACTCTGGGATATTGATCAGTTCTACCTATAACAGGGAAAAACAACAAATACGAATAATTCTATAGGGGACAGTTCCTAGCTTAGTTTCTTCCCATGTCATCACAAACCCTAAGTGTCCTCAAAGAAACGAAACCCCTCCAGATTCCATGGTTCTGAAGATGGAGTATGCTCTGCCCCTTGACATAGTGCAATATTGTCAAGAAGCTAAGAATGTTGTATAAATGCTGTGATACTGCATAATTTAGAAACAAATGTTAAGTGATTGTCTGGTGTTTAATTTATCACCTGTATTCTAGTGGCAAAGACCCTAAATCTTCCTCCCACGGTTTTATAAGGACACTGAGGAGAAATATGAAACTTTTGGTATGGCCTAATACTGAGTACTTGCTAGGTCCCAGGCATGGGACTAAATATTTTTATTTTTTTAATCCTTACCCAAGGATACATATTTATTGATTTTGGGAAGGGGGAGAGAGAAAGAGAGAGAGATTGATCAGTTGTCCCTGTATGCTCATGGACCAGAGAACAAACCCGCGACCCACGTATGTGCCCAACCAGGGATTGAACCAACAGTATTTTGGTGTACTGGATGGATGTTCCAATAACTGAGCTACCTGGCCAGGTGTGACTCAATATTTATAGTCCAGTAAATTATCTCACTGAATCTTCTCAACAACCTTATGAGATAAGGGATATTATTACCTCCATTTAACAACTGAGAAACCTGAGACCTGGTGATACCACTTGCCCAAGGTCCCAAAGCCAGTAAGTAGCGGAGGCAGGATTTGAACCTAATCCTTCTGACTATAGAACTCACATGCTCAGTCACTATGTTAAAGTTTTCTATGCCATCTGTAGTTGATTAAATGCCATCTTAGTCCCATTTCTGTAACTCCTTGGAAATCAGATCTTTGATGTGGAGCGGCCTCATTTCTAAAACATTGGTTTATGCTAAAATTACCTTGACTGACCTTACCTTGACCAAACAGCAAAGTGAAGGTCACCTCTACAGGGAAGCATTGGGGAGCTAACCCCGCCCCTTCCCGCCATGCCCTGGATGGGCACAGCTTGGTGTTTCCGGGATCAGCCTTGTGCTGTGCAGGCACAAGTTACAAGACACTGTGAGGTGCTTTCTCATACCTCCAAGTTGAATTTTTCTGTTCAAAACGCACTACGATTCCACCAGGCTCTCTTCTGGTGAGTTCTACTGAGATCAAAACCCTATTGAAGGGAGGTTTCCCCTTATCTGGAGGATAAAAATAATTTGTTGTAGTTGACCAAGTGGTAACTTGCAGTGGGGGGGGTAACTGCAGTTCTAGGCAGCACCCTGGGTGCCTGGGTGGCTCTGTGGGTCCTTCCTGCTGTTCTCGTGAGCCAAGGGAACCCCTTGGAGGGCACCAGCTGACTCATTCGGAGAATTTCCCACTGTTAGATTGCTCTAATTTTTAATATAACACTCCTTCCTTTTAGTCTCATATCTTTGTTTTCTTTTTAAAAATAAATATATAAAAAAATTAAAAAATCCCATAATCTCACTTTCCTGATTGATTTTCAAAATAAGAACATTAAAAATATTTGCAAATTCAAAGAGTATGGAAACACAGACAACAGAAGGTGTCTAGCCTCTTTCTCTCTGGACAGAGTCCCCTGACGTTAGAGGTAATTCATTATATGAGGTTATAAGTGTTTATGGAAATATTTAAGACCTGAAAAAATGATTGGTTATTGAAGGCAAAAAAGGAAATTTCCAAATTAGAAATTAATTATTTACTTAAGTGTATTTAAAATGTAATATTAGGTCAACTGGTCAACTGTTGTTCAAATAAATTTAACTCATATAGTTATATGTAAATTACATATTTAATAAGGGATGTGTGTGCATTTTATTTGCTGTAATATAAGAGGGACTTCCAAAAGGAGGAGTATTTGGAGTTCTTTAAAGTCTTAATATGGGCCTGCTTTCCTAGCCCTTCCCCCCATTTCCTTCTAAAGATAACGACTCTAATATTGTCTCTTGTATTTCCGTTCAGGAAAAAAAGAAATAGAATATCCCTACATGTAAGTGTCCTGGACTTGGCTTTTTCCACTTCACAATCTACGGTGGAGGCCTCAGCCATATGGATAGTGGCGGATGCTGTGTGGGCTGCTCGGGGTCACATTGCTCATTCTTTTGGCTGCTGGGAGCGTTGTCTGCTGAGTGCCTCAGCTGAATGCTTCCCTGGGCCAAGGGGAACCGGACCCCCCCACAACTGTACTACAATGACTGGTCAATGGAGGAGTCAGTGACATAAAGGCTGGGTCCTGTGCATTCGTGTGGGACACCTCTGAAGAGTCATCCCAACCCCTAGGCTCCTGATGGGATAGGCTGAGGTCCCCAGGGCAACTGCACGGTAGTTCACCTTTTTGCTTGGCTCCGCTCTGCTCCCCCATCCTTCACCCTCTTGCAAGGCTTGCTGCTGAGAGTGCTAGACAGCGAAATTGTAGCGCAGTTATCTCTGCCTCAGTCTCTCCTGGCATCTGACCTAGAACGTGGAGCTACCTCATTCTTTCTAACAGTTGCACAGTGTTATTCCACTGAGTGGCTATGCCACCTTTCCACATTCTCAGTAGATGGACACTTTGGTTGTTTCAAGTTTTTTATATACGTCTGCCGAACTCCCTCATCTCCTTCAAATCTCCGCTCAAATATTACCACCCTGAGGTCTATCCCTCACCACCATAAAAAAGCCTTAACCTGTACTCCTGACCCCTCTTATCCTGCTGCACTTTATATTTTTATAGACTTACCACTTTCTAGCCCTGTCTGTAATCTTTCTATTCAATGTGTGTATTGTTTATTGTCTGTCTCCTTCCACTAGCATGTAAGCTCTCCTAGGCCTGGGGTCTTTGATGGATTTGTTCACTGCTTTATCTCTAGTGCCTAGGATAATGCCTGGCATGGTATCTATTTGCTGAGTGAATTCCATACTGAACATTTTGTACATATATATTAATGAACCTTCACAAAGGATCAACAGTGGAATTGCTGGACTACAAGTATGTACATTTACAATGTTACAGGTCGTGCTAATTGTTCTTCTGAAAGTTGCATCAATTATACTCTTACTTGTGTGAGTTTTTGAGAAATAGAACTAATTTAAAAATATAGGGTGGGGCAACTGTAGGTTCACAGTTGTTCATAGGAAAAATAATACAGTAATTAATAAATCGCAATATAAGAATAAACCCCATTTTGTGCGCTCTCCACTTTAAACCTACTTTTGCGTCGCCCTGTATTGACTGCATTTCAGACTCCTCTATCAATGAATTCAAGACTTTACAGCAAGCTGTAAGGAGCAGCTGTTTGTAGACAAACACACAGATGGTGTTGCCCTGCTCAACCACAGCAAACTTCAGTGCAGCATAAGGGGGAGCCACTCACCTTCCCTTTGGAAAGCTCCCCCCACCCATGTTGAAGGTCGCTGTCTGCTCTGTGATCAGACTGCCTTTCGGGGCAAAAGTGACAAGAAGTATTACTGAACTGATAGTGTTTGCCTGGCCATCCAATAGAAATCCATTCACCCCTGAGCCACATTCACAGACTGTAAAGGACTGTGAAGCCTACTTTCTTTAGTTTCTCTTTTATGTATTCATTTTTGAAAGAGAAAAACAAAGACATGAATGATACGACAAGAAAAGAAGGAAATATTCTATTAAAAATCAAAGCAATCAAAAAAGGGGGAACCCGCTGCACGAGCTAGCTGGTGCCCTACTCGAGGGGTCCTTTACCATATGGGACCAGTAGAAAGTGACCATGAATCAAATTCTAATCATGATGCTTGAGAATTCTTATCTCATCAGTATGAATTCATGTGACATTAATAGGGATTTACATAGTTAAGAGTTCTCATTTTAGTATCATTTTGAGAAGCTTGCCATTCTCTATAATAAACGCTGTCAGTATTTCTGACAGTGCCAGTAGAAGGGTCTCATTAAAATGTGCAGAAGGAAAAAGAAAAAGTGTAACTTGGGAGAGGATGCAGAAGGGGACAATGGCAACTTTAAAAGGTAAACATGAAGATCAGATGCACCTCCCCCTCCTTGGGTCCTCCTGCAGAACGTGTTTAGACTCATAAAACTGTTGAAACTAGAATTTTAAATAAACATTTAGGTCTTTTGTAGTATCTAGGAATACAGTGCTCTGTTCTACCACGGGACTTTTGCTTACACATATTTGTGTAAGTTTCAGCACTCTCGACTTTCCTTCTGATTATTGGTCTATCACTCTTAGTATATTCTACAAACAAGTCAGCTCTCTAAGATGCTTGTAGGAAATCACGTCTGGTTCTCACAGCATCACTTTGAAATTATCATAAAAAAATATATATTTTTTACAGTCCCTTTCCCATTCTGGTTTCTGCCTGGATCTTAAATAATAACCATTTTTATGGAATTTTATGAACTTGTCCAAAGGCATGGGTGGCAGGTGATCAAGTCATCTTAGAATGTGATGACAACGTAGCTGCAGATGAAACTAATGCAGGAGTTACAGCCTTTCTAAGAATAATTGTTGGCTGAGAAATGTTTTAGAAGTATTGCGAAGGTTGCTTTTTCTCATTTTCCTTTAACTTTAGATCTATGTGCTGAGGCAAAGACAAAATAGAAACATACAGAGTAGCCAAAAGTCAGTTTTCTATATTTTTCCACTTAGCACAGTACCTACGAGTATCATTCTCCCTCTATATATAGCTACAAAATAATGGAACCATCATATTCCAAAAGTTGGAAGGAATCTTAGAATTTGTCACGTTCCCCCATCCCCACTTTTCCAAATAAGGAAGTTGCGTCTCAGAGAGGTGAAGTGCATGATGTACCTAGTGAGTGGCAGTCCTCTGTGGTCACAACCTAGTAGCAGTCAGGACTTGGTCTCATGTCGTAGGACTCCTGGTACAGTGCTCTTTCCAAGAGAGAACCACCTTCTAAGTGTTTCCATTTTCCAATTACTCTCCTGCCAACTCTGAACAGTCTTAACTATTGTGAAGGCCATTTTTCAACACTGTGAGAAGTATTGGTTTCTATTTCCAGTGCTGAACTGACAGCTCCGTGTTCTGTTACAGACTATGCGTTCTGCACTCTTGTCTGCAATTGGAATTCCCCTGGGGGTAACCTGAGGTTACTGAAATCAATTGCAATGGAATACATGGTTATTTTCTTTATTTTATATAGGCAATTTATAAACTTTCAAGAGCTTGTCTACTGCTCTGAGTGCTGTTTTCCAATAAGTTTCTTTGTCTTATGATAACAAACCATTAATGCTGCAAAGCCCTGGTGGATATTATGGCTGTACAGAACGGAAGGTACGCCCAGCTTGCCTGTCTCAGTTCCAAGGTGGCAGATCAATACAGAGCACAATCCAGGGCATTACCCATGACTTTTTCAAGCGTTTTTTCACAGATGGCTGAACCCTATCCCGACCCTATTTCAGGCTGTGAGCCCAGCACTGGCACCTTTCCATTTGTGGGACATTTGTGATCCCTATTTTATTTTGGGAGTCCAACTCCCAACCACTGCCACTTTCTATTTCCCGCTTTGGAACCCATGACTTCAGCCTCCCATCGTGCTACATGTTTTCATTCTCTATCAGGTCCACAAAGACACTCATCTAGTTTTAAAGTATATACTGGTATTATTTTAGCTACTATTACTGTGTAAAGTCACAGCACATCCAGACCAGAAATCTCCAAAACATGCTTCAGGAGCAACTTACAGATGGTATGCAGTTACCTTGCTTTTGCGTGCATGGGGATTGTGGGGACCCGTGGTGATGAACAAGTTTAGTCTCTACTTTTCTAAAGATGGCTCCAATTTGTCCAAAGGGACTCTTAGGATGAGCCTCAACATTTCAAATTTCTTTGATCTCCTTCATGTGCCCTTTGACCATTGTTGGTGCAAACAAGAGAAAAATGCCAAGATTCAAATACTTCAAAATTTCATCATGTAGCCAGAGCTATAAAATGGCACTAAGTTTCTAGAATTGGTGGTGTAACTGATGAGGATTTCAAACAGACAAGAGCAGCGGGGTAGGCAGTGTTGAGAGACGGTCCCCAAGATTCTCGCCTCCTGGTATACACACCCTGTGGAAATACCTCCCCTTCCTTAGAGTGTGGGCAGGATGGTGAGTATAATGGGAGTTTCATTCCCATGATTAAGTTATGCGGCAAAAGTGAAGGGATTTTTCAAATGGAATTAAGGTCCTTAATCAGTTGGACTAGAGAGACTTCATCATAAGAGAGATCATCCTTGACGGCCCTGAACTAATTAGGTGAGGCTGTAACAGGCAATGTGTCCTTCCTAAAGGGAGAAATTTAAAGTAAGAGGGAGATTATCCTCCTGGCTTTAAAAAAGGACCTGACAGAAGCTTCAAGGAGCTGAGATTGAGCAAGAAACAGGGATGCCAGTCTTACAGCTGCAAGGAGCTGAATTCTGTCAACACCCTATATGACCTTGAAAGTTGACCCTGACCACAGGTGAGAACGCAGCGGGCCGACACCCTGACCTGAGCCTGGTAAGGCACTGAGTGGAGGCCCTAGCCGCCTGGTGCCTGAGCTCTTGCCCCACAGGAATTGTGCGCTATCCAGTGTGTGTTGTTTTCAGCTGCTAACTGTGTGGTAATTTATTACACAGCAATTGAAACGACTGCAAGAGGGTATACCAAACATCATTTTGATATTTTATAGGCCAATGTGCAAATGTCATACAATCTTGAAGAAACCGTATCTCCACCAACTGTCAGAGGGAAAGTGGCAAGTGTCTGGCACAGTGACAATGCGGGTTCATGGGCAGTTACCTCTTCAGGCTCTTCTGGATCGATTTCTGTGCAAAGCCCATGTATCCTTTCTACCTGCATTTTTTTCTCTTTGTATTTGTATTTCAAGGCTCTGCTGATGAAGTGTCTTTTAGAGATACTTCCAAAGTGCCTTTTATAGATTCTTTTAGGGGATAGGTTAGTTGCAGACTTTAAAACATTCAAGTGGAATGATAAGCACAAAGCTTTGAAGATATATTTTAACAATATATTTTTGAAAGCCCACATCTTATATTTTAAGAGTCGATATAACATAGTGGCTTTTATATAAAAAGCCATACTACTTGGTTCTCAACCTAGCTACTCCTGACTTTGGATGAGGTCTTTGCCTCTGTGATTCAGCTTCCTTTGCTCTAAAATGGAGAAAATAAGAGTACCTTCTTATAGGGTCATTTTGAGGAATAAATGTATTAACATATATGAAGCAGTTACGACAGTAAGCACTAAAGATGGTCATCTCATGGGCCAATGTTAAACTATCAGCACATGGTATGACTAAACTATCATATCCTATTAGGCCTCTGAACTTTATCCATTCAAGTGCAAGATATGACACTTACCTACTGTGGCAGATGCAGATGAGAGCAGAGACTTGCCCCAGGAGCCCCAGCCTGTCCACGCCCCTCCGCGTGGAGGGGGATCCACAGCCTGTAGAAAAACAGATCAGCCACAGGGTCAGCGATGCAGTTTATCCCTCAGTGGACGAACATGCATTGGTTTGAAACAAAGAGAAGTGCTTTGTTTTTTAAATCACCGAATACCATGTCTCACTGGCTTGTAGTTTGTAAGGGCCATAAAAGAATATAGCAACCCACATTGCAATATGCACTTTGGAACCAAATTTATTAGCAGTGGCGTTGGCCTCTGAGCGCTTGGCTCGAAGTGAGGAGAAGGGAGTGTGATGTTAACCCAGACCCAAATCTCCCGTTATCTGGACGACAGGGACAGGGCTGTGGGGAGAGGGAATGATTGAATATATTAGGGCACAAGGGTGATTGGGAAAAGTTCAAAACAACTTTGTCTCAGGCAATTTTTATAGAACTAAACAACTGTGCTCTTCAAAGTAGAGTTAATGTTCAAGTCTCTGGGGTGCTCGGGGAAGCTTTGCCATGAGCGATGTGGGCAAAGTGTCTACAGAAGCATCAGTGAACCGGAAGATGTAGCAGCAACAGGTGGCCCTTTAAGGTAGACACCATTCAAAGCGTCCACTTCACTCACAATGACCTCTGTCACCTTATCTCTCCCTGTCTGTGGGCTTAGTAGATTCAAATTCTTTTGTTTAGGTATTTGAATTGGGACTGAGAGACTCTGGTTGCTTGAATAGAAGATAAAAACGCAGGTGGTAGAGGGTGGCCATGTTCCATGTACCATGCAAACTAAAAATTAAGAGGAAGCAGAGTGAGCAGAGTAAAGAAGATGAATTCAGATGAATTCCTGATACCTTCTCAGCACCCGGTTCCTGTCCCTCTTCAAGGCTCTGCTCCATTCCTATCTTTGGGTTCCATGAGATTCCTGTGTAGTGTATGTCTGTTTCTTTCTCTCTCTTTCGCTCCACTGATGTATCCCCAGAGCCAAGAAGAGCTCATGGCATATAATGAGTGCTTAATATATTTATTTGTTGAATAAACAACTGAAACTCATCTGTTTTCTTAAGTGTACAACAGTTTCTGTTACTTGCAACCAATGTGTTCTGATCCAATTAGTGAAACCACAGCTTTCTCTTACTGTCTAGGAATACATTCTAGAAAAGGAGGCAAGAACATGTTAGGAGTTGAAGACTCACAGCTCTTTGACTCCAAAAAGAAAAAGAAAGGAAGTAGTTAAAGAAGAAATGAAAAATTCCTATAAAGTTTGTAGATTCTATAACTTTTGACCCAAGGCTGGTCCATCAGTCACCTCTAACTCCCTTTCCCCTGCTGCCTGCCACACTTACAGATATAAGTGGACGTGAAGTAGTTTTAAACTAATGAGCTATAACTGGGAAAGTTGTGCTTTCACAGTACATTATACAGCTACGGCTCATGCTAGCCCTCTCCCTACCCCCGCTTTCCCTGTCCTGGACGGGGACACAATGCTTGAAACAGAAGCAGCCATTTTTGCTGCCGTAAAAGGCTCACGAGTCCCAGACGCTGGTCCTGGCATGCTGAGCTACTAAACCAGCGCGAGCACCTGCCTACCTCCATTCCTTCTGTTAAGTGAGAAAAACCAAATTGCTATTTTATAAGCTACCATAAGTTGGATTTTAGTTACCCAAATGCACTCCTAAATGATTCACCTAGTAAACATCAAACACTATCCATCAGTGTAGATTAGTGGTGAAGGGAAAAGGTTATGGGATTAAATCGCTTAGGTTTGACTCCAGGCTCTGTCATTTTGGGAAAAAGTTACCCAAGTCCTTTAAGCCACTGTTTACTTCCTTAAAGAATACAAAGTGTGGTAGTACAAGAACCAAAAGTCTAAGAACCAAGAGCCTCAGAGGTTTATTGTATTAAAAGAAATAATCCTTAATAAAGGTGTGAGCATAGTACCTTGCACTTAATATATACTTCATAAATGTTAAATAAGAATAATAATAATAAAACTACATTTTTAATACCAGAAAGTGAAAAGCTTTGACAGTTGGGTGACATTTTTTTCTGTTGGAAACAATGAGAAGCCTGTTAACATGAATGGCAATACTCATAATTCATGACTGTAAGCTTTCATTTTTGGTGTCTACATTGATTTACTTCACTTTGGTAATGGGAGCCAATGGTAATTTTATAACGTAATGAAGACATATATAAGCTGATGATTAATATCATTCTTTTATGGGAAAAATCACTACCAATGTGATTAAGGAGACTTAATACACTTAAGGGTGACAGCTTCTGACTCACATTTACAATACTTAATATGCTCTGACAGCTGGTAATTGACTAGCAAATGGAAATAAGTGTGAAATGAATCTAGAACTTTTTGCAGTATAATAAGTGATAACTTCAGTTGATTTATTAATCAAGCTCCTTTGACATTGAGCTGTGACCTCCCGATCAGCGACAAAGAATATTTATCAGCGGCAAATACCCAAATGACTACATGTGCACATTTAATACAAAAACCACATAAACTGAATGTTCAACAGGAATTATAAATCTATCTCATTATGAGTACTGTCTCTACTTTAAATGGCTTTAATGTCACATACTAATAAGACTATAAAGTAGGCAGAATGGATCTACTCAGATCTTCTATTTTATATATGGCTATTTTAAAGCTTTTTTTGTCACCTTCATACCATCTAATCCCCACCTTCTTTATCAGATAGCTTCACATCCTATTTTACAAAGAAAACAGAAGTGATCAGATGAGGACTCTCTAAACTCCCTGCCCCCTCCTTATACAATCTCAGAAGAATGACCTTACTCTATACAGCAAACCAGATTTGGCTTGATCAAGAGAAATATCCGAAACTCTACTGGTGGTCATGTAAGCATTTGTACCGGACTTCCTGGGTGATTCCAGTACACCCCCAGATTTAGGAAGCACTGTCCTCTGAGGCCGAATGGCACCAGCACCCGACTGGTTGCTCAAGTCAACAACTGAGTGTCATGCTGTACAGCAGGCTGAAGGGGGAAATACATGGATCGGAGCAAACTATTCACTCACTGAAGAGGCAAAAATCGACTATCAGCATGTCTTGGCCTATGTTCTCTCTCTTTTGTCTCCTTCAACAGCAATTTATTTTATTTTTTTAATTTATTTATTCAATCCTTACTCAAAGACATTTTTTCACTGCCCTTATTTATTTATTTATTTATTTATTGAGAGAGAGAAAGAGAGAGAGAGAGGAGGGGAGAGGAGAAGGGAGAAAGAAAAATGTCAATGTGAAAGAGAAGCATCGATCGGTTGCCTTCCATACACACCCAGCCCAGGGATCTAACCCGCAACCTTTTAGTTACAAGATGACGCTCCAACCAACTGAGCCACACTGGCCAAGGCAACAGGAATTTTATAACTTAAGCACTCTGCTTTCCCTTTTCTAGGGTGAGAACTGTCTGGCGGTAGTCTAGGTTTTCCTTAGTACTTTCTGGAATTCTTTACCTTCATAATTGTCCTTATGCATTGGTGTTGAACAATAGAGATGACATTTTTTTAGTTTAGGTCACATTTCTTGGCGTTAAGAATTTAGGGGCATTTGATCTAGATGGGATCTTTAAGGGGGCAATCGATTGGTGTATAATAAGGTCCTACAAGATCTCTGGGAATAAATGTCACTCCTGATTAGCACCCAAGACAACCTCTGAACTGAGGCTGAAGAGTTTCCTGACTTCCTAAGTGTTCCATATAAGGCTTCCCTTGCGCCTATACTCTCTAGCTATACTATCTAGTACTACAGAACATGCTACAGTTGCTGTAAATAACGCTGCCTTCCCCAGCTAGCCTGGGGCACCCTGAAGACAGCTGTACCACTCAGATACCTGGGCACAACACACAGTGTCATGGAACTGATAGAGGCCTTGGAGAACCTAGTCCAACATGTCTCACAGATTCCTGCAGTGAGCTCAGTGGCTTCTAGACTGTACATCTGAATGGATGAGAAAGAGGAGGACCAAAGATGAGACGGCTTCTCTGAGGGCATAAACTGTGGATGGGGTGACCCTTCAAAGCAGAGACCCTTCAGCTGGCAGAACCACTGGTCTCTGCCTCTTCACTAGGCCCCCTCCTGGCACCTTCCCTGCCAAGCTGTGGTCACCGTGCTGACTCAGACAAAGGTGAAGCGAATAATGTGGGTTTCAAGGGATCTCATAAACAAAGTTACTAAGCAGAAACAAACCACTTAGAGAAAGATATACCCATTTAAGCACATTATTACCAAATCTAGTGTGTCCTAGAGGATATAGGTTTGTACTTTCTCAAAGGACATTCTACCCTTTTTTTTTTTTTTTTTTTTTTGAGCAGGCATCTTCCCATAGATGTTTTTTGAAAGGGGTGATGAGATGCTTTTCGGCTCAGGTATACCTGGGACTAAATAGGCTTTTGAGTTTGGCTGTTTTCCTATAGGATCTGCCATTCCTTGGGGACTTGTGTTCAAGATTCAAAAATAAACTTTTGATTCAAGATTTTTTGTAGAGTTCACCCTCTTTTGGATCAGAAAAAGAGTTGTTTTCTTCAATGCAAGAGGACTTCTTGTAGGTGTCCAAGAAAGGGTAAATAAAATAGAGCCAATGAACAATGCCTAAAGCTGAGGCACAAAACTGACTTCTAATATTAACTCAAGATAAAAGAATAGGTTACCAAAACAGATCGTAGAATCCCCTTTTCTGGTAACCCTTGAAAAGAGACCAAATTTGCAAGCACCTAGAAGGGTTTCAACGTGACCTGGGTGAAAATGATAGCGTCTCCAAGCAGCCGTATCGGCTTTCTGCCTGTCTTAGAACAAACACACTCACAGGTGTTCCTCCCACACCGTGGCTCTGTCTGAGCTCTGGAGGGCAACGCCACACTTGTACATCCAGAGCCCTGGTCCCACCTCTGTGTCCAATATTTGCACTTCCATCCAGGTGCTTCTGTGATAGTTCATTCTAAGGAGATGCCCACCTTGACGAAGTCCTTGAAAGCTGACAGTGTTGTGCAGGGAGAGCAACGGACTGTCTGCCCGCCCATCAGCTCATCCTCGTAGCATCAAGGAGATTGTTAAAGTGCTTTCAAAAGCAGGACTCACTCAATTTGCTCAAAAAATTTAAGAGGGCAGATATATAGAAACATAGCGAGTTTTTATTGTGCTATCTTTATTAACAAGCTTGTTATAATTATTAGAAGTCTGAAATTGAAATGTATAACCTAGGCATCAGGAGCATATATATATATTTTTTAATGCAGGTTTTATTTATTTATTTATTATAAATGTCAAAATCCATTTTAAAACATTTAAAAATGTAAATCCAAGGAACACATATAATTTGAATTAGTAGAACTTGTGTAGTTTCTTTAAGTCATCTCATGTCAGAATGGTGTGGCTAACATATAGTTTTCTTAATGGATGAAGATATTTATTAACAGTGGCATTTATAATAAAAGTTGGGAACCAATGCTCCCCACAATAGAAAGATAGTGTGGAGGGAAAATGGGTTCCAGAGTTGGGTATATAGGTATTTACAGGTACAGGAGATATAATTATGTATCCTATTGGCTCTGCTTCTCTGGAGAACCCACCCTAATACACACTCTGGTGTCAGTATTTTTTAAAACTATCCTAGTGGTTGAAATGTTCAGCTAGGGCTGAGAACCTCTAGTCTGGGAGTTCTTAATCCCTTATAGGGTCCATGGGTGGCTTCAAAGGGCCTGTGAACTCTCTGAATTCAGAAACAAAATTGTGCACTTATGTTGACCGTATCTGATCCAAACTTCCAGATGACACTCTTGCAAAAATAATTGTTTGGTTTTGTTTAAAGATCTCCAGTCTTAAAAAACACCCTCTTCACTGAGAAAGCCCATCTCATCTTAGAACAGTTCAAAGGAAACTAAGAAGCCAGTTTTTGGGGGCTGGGTGAAAAAGAAGAAGCCTGGGTGATTGAGAAGTAAAGATTGGTGGTCCCAAAACAGTCACAGGGATGTAAAGTACATCATAGGGAATGTAGTCAATAATATTGTAATAACTATGTTCGGTGCCAGGTGGGCACCGAAAATACTGGAGGGAATACTTTGTAAAGGGTATGAGTGCCTCACCACTATGCTGTACACCTGAAACTAATACAGAATAATAGTGAATGCAAACTGTGATTGAAAAAGAAAAAAATTTAAAAAGAAGCAGATTTTGAATAAAAGAATCATAAAACATTAGAAGGATATCTAGCGGCCTTCATATGCAAAGTTTTCATTTTATAGAGGACAAAACTAAGGCACAGAGAAATTAGGTGTCTTGCCCAAATTAACAGACTAATTGATAGATTAAAGAACGAAAAGCCCAGCCCTCCTCCGTGCCCCTCCCCTGGTCTCCTGTTTAGTTCCCCTCCCTCATGGCATGCAGCAGAGTCCCTTCAAAGAGGTGATCTGATCACAATACCTGATATCAAACTATATTACAATGCCATTATAATCAAAACAGTCTGGTGTGGGCACAAGAATAGACACATAGATCAATGGAACAGAATAGAGAGCTCAGAAATAAACCCATGTCTCTATGGTTAGTTAATATTCAACAAAGGGGGCAGGAGTATGAAATGGAGTAAAAATAGCCTCTTCAACAAATGGTGTTGGGAAATCTGGACAGCTACATGCAAAAAAAAAAAAGAAAGAAAGAAAAAAAGAAACTTGACCACAAACTTACACTATACACAAAAGTAAGCCTAAGATGGAAAAAAGACTTAAATATCAGTTGTGACACCACAAAAGTCCTAGAGGAGAACATAGGCAGGAAAATTTCAGATATTCCACACAGCAACATTTTCACTGATATGTCCCCTAGAGCAAGGGATATAAAGGAAATAATAAACAAATGGGACTATATCAAATTAAAAACTTCTGCACGGCTAAAGAAAATATCAGTAAAATGAAAAGGGAACCAACTGTATGGGAAAATATATTTGCCAATGATACTTTGGACAAAGGTTTGATCTCCAAAATATATAAAAAACTCACACGACCACTCCAGGAAGACAAACAATCCAATTAAAAGAGGGCAAAGGACCTGAACAGACACTTCTCCAAGGAGGACATACAGAGGGCCTATAGATATATGAAAGGATGCTCAGCATCACTAGCCATCAGAGAGATGCAAATTAAAAACCACAATGAGATAACACTTCACACTAGCCAGAATGGCAATCATAAACAAATCAACAAACAGCAATTGCTGCCAAGGCTGTGGAGAAAAGGGCACCCTAGTCCACTGTTGGTGGGAATGCAGACTGGTGCAGCCACTGTGGAAAACAGTCTGGAATTTCCTCAAGAAGCTTAAAATGGAACTGCCTTTTGACCCAGCGATTCCATTGCTGGGATTATACCCTAAGAATCCTGAACACCAATTTAAAAGAACTTATGCACCCTTATGTTCATAGCAGTGTTATTTACAGTAGCCAAGTGCTGGAACAGCCTAAGTGCCCATCAATAAATGAGTGGATCAAAAAACTGTGGTACATTTACATAATGGAGTACTACACAGTAGAAAGAAAGAAGGAACCCCTACCTGTCATGACAGCATAGATGGAACTGGAGAGAAATATGCTAAGTGTAGTAAGCCAGGCAGTGAAAGGCAAATACCATGTGATCTCACCTACAAATGGAACCTAATCAACAATACAAACAAGCCAGCAAAACAGAACCAGAGACATGGAAATAAAGAACAAACTGACAGTGACTAGAAGGGTCGGGGAGAGGGTTAACAGGAGAAAGAAGGGGAAGGGTCAAGTCAAGGAACATGTATAAAGGACCCCATGGACAAGGACAATGGCGATGAGGAGGACTGAATGTGGTGGGGGGTGGTAGGGCAGGGGAGAATAATGGAGGAAAAAGGGAGACAACTGTAATTGAACAATAATAATTTTTTTTTAAATAAGAGGTGATCTGAGGTGGCACAGCACAGGATGAGTTCATGATGAGCAGGGCAGGGGCCTGGCTGAGGGATGACCCCCTCCCCCATTACTCCAGAAGGCAGGATTGGAGGCAAGCAGCCATTCTCCTCCTTTTAGGCTGGGTGCCTCCCCACCCCGACCAGTCCCCACGTGGATGGACGTGAAGATGTCAACAGGACTCAGCTCAATGGCTGTGTTCATGGACACAAGGTACCAAATGGGAGGCAGTGGTCTTTCCCCCCAGAGACAGGTGCAGGCACTGAAGGAACCTGGCCATGGACGTGCCCTGCCTCTGGTCCCCTGGAAGGCGGGAAGGTGTATGAGAATCTGAATGTCTGAATGTGATCTGAATGTCTAAGGTCTCCACAGCGGATTTGCAAATATGCATAAAAATTTAAGTGACGTTAAGGAAATATTGAATTGGTTAGGGTAGATTCAGGCTCATTAATAATTTGGACTCATGTTCACTATTACAATATTTTCCATTTTACTACTGAGTAGCTTAATATCTTAATGGATTGTTTAACATCTCTAAACCTGGTTGCCTTATTTATAAATTGAGGTTCATAACATCCAGCTTAGAGCCTCCAAGAACTGTTGCATAAGTGAATTACATAACATACAGTGGCTAGCAGAGTGCCTGGCAGAAAGGATGTATCCAGCTATTGGTGGCTGTTATTATTATTATTATTAATAACACAATTATCAAAATGCAATTATAAAAAAATTAAAAACACAAATATAATGACCAAATATTCTCAAATATTCCTTTTCTCACTCCACAACACATTTTGCATGACAGAGGTGATAACACAGTACATTTGAACCCCCATCCCCACCCACAGAGCTTGGCACAAACCTGTGCCCATGGTAGGTATCTTAGGTTGAACTGAATCAAATAAACCACTCCTACCGGATTATCCTGCTCTTTCAGGGGTATTTCGGATCCAAGTTCTGCCTCGAGGCTGACTGCGTCAACGCATTTGGCAACCACATCCTCAGTTGCTTCTCCGTTGAGCGGAGGCTCCAGAGCACTGGCGTCTCTGGGCTGCTCAGGGTGCCCCGTGTCAGCAGTGTCTGCACCCTGAGTGGCTGCATTTTCATGCTGCTCCCCTCCGGGGTCCGCCAGGGTTGGCTCATTTGAAACCATCGCCGAATCACAGTGCACCTCTGCATCCTTGGGTAAAGAATCATTGTCTGGCATCTCGGTAACTTCTGCTTTGTCTCCAGTGGCTAACGTGTCACCGGCATCATCAGACATTTTTTTATTATCTGTCAACATGATTGCAAACAAAAACTTTCTGCTTTAATCTGAATTGTTAAACTTTAATTCAAAACCATGAATAATTAAATTACTAATAAACTTTCTTCGACCAATAAGAAACTTGATGTGACAACGGGGTAGACTGAATCAATATCCCAAAGATATCCGTGTTCTAATCCCTGGACTCTGTGAATATCACCTTATATGGCAAAGGGGACGTTGCAGGTGTGATCCAATTAAGGATCTTATATTGTGGAGATTATCTTGGGTTATCTGGGTGGGTCTTAACTGAAATCCCTAGTGTCCTTTTTAGAGAGAAGCAGAGAGAGACTTGACTGCAAAAAAGGAAAAGGTGTGATGATAGGAGCAGAGACTGGAGTGAGGTACTCTGAAGGCAAAGGAGGGGGCCAGAAGCCAAGGGATACAGGTGACAACTAGACGCTGGAAAAGCCAAGGAAACCATTCTCCCCTCAGAGGCTCCAGAAGGAACCAGCCTGCCAACATTTTTGACAGTAGCCCAATGAAACTGATTTTGGACTTCTGACCTCCAGAACTGTAAAAGTATAAGTTTGTGTTGTTATAAGCCACTAAGGTTGTTGTAATTTGTTACAGCAGCAATAGGAAACTAATAAAACCTACAGTCCTATGTTTTACCTTTCATGGATCTCTTCCTTCATATACAGGGATATGCACAAGGTAACTAGGAGCATTATTTGTATCTATGAAATTATTAATTTAGTATGCTTTATTGATTTTATTTGCAGCAATAATGAAAATAAGCATAGAAAATACCCAAGAACTTACCAAAAAATACTTGACATGCAGCTCTGCCATGTCATCAGAGATTCACATTGAGGAGACATATATACACGTAAGTGTGCTTAGTTGGGTACCGGTTGGGGAAGGCCTGGGCTCTGATTGGACAATAGTTTAGACAGGGGTACACAAGAATGAAATGGGAAGAAGTGATATATTAAGCCAAATGAAGAATGCAGCCCTTACAAAACAACCTACAAAGCAGAAAACTTGTTATGCAGAACATGCTGCTCAACAGAGCTTTCTGTGATGATGAAAATGTTTTGTATCTACACGGTCCTGCGTGGTAGCTAATAACCACATGCGTTTCTTGAGTATGTGAGATATAGCTAGTGCCACATTAAAATTTTTTATTTCATTTAATTTTAAATAACTTAAAATTTAATTTTGTGTGGGCATGTACGGCTAGTGGCTACCTTACTAGACAGCACAGATCTAGAAGCCTAATTCAAGATGATAACTTTTTTTGGATAAAATGAGGACAGTGTTCTCCCTACACAAGAAGCCAAGTCTCAGGCAAATCAATGGGTACTTGTGTTGACCTCAGTGTTTACCAGCTGGTCAAATCTCAGGATGCTGCTAAAACCACGGAATGGGAGAAGCCATTTAACATACCAGCCACCTGGCAGTGCAGGTTTAGAAAGCACTCAAGTGCACAAGACAACCCTCTGATCCCCTCAAAAAACTGTTGTCTGGCTATTTCTTTTCCTTGCTACAATTTCCCTCTTGGTGAATCACATTCCTTTCTGTTTTACACACCACTTTCATGTTGAGAGTCTCAAAGGTCTACCTCCAGTCCATAGAGACAGAAAGTAAATTAGTGGTTTCCAGAGGCTGAAGGGAGGGGGAACGAGGAGTGACTGCTAATGGAGAAGATTTCTTTCCCAGGTGATAAAAATGTTCTAAAATTAGATAGTGATAATGGCTGTACAACAGTGTGAATATATTAAAAACCACTGAACTGTGCACTTTAAAAGAGTAAATTCTGCGGTATGCCATTTTTATGGTATATGAATTACATCTTAATATACTAAGACTATATATATTATATAGTATTATATCTTAATAATGCTATTATAAAGGAGTTTTTTTTCTGGTGAAGTACTTCTAATGGCCATTTGGACATCTCTTCCTGTCCAAAAAAAACCCTGTAATCTTACCAATAACAAGATCTCAAATTTTGGATTTCACTTAATGGCACCCACATCTTCCCCATTACCCAGGGTATTCAAGGTTGGAGTGGTCTGTCAACGAATATGGTCAGTGCCTAGTTGGAATAGTAAAGAATGACACAAAGCCACTGTACAGAAAAGGGCAGTTACTGTAGTTCATGGGAGGGGAGTGGGATTGAGGGAGGGAATTTGAAAAGCTATTGTCACTTGGAAACTTTCAAAATCTTTTGAAAACCTTGTCAGGATTGGCTTAGGAAGGAGGGTAGAAAACTATAGCCTTCCATCTGTTTTGGTACCTAAAGTTTCATTGGAATACAGACATGCTCGTTTGTTTATGCATTGTCTATAGCTTGAGGAGTTGTGACTGACCATATGGTCTGCAAATTCACAAAGCCTAAAATATTTACTATCCAGCCTTTTACAAAACATGTTTGCTGACTCACAGCCTAGGACACTGCTTGACTGCCACAGCGTAGAGAGTTCTCTGTCCTAATTTATCCTGTCTTCAACTGGGTCCTAGGGGCAGGGCTGTAAGGAGAACGGGTCTATGAGTAAACGATGCTGAGACATCACTTTTATTCCTAGTTTTGGCTCATCAATAGCTTATCATAGACACTGTGTATTTATTTCTTCGTAAGATCATTTGAAAATCCTTATCATTAATCTGGATTGTTAAGAAGCTCCAAACTATTTTGCTTTTCTACAACATAAGCAGGAACAGAAACCTGGCTGTGACAAACATTCGTGGGCAAATACAAAGCATTATGGGCACTTTGTTGTGTGTGCTTCCCCCTCAACGTGAAATGATACCATTCGTAATGCTAAAATACCTCAACACGCACCAGGTGACGTGTGTGGGTTGTCATTTATGTCCTGGAATGGTTGGTTAACATCTGCGGTGCCCTATTCAGGAACATTCTCTCCAGGGTTCTTTAGTTAGCATTTTAATACCTGTAATTGAGAGTTCTTTTCTTGAGAGGTTCAACTTCCACCCTCTAAGATAGATACTCCAGGGTGTGCTAATTACCATAAAGAATATTAGAAATCATTCTCACTCATGAAATGGAAATGGGGCTCAAGATATGTGGACCGACAACAATAATGTACGGGGTCTTTCTGCCCTTCCATTACCAGGGCAAAAGGGGATGTGGAGCCCAGCAGCTTATTGCCCCGTGGAGCAGAATACTGATTGCAGGAGAATGCCAAAGCCTGAAGCTGATGAGGAGGTTACCCAAGTCCTCCCCAGAGGCCTAAAAGGACAGAGCCAGTACTTCATCAAGCCTACAGGAACAAGCTACATAACTGAACCCAGGGGCTAATATACGTGCGAGTGTGCGGCAGGACTCTTTCTGAGGACTTCGTGGTAGTACCACCCTTGGTAGGGAGGTTGCACGGGAGGCAACCTCCAGCCCTCACCCGTCTCTAATGGCCAAATTGCCTTAGGTCAGCTCACCTCAATTCTAGGAAAATTTCAGCAACAAAACCTCTCTTCTCTGCAGTTGCTCTACATTCAACCAACAACACGAAGCCATTCCTTCAGAAATACCCCAGAAGTCAGCTCGATGGTGTTGAACTGATACTGTTAAAGAATATTTATGGTCAACTTATAAATTTCAGAAAGACTGTATTTTTTAATACTATTCAGCCCTACTTTAATTTCCAATTATACATATCTCTATTTACTTTTACCTGTTACATGTCTATATCTTCCCCTAAACCAAAACGAGAGAGGTCTTTTTCGTTTGTTTTGGTAAACCTTTACCTACTGTGGATGTTCTTATGACAGGAGAGATGTAGTCATTTTGAAGACTGTGCCCTTTTGTCTGTAATCATCAGAAACTGTGTGTCTAAATACAGAGCTGTTTTCTGAGCGGTTACTGTTGGAGTCCACCAGGACTACAGCTGTGACACTCGCTGTTTCCTGCGACAGCCGCCATCTCTGCCGGGACGCCCCATGGGCTGTCAGTCTTCGACATCTCTCCCGATTTAAGGTTTGGAACATTGATCACTGCAGCTAACTCTGTGGCTCTTTGATGCTAGGGAGCCTCAACCCACAGGAACGAGGCTTCTTCAGTAAACTCCAAGGAGAGGAGGGGTGCCATATAAAGAAGCCTTTGTGGGCTGGGAATAAGTTTTTTTCATGAGTAAATTCAATCATACTTAAAATGCTCCCAGAACTATGCTCGGTATTGGAGCAGCAGCATCACAGGTCCAAAAACAACGTTAAAGAGAAGACACGATTAGTACCCTTCAGGAAACAAATAATGTTTATATTTTATTCCTGGTCAGTCTTCACTGACCTTGGTGCAGGAAATGATGTCAGCTAACACGAACTAGTTAAATGATGATGCAAGACAGCATCTCAAATGAGGAAAAGATGAGCTGGATTGACCCTGTGCAAGGGAGAACCTTGAAAATGGCTTTGATGTGGTTATTTAGGCATGAAGGAATAAGAGTATATGCAAATATCCAGCCTCAGAAATGAATTCCAGATAATCAGGATGGACATCTGTGTGGCCAGGCCAAGAGGCCACATGGAGGAATAGCGAGGTGGGGAAGGACGGTATTCTGAGGTGGAAAGAGGAGTGCTCTGCCCCACCATCCCTTTGTGTGCATACAGCTCACTAATTCACACTGGCCTTCCTCACTTCCTCCTCTGTACAGTAAGGATGGCCAAAAGATCCGAGTACTTTGTTCTCAAACACCAGATTGCAGGACTGGGACGAGTCCATGATGAGAGAAAAATGAGGACAAGATTGCAAGTTTTTCATCAATCTAAATTTATTAAATATAAATGAGTGCCTCCATCTTGCAAGTTTAGCTTTCATGCTTTACCTGGTAGGAAAATGTCTTTCATTTTTATGAAATAGCGGTATAGTGGATGGATTTTTTTTTAAAATGGCTTCATTTTGCAGAATAAGAATTTGGTAACACACCGCCCTGTGCAACACCACTTTTCCCAATTTGAAAAAGTGTTGGTCATTAAAGGACAGGGAACAAAAACTCTGGATGAGAGGTTCTGAATCAGCGGGTAAGAGTTCCCATGGAACTTGACAAGGACACATGCCCAGGCCCCAGTCCTTTTTTCCTCCAGTGTGGCCTCCAGGTGACTGCCAGTTATTTTTCTGAAATATCCATGACAACTTTGTTTTCCTGCTTAAGAACCAACGTTTGAACACCTTTGCACAGCATCCGTGGCCCCTCATAATCCAGCTCCAGTCTCGCCCTCTGCCTTCTGCATCTCTCATCACATCCTATACTCTTCCTCACCAGGTTTCCCGTCACAGGAGCCCCCGCCTCCCGGCCTCTGCTTGTGCCGGTTCCTCGCCCCAGCTGCCCTGCCTCCCAATGCCTGGCCAACTCCTATTTGTTTCTCAACGCCTCATGTCACCTTTCACTCTGAAATTTTCCTTAATTTGCCCTTCTCCTTCTGAAGAACTGCTGCCTCGTCTATGTTTTGGCAACACTTCTTGCGATACTTCCCTTGCATTTATAAGGAGTATTTGTTTCTATGTCATTGTCTCCTCTAGGTTGGACTGCGACCAACAAGCACCTAGCTTGGTTTATTATCCTAAAATACTTACTGAACTAGAATATATTGTTTAGTATTGATTAAAGAGAAACAGTGTTTGGTTTAAGCTGGTCTTATAAGTACAATAAATGACTACTTACATAGAATGAATCCATGAGATTCAGGAAGGCCCGCTCCCACCCTCAGATTCCTTCTGCACTGGCTCACTTGTGCCTCAAATTCCACCCTGAAAGGTTCATTCCTTTGCTTAAAGCTTGCAGTGCAAGGAATTTATCAGATTCTTTCCTGAGCTCAGATTTTGACGGAGGAAAGGAAGGAGAGAGCACGGAATGAACATAAGGGAGGAAGGAAAGGGGCCGCCAGGAAGAAAAGAGGACAGAAAGAGGCCTCTGAGGAGAAAGCAGGTCTCATCCTGTTTCCCTGGGTTGGCTGAGGTCTCCTGGAGCTCAAGAGGCATTGATTTGAAAAGTTGCCTGTCTGTATCCCTCAAGATGTTTGGGATGGTAACTGACGGGATCAGTAAGGCATAGCCCTCATGGCCCACACAGAGACGTCTTCTTACTCTAGGAAAAGCCAGTGAAGTTTAGCTACCTGATCTGGAAGAGCTGGAAATACACCCCAGATTCCAGGGGAGAATACAAGAAGACTGGGTGGGTGGGGCTGGGCTAGGCTAGGGAGTGGGACTCAACCCAGGGGGTGGGGTGGAGGGGAGTGGGGGGCTGTGCATCAAGGTGGTGCCAGCTTAAGAAGTTGGCCGGAGTGGAAGGCAGGACGTAGGTCTGCGAGCGGAGAGATGATGAGCTCGGGTGGGAAGTCGAGGCCTGAACTCGGGTTTTCCAAGTCCAAAGGCAGGCGGACCCCAGGGTGGAGGCCTCTGCCTCGCCAGGACCTGCTCCCTCTCTGTGCCCCCTGCTGCCTGGACCCTGCAGCCTGCCTCCGACTCCAGCCTGGGACTTTGGGGGAAACTTTTTCAGACGTGCTTGGTGCTGGGTGCACACGGCAGGCTCCGCAGAGGTTCCCGCCGGCCGAGGGTGCAGACCCGGAGAGCGGGCGTGTGGGTGTGTGCATGAGCGTGGACCCGGAGCGACACACACTCACACACACACACTCACACGCCCGCACCCACGCAGGGCCCTCGGCATCGCCGGCCGCGCCTCCCCGGACCTTCACCCCCAAGCCCGATCCTCCCAGTCCTGCGCCCGGTGACAAGTCCTGCCGAAGATTTCTCACTAACGCAGCGGGCGGGATTCGGGAGCCAGGGCAAGGAGTGACAGAGGGTTTCACCACCATCCCGCTGTCCCCGCCCGCCCGGGAGAGGGGGACTGGGAGAGGGCGCCCCGGGATCTTACCGCTCAGGCTGGCGAGTGCGCGCGGGAGCGCCGGGCGGGTCCCGCCCCGCCACGTCGGCAGGGCCAGCGGGGACGCGGCCGGAGGGCGGGCCTGGAGGGGGACATGGCCGAGCGCCCCGCCCCGTGGCTGGTCCAAGGTCGGCCCGCCCCGCGGGCGCCGCGCCCCCCGCCTCCTCACCCCGCCCAGAGCGCTGCGGGGTTGCAGCCACTCCCCCTTTCCAGGTCTAGGAGGGTCCCAGCTGCCTTTTCAAAACCCGCCCCTCCCCCGCCCCGCCCCGGGAAACTTTGCTTTTCCAGCTCTGTGCCCGTGGCGAGAGCCCGAGAGGCGTCCACCTACCCGGAACGAGTCTCAGGACTCGCCCGACCCCTTTTCTTCCTTTAAAAGTGCCCTGAAAAGTCCGCTGACTTATACCAGGAAGGGGCGCCTGAAGTTCAGCAAGAGTTTGCGATCTGCTGATTGCACGTTGAAACAGCTTTCTCTTACTCTATTTGTGGCAGTGTGATCGGATTGAAAACCGATGGACCAAACAAAAGCACTTTCTAGAAGGTCTATTTGGAAATATGGATCAAAATTCAAATACATTAACTTTGGCCCAGGAAGTCCACTGCGAACTTGTCCTAAGAGTCAAATGTGCAAATATGTTTATCGTAGTTGCTTATGCCAGGGAAAGCGGGAAACAACCTGTCCCGCAGTAAGGGGGTGGTAGAGTAAACTATAGTAATTTCCAACAGTCAGGTATACTGTAGCCATTAAAACTACATCTGCACGTCGAACTCATTGCCACAGATGGAAGGCCATAGTGGAATATTAAGTTGAGGACTGGGGAAGCTTAGAAGAGTGCATGCTTAGTAGAAGCCTATTCTGGTAAATCGTTTGTATATGTTTTATATAATTTTTAAAACAGTGATTCCTTCTGAGTTCTGCAGTTGTGTTAGCCAATTGTGTTCCAGGTGTGACAGAAGTCTTTTGGTGTCCTATAGGAACAAACCTCTTTGCCTGTGGGACAGCTCAAACCTTTGCTGCACCTGCTACTCCCTGCTGTGGCAACAGCCCAGTCAGATCCTCCCGTTTATAGAGCTGGTTTCCTTTTCTTCTTTGACCCAAACCACACCTTTCCAACAAAACGATATTAACCAAGCAATCCTAGCAACAAGTTTTGTTGCTGACTGTAAATTATGCTCTTTTATGCAAATATTGTTGTTTCCAAGCCCACCAGGTTTTATTTCAAAACTTTTATTTTTCTCTAAATTAAAAGGTTTTTTTCTTTTTTTATTCGTTTAAAAAATTCTGAAGTGGAAGAGGACTTCTGGTCAAGATGGAGGCATGGGCAGACACGGCTCACCTCTTTGTACAACCACATCAAAATTACAACTAAAATATAGAACAATCATCACTCAGAACTGTCAGAAATCGAGTTGAATGGAAGTCTGACAACTTTGGAATTAAAGAGACCACATCCATCCAGACCAGTAGGAGGAGGGGTGCAGATGCAGAACAGGCTGGTCCCTCACCCATGTGTGGTGGATGAAATCTTGGGAGTGAGGACTCCCAGCCTCACACCAAATCCCCCAGCCCAGGGTTCCAGCGCCAGGAAGGTAAGTCCCCACAATTTCTGGCTACAAAAATCAGCGGAGATTGAATCAGTGGAAGAAACTTCTGGAGCCCCAAGCAGTTCCTCCTAAAGAACCTACACAAGGACTCACCTACTGAGACTTACTCCTTCTAGACTCCAGCACCAGGGAGGTGGCTTGAGGGGCCCCAGTGACATGCAGGGCGAGGCTGAGGTGTCTGGCATGAAGGCGAGCAGAAGCCATTGTCCCTTTTCTGGGCCTTCCTCCCAGAGTCGGCAGACTGGTGCCTTATCTAAGATTCTGTCAATTAGGCTAACACAGTTTGCCCCACCCTGGAGATTCCCTGAGACTCCACCCTCCCAATTTACAGCCCAACCAAGCTGCTTTTTCATATGAATGGTTCATGCTTCACAACTTCCTAAATCCTTTCAGACAAGCAGCAGGTGGCCTCAGTGAGCCCCAGGCCTGGCATTAGTAGCCTAGATTCACATACACCTGGAAATCTCCAAGCCCTGCAGAAGTAGCTGCCATCACAGATTGCTTTAAAACTCAGGCAGGGTGGCCCTGGACAAAACATAGGTGGGGACTGATCTTAGCCTGCACCACCCAGGAAACCCCAGGGGCAGTGCACCCAGTGGACAGCTACAGACCACATCAGAGCACCACCACTCTGCCCCTGAACAGCTGATCCTCCGCAGAGGGTGGAAGTTGGTGGTCAGTGGTCATAGCCAATCCTTGCAGCTGACTGGCCTGGGTAAATCCCTGCCACTGATCTGCCAATAGCAACCAAGGCTCGGCTAAAGAGGAGGGTGTACTCAGCCAACACAACGAGTGCACCTGGAGTACCCAGCTTGGGTGATAGGGGAGGTTGTACCACTGGACCCTATTGGACACCTACTATGTTAGGCCACATACCAAGACACAGAGTCAAAGCAGCTCTACCTAATACATAGAAACAAACACAGGGAGGCTGCCAGAACAAGGAGACAAAGAAACATGGCCCAGATGAAAGGACAGATCAAAAATCCAGAGAAAGAACTAAGTAAAATGGAGATAAGCAACTTATCAGATGCAGAGTTCAAAACACTGGTTATGAGGATGCTCAAGGAACTTAGTGAGGACGTTAACAGCATAAAAATTATCCAGTCAGAAATGAAGGACGCACTAATGAAGTAGAGAACAATTTACAGGGAAACAACAGTAGAGTGGATGAAGCTGAGAATCAGATCAATGATTTGGAACATAAGGAAGCAAAAAACAAAACAAAACAAAACAAAAAAAAACCCCAACCATTCAGAACAACAAGAAGAAAAAAGAATCCAAAAAAACAAAGAGAGTGTAAGCAGCCTGTGGGACCACTTTAAACAATACAATATTCACTTCATAGGGTTGCCAGAAGGAGAAGAGGAAGAATAAGAAATTGGAAATCTATTTGAAAAAATAATGAAGAAAACTTCCCTAATATGGTGAAGGAAATAGACATGCCAGTCCAGGAAGCACAGAGAGTCCCAAGCAAGTTGGACCCAAAGAGGACCACACCAAGACACATCATAATTAAAATGCCAAAGGTTAAAGATAAAGAGATGGGGGGGGGGGTGAGTGGGAGAACGGGTGAGAGGTGAGGGGATTAAGAAGTATAAATAGCTAGTTACAGAATAGCCATGGGGATGTAAAGTACAGTATAGGAAAGAGAGTAGCCGAAGAACTTACATGCATGACCCATAGATGTGAACAGTGGTGGGGGCATTGCCTGAGGGAGTGGGCGTTGCTAGGCGGAGAGCGGCCAAGGGGGGAAAATCAGGGCAACTGTAGTAGCATAATCAATACAATATAATTTTTAAAAAAGTAAATTGAGACTTGACCCCTGGATTTGGCAATGTGGAGGTCATTGGTCACCTTGACAGGAGTGATTTCTCTGGAGTGGTGGAGACGGAAACCTAATTGGAGAGGGTTTGAGAGAATGGGAGGAAAATAATTGGAGACAGTGAGCAAAGCAACTTTTTCAGGGAGGTCTGGTGTAAAAAGGACCAAAGAGGAAGAGGTTGTAGCTTCAAAGGAAATAATGTATTTTTGAATGTGGGAAAAATTGTAGCATTATGTGCTGATTGCAGTCATACGTTAGAGACAAACGATGATGCAGTAGAGAGGCTACTTGCAAGAGTGATTTCCTTCAGCGGACGAGCAGGAATGGGATTAAGTGCTCAGTGGAGGACTTGGCTCTTGGCACAGGGAGTTTATTCAGGAGCACAGGTAGAGCAGGTAGGCTAGTAGAATTTTAGGAGAGAATGTGACTAAAAGCATGCACATATTTCCATTCCCAGTTACTATTTTCAAAGTGGAAGTTGGGCAGTGAAAAAGGCTGATAGGAAAAAAATAAGAAGTTCATTTGAAATAGGGTGTTGGATGAGAGCTCTACCTGGGGCTTCCAGAATGATGAACAAATGGGTTCTAGAGCATATTAAGCATGAAACATCTTTGGAGGCTAAAATGACAAAACTGAAGCTGTCCTACTTTGGGTGCATCTTATTTCCCAGACAAACATGTTCGGGGAAACAGAAGGCAGAAAGAAAAGAGGAAGGCCAAATAGGAGATGGACTGACTCCATCAAAAGAGCCACCCGTGTGAGTCTGCGGGAGCTGAGCAAGGCTGCTGAGGACAGGACATTGGGAACATCACTCAGTCGTAGTGTTGCCATAGTGTTGGAGTCAGAGTTGACTCAATGGCCTGTAACACACATATGGAAGTGCTCTTCTGGTCGCAGCTATTTCCTTTGTAAAAAAATAAAGCATCGTCATCAGCTGGGAGTGGGAAGGGAAGGAGGTGTTAGAAGTATAAGAGAGAAAGAGACATAAGATAAGAGAAGGTGAGTAAAACAGGTAATGCTGCTGCTCCCTCTTAAGGTTGGACCCAGTCATGAATTTTAAGTGTGACAGTCATCATGGGTGTGTATTTTTCCAACTACATTCAGCTGCTCAGGCTCAGTATAGTCCAGTGGCAAGTTGGATTGAACTTGGGTTGAGGAGAGAAGAGTCAAGAACTGAGGGTGAATGCAGAGGGGACGATCGAAAGGATGGATCATGATCTTTCAGTCCAGTGAAGTGGGTAAAGAATTGTCGGCATCAGAGGGAAAGAGTTGGAGGTGGTACCTGGAAAGTAGAAAGCTGGCAAATGAAATTAGGGAGGGGGTACAGCCATCGGCAGTCATAATATCTAGGTTGTACTAGGGGAGTGCAAGGATGAGGTAAGTTGCAGGAAGAGATCATTAGGAGAGAGAATGTCAAAGAACTAAGAAGCCAGGGGAATGAAGGAATGTCTACATAGCTATTGAAATCACTAGTTGTGCCAGGGGTGGTGATGGACTTAGTGAGAGGTGCTAAAATGTGAATGAGGGAGGGATAAGGTTCTGTGGACTACTGCAACCGGGAGGCATACGTTCCAGGGGTTGGGGGCGGGGGCGGGGAGGAACAGTGATCCGGAAGTAGCAGCTGAGAGTTAAGGATGCCTATCCCACCTCTAGGCTATGAGGTGTGAGGGATGCAATTGAGAAAATAGGGACCAGTAGAGGGCGGTGTGTTCAGTACAGAGTTTAGGTCTCTAAGTGCTCTCTGCTCCTCTCTGTGTTGGAATGGAATCACCTGAAGAGCTTTTGGAATAGTATTGGATGCCTGGTCCCATCTCTCACAATCAAGTCAGAATCTCTGGACATGTTTGACAGCTGTTTTCTCATATTCTTTCCAACGTTTTGATGTTATTAGATGCTTTAATTTTTGTGTCCATCTCAAGGGTGTACAGTGGTGTCTCCTGGTTGTCTTAATTTGTCCTTCCCATATTCTAATGAGGATGTTTTCCTTATCACATGTTTGAGCTATTTCCATTTCCCTTTCTGTTATCCATCTCTTTATGTTCTTTGCTAATCCTCCCATTGGGCTTCTTAGTCATTTTTTTAATTGATTTGTAGAAATTCTTTACATATTTTATACATTAATCCTTTGTGGTCATATGTGTTACAAATATCTGTCCCAAACTGTGGTTTGTTTTTTTAATGCAGCAGATTATCTGAGTTTTAGTATCAATATTTAATGTCTAAGTTATCAATTTTATTTTTTGTGGTTTATGTATTTTGATAAATTTTTATATAATTTATTTCAAAGCGATTGGTAGACACAGATATTTGACTATTTTTCTGGGGAAAGAGAAAAGCAGCTTGACCTCTGTTCAAATTGGGACAGTATATTTGCTGGCCTTACACTATGTTATTTTACTTTTCCCACTATGATACTACTTTATTTTATAATGTAAAAATGCATAAAATAATAATGTGTGGACATATTTTAAAAATTCAAACAGGGCAAAAGAGCATAAAATGGTAATAAAAATATGTCTCTCTCTTGGTTCATCTGCTCAGAGGTGACAGTTTATTTATCCTCTCAGAAAAAAATTATGCATATATCAGCATATGTATGTAGACCCTTGTGTTAGTTTCCTGTGTCTGCCATAAGAAAATTCCACAAATTGGGTGGTTTAAAACAACAGAAATTTATTCTCTTAGTAGTTTTGGAGGCCAGAAGTCCAAAACCAAGGTGCTGGCAGGTCTACTAGGTTCTGGGGGTTCCAGGCATTTCTGGACTTGTGGCTACAGAGCTCCAGTCTCTGCTTCTGTTTCCAGAATGGTCTGCTGCTCTCTCTCTCTGTCTTCCCCTGAGTGTGTCTCATAAGGACACCTGGTGTCTTACAGGCACCATAGTGCAATGCTGAAGCATGTAGACACAAGGGATAGATTGCATCTGGGTTCTAACCCCAGCCCCACCGCTGACCAGTGGTGCAAGCTTGGGCAGTTAACTAACTACTTTCCCCTTTCTCCCTTGAGTGGGAAAAGTGATAGTACTTGTCTCAGAGCACCTTTATGAGTTCATACTTGGAAAGTACTCAGAACAATGCCTAGCAAGAAGATCATCTATGCAGATGTCTTACTGATGAGATTTTACACAAATGCTGTCTCACTCTCTATACTGTTCCATACCTTACTTTTCTTTTGCACTTGAATGTAAAAAAATCAGTGTATTTGCATTTTGATTTTGAAACTATTGTTTTTTAAATTTTACTCATTTGGGCCCAGTAATATATGTTATGTTTTTAATAATTCCATTTAGGCTAAAGTTTTACATTTTCACTATCTTAAAGAAATTCTCCAAGAAGAAAGTTAAGTATTTTTAAAGATCATAGGCCAGCCATTAAACCAATCAACTAATCAATTGATATTCTTAATTTTTTTAGTGACTAAAAAAATTTCATTTTTGTCTTTATTTTTATTGTTGACATGCTTGCAGCTATCCCTGTCTCCACTCCCCCTTGCCTGCCTCCCCCCGGCCCCCTCGTCCTTCCTTCAGGCCATCACCACACTGTTGTCTGAGTCCAGGGGGTCACTCATATCTGTTCTTTGGCTCATCCCTTCACCTTCTTCCACCCAGTTCCCCCTTCTTCCCTCTCCTCTGACAGCAGTCAGTTTATTCCATGTATCCATGCCTCTGTTCTATTTTGTTTGTCAGTTAATTTTTTACACACATAAGAATGTGTGTGTGCCTTTTCTTAATATCATATCCTGAAGTCTTACCCCCTCAGCCTATAAAAAGGTAAGGTTTGCATAGAATTCCGAAGCTCCTTACGATAATGACTTCTCTTCTGTGTCAGTCACTGAGGCAGCCACTTTGTATTCATTATCTTCCCTACAAATCACGAGCATTCCTATCTTGTGGATGAATAAATGGAGTCGCTGTGAGGTTAAGCAGCTTGCCCAGCCAGGGCCATGCAGCTAGCACACAGCATTGTGAATGTGGCCGGTCCAGCACTGCCTGTTTATTGGGCATGCGCTCTTCCATGTTACCTGATTTTTGTCATTTTCTTAAAGACACTTCTCGGAATTATAACAGCTGCAACACAGTAGTCTCCTTGTTCCTCTAAACTAGCATTATTATGCAATGCCCTGAAGAGCATTTGTTAGTCACTGTGCGATGTGACCGCAACTGCAGAGATATGTGCACTACATACGTGCGCATGTGTGTGTATTTTCTTAAAGACTGTAGTCCTGTGTGCCTTGAAATTTCCTCAGAGCCACAACTGGCCCCTCTCCCCTCTGGCTGATTCCAAATCTGCCTTCCCAGTGTCACCGATACCCGCTGCTCTCTCATTGTCTCCTTTTGCTCCCGCAAAAGGATTTGTCCCGCAGAGACCAATCTACTTGCTGAAAGGCCCAAGAGGACTTCCTGTTATGTTTGGTGAATAAGGATGAAAAGTAAAAAGCTGGCCTTTCCTTTCCCTCTGAAAGCAGAAGTGATTCTTACCAGATGTCCAACTTTGGCGCGAGTCAAAGGGGTCTTAACTTGCTTTTTGGTAATGATGAGGTAAATGCCAGACAGCGAGATTAATTACAGGATGATTATTTAACCCATGTGTTCAGCTCTTTACAGAACCTGAGTTAAGTGGAAAGTGTTAGGAATAGGGACTAGTGGCTGCTTGAAGTCTCTGGCTAACCAGACACCCTCTTTTTGTAACAACCCTTGTTTATATTGAGAAATAGAGTGAAGAAATAAAATGGAGTCACTATGGTCAAGCTGCTAAATTACTGAAATCAAATAGGTTTAGGCATGAGGAAATGAGTTTGTTTTTGTTTCAATTAGCCTGGGAACTTGGGCCTTTTCTTTCTTCTTCGAAACGCTCCTGGGTTTTTCTCTTTCCTATGTTTCCAGTTTCTAAACTCTAAGACCCTTGAATAAAGCTTCATCATTTATTTCTAGTCTAAGTCTCCAGGTTTCTTGTGAGTTCATTTGACAATATCATCCTAAAATTATTCTAAATTCCCTTTAGAAAACTGATTTTTGAAATTAGTCCTGTAGGACCCCAGTGTTATTTGTGATTCTAGAATCTAGAGTTCAAGTCTCTAATAATACTAAATGTTGGTCAGAGTGTGGGGGAACAGGAGGCAATTTCCCCCGGGTGTGGCTATATACAAGTATATGAATCAAATATTAAGCTTTCCTTGAAAGTTGACTTAAAAAAAATCTTGGACCCAAGCTTATTTTAACATATCTCATCCAGTTAAGATAATGCTCCAAAATTGCTTAATAATGGTAGTTGCAGTTATTTTGGAAGTGTTAAGTATGGTGATAATAGAAAACAGGCAAAGTTCAGTAAATTTCCACCCTGGTGACAATTTCACATACAGGCTACAAACTCTTACAGACACATCTTACCTTAGAAACAGCTTTCTTCACACTGAAATTGTCAGAAACTTCCTGCTCATACAAATTTAAAAATCTGACTTTGTCTGCAGTGCATAGAAACCTGCTGATTCAGTCTTTGAACTGTGTGTAACCTTCCAAACGGAAATTCACAAATAGGAGTAATTCCAGGAAGGTCCAACAGATGGCTCCAAACTGTTTCTGTGGTATTGCTTCACTTTAAGGACTTCCACTTCGCCAAGCACTTACCGTTCTGCATTTAGGAGTTACTTTCTCTTCTTCTGAGAACAAAATCTCGGTAAGTAAGTAAGCAGGCTTTTTTTGCCTTTTCAAATTATGATGTAATTACTTCAAACAAGCAAGAAAATGCTAACAATTGTATGGGAAATAGGTAACGTTTCTTTGACATTTTGGCATGATGATTTTACATGTTTTTTTTAATGTTGCAAATGTCCTCTTAAATATACAAGACAGTTAAAGGTATGACTATGCTGAAAGGATATAAAAAATAACTAGCATTTGTAGTCATACTGAAGGGGAAAACTAGCTGATGACATTTCTTTCTCCTGCTTTTGTCTACTGCATTTTCTCTCTTCACCTTCCTCTAGTTCCTTTTATTCAGTAACAAAGTAGTTTATGCCACTGATATGGTACTTATCACATATTATGTATCTTTATAGTACACATGAGTGTTTTATCTCCCCTGCCATGTGGTTTTATAATTGCCTATTTGTATCTGTCACTAATTTATAAGCATTTGGAAAGCTGGGATTACGGTGGTGTCGTTCATGTTTATATCCCCAGCTTCTCATGCCAGCAAAGTCCTCGCACATAGTACACTCTGAAAAAACAGCTACTACATGAAGGAAGTGGCAGGGACTGACCTAGGACTCGCCTGTCTTTGGGTCTCTCACCTACGTTTTGACAAGTATAACAATGTTTCTCTTTCACACTTGTTGACTTGATTATGGAATGACACCCCCATGTTTTTATCTTCCCTTTCTTGTAGTTTTAACTTTCATAGGTCTCTTTTTTTTCTGGAAAGACAGCATTTTTTTCTTGAAAGAGAGCTTCTTCCATCTTTTTTTCCTCCCTCTTTTCATTTGAAGCATTAAAGAAAAAGAAAAAACAGCTTTCTCTTTTTTTGTCTCTTGTTACTTCCTTTAAAAAAGAGTTGTGAACTCTCCAATCATCCACTCTCATTTCCCTTTTTCCTCTCCTTTATTTTTTCTGAACTATAAAAGCTCCTGGGTGGTATTTTAAGGGTGTACACTGGGAACTGCTTGAGGGCATAAATGCCCCTGAAGGAACATTATGTTTGGGGGACAGGGCACTACCAGGGTAGCTGATCAATTTCCGCATGTGGTGGCTAAATTTCAGTCCCCTGAACACAGGCGCCACAGAGGGACCTCTAGGTAGGTTCTCATTCATGAACGCCAATTATATACAACACATGGAAGAAGTTCTCTATATATACAATGAATATAAGCCTGGTTCTTTTTTTTTTAATTTTATAAAACTTCTTTATTATAAACTGAATTACCTAATATAAATGAATTTTTTTGCAGGAGTTCACCGTTTTCCATTTTTCCATCTGTGTTTGCCTGCCCTAATACCAGACTACATAAAGCACAGCTTTATAATATGCTTTGCTATCTAGAGTGACTATTCATCTTCAGAATTTTCTTGGTTATTTTATGCATCTTTTCCCCACAAAAACTTAAGAATGAGCTTGTCATTGCATATAAAAAATGTTGTTGTGATTTTGATTGAGTTACGTTGAATTTTATTATTTTCTCAAAAATTTGCATCTTTATGATTTTAGTCTTCTCATAGAAATCATGATATACCTCTTCTGTTTCTTTAGGTATTTATGGGGGAGGTCTGTTAGCAGCAGTTTATATTCATATAGGTTTTTTTGGTAAAGTATTTGGGGTTTTTTTGTTGTTGTTCAAATACATTTGTCTCCATTTTCCTGCCACCACTTTCCCCTGCCCCACCTCCCCAATCCTTCCCCACTTTGCAAGCCTATTTGTTTAAATATAAAATATTTTTAATTAGCTGTATTTTAAGAGAAACCTTATTTTGATGTATTAAAGATGCTCAAAATTAGAAATTTTGAAAATATACAAAAGCATAAGAAAAAAAAGTAGCTATGATTCAGAGATCCAGAGATAAATACTGTCAGCATTTGATATATTTCTTCCCATTCTTTTTTCCTCTAGGCTGTGTGTACATGTCAGGTTTTAAACATATTTACAATATTGGAATCCTACCACATATACAATTTTGTATTTTTTTATTCACATAACTTTATATTTTAGACCTTATTTTTTTTTCAAAAGTGCAATACTTGGACTGCATGCTATTCCATGTTATAAGTGTGCCATAATCGATTAAACCATTTTCTACACTAGACATTATCAATTTTTTCAGCTTTTCATTATGTCATGAGCATCGTCATAGCAATACTTTAATGCATATCTCTTGATAATTCCCTTAGGAGACTGTTCTGGGAACTGGGATTGCTAAAATAAAGGTGAGCATATTTTTAAAGAATTTATGTAAGTGACCGCATTGCCCTTCAGAAAGGTTGTATTAATTTTTTTTTCTACTAGCAAATAGTAAATAACAGTTCTTATTCCTGCCTTCCTCTTCCACTTGGAAGGACTCTGGTGATCATATCAGGCCCACCCAAATAATCCAGGATATTTTTCCTATTTTAAAGTCAGCTGATTAGCAACCTTAACTCCAGCTGGAACGGTCATTCCCTTTTTCCATGTAACAGCATAGTCACAAGTTCTGGAATGAGGGAATAACCATCTTTGTGAGGCTAATATTCTGTCTATCATAGTCCAATCGGTGTACGAACTTCAGAGACTTCTCTTGCTTTCAGTGCCCTAAGAACTTCCCTTCTTGCTTTTCATGTGTGTGTGTATTTTTCCATCGTTCGGGGGGACTTAGGCCAGAGAGGGAGGCTGGTGTAGGGGGACACCATCCTGTTGACTCTCATAATTCTAATTAAAATGTGATTTTCCTAATCCAGAAAATAGTTATAACATTTTTAAAAAGTGGTTGAAAAAGTTTATTTTGTAGTGAGAAATGTGACTTTAATAATATTTGCTTTGGGGTATTTATTAAAAAATTTATTTGATCTAAGAAAGAATTAATTTTAGTAAATGCTTCATGAACATGGCAAATTTAGATATACAAAGTTCTCTTTTAGGAAGTATAAAGTTTATAAGTCTCTGTTAAGCTTTTACTCATTATTTCATTCAAATCCTCCATTATGTTTAATTTTTGCTAATTGATCTAACTATAACTCAGAGAAATACACTAAATAATTCCACTATCAAAGTCTCCTTGTGTTTTAGCATTTTTTACTTTGTAAATTTTGATGCAATATTATTCAGTGCGTAAGTGTTCTTATCAGTTATATTTTCATTGTGAGTGGTTTATTTTAAGTAGTACAAAGTAGTAGCTTCTCTTATAGAACCTGTTGCCCAGTCCTCTGATACTTTGACGTAATGGAGTTTTATGTATACAAACTGTGATTCTTGATGAATACAGCTACCAGTGTTCTTGTCTCCTCTCCCTCTTACACGTATTGTATACAGCTTACGCCTCTCAGAATGCAGTGTGCTCCTTCAGGTTCCTCCCTACCTCTTCTTTTTCTTCTAGCTTTATTGAGATATAATACACATAAAACATTCTGTAAGTTTAAGGTCTACAATGTGATATTTTGATAACATACATATTGCAAAATGATTACCACAATAAGGTTAGTTAACACATCAATCACCTCACATGATTAGCTTTTTCGTGGTAAGAATAGGTAAGATTTACTCTTTTAGCAATTTTCAAGTATATGATACAATACCGTTATCTCTAGTCACTGCACAGGAGAACTTATTTGTCTTACAGCTAGACATTTGTACCCTTTGACCAACATCTCCCTGTTTCTCCACCTCCCAGCTCCTGGCAGCTACCTTTATATGGCTTTTTTAGATTCCATGTATAAGTGAAATCATACAGTATTGGTCTTTCTCTGACTTAATTTCACTTAGTATAATGGTGTCAGGGTGTCAAGGTGACACACACACACACACACACACACACACACACACACACACAGAGTCTGTCTGGAAGAAGTCCAGCCATTGTTAATATAACAAGAACGGTTTGTAACCTGGCAGCTAAGGAGAGTGGACTGGAATGCGCATGTGCGAACGATGATAACTTCACTGTACTAGTCAGTGGGGGCGGCAGATACCACTGAGTAAGCATGTGTGCTGTGTGGCCATTGCATTCAAAATGACTGAGTGAGTAGAGCAATGAATCTGCATCCAGTTTTGTGTTAAGCTTGATCATTCCTCTGCAGAAACTATTCGGATGATTCAGAAGGCTTTTGGGGAGGATGCAATGAATGCAGGGCAAATAAAAATGTAGCATAAATGCTTCAAAGATGGTTAAGAATTTGCTGAAAGTGATCCACGTTCTGGAAGGCCTGCAACAAGCAGAACACCTGAGAATGTTGACCATGTATGGGCTGCAATCGACAAAGATTGGCAACTGACAGTGTGAGAACTAGAAGCTGAACTGGGGATTCCAAAAACCACAGTGTGCAAGATTTTGATGCAGGATTTTGGCACAAAACATGTTGTGGCAAAATTCATTCAGCAGCTTCTGCTACCAGAACAAAAGGAACATTGTGCTGAAGTTGCTAATGACTTGACATATTCATAGAGGGTCCAGCAAAAGTAAGGCTTGAAGTAAGGCCTGCTTGAGTGTGGTTCATTGGGTAATAATATGGGTGTAACAATTTATAGTTTTAATTTGAACATTTCACCTAAAATGTCATCAGGTATGCTTGATTGTGATATTGTTATGTTGTAGAATTACATACTTATGATTTTGTAATAAAAGATTTTGTAATAAAAAAGGGGCGTTATTTGTGCTGAACCATATATATATAATTTTATTTACCCATTCATCTGTTAATGGACACTTAGGTTGTTTGCATGTCTTATTGTGAGTAATGGGGGTACTCCGTCTTTAAGATGGTGATCTTATTTCCTTTAGGTATATTCCTAGAAGTGGAATTGCTAGATCATATGAGAGTTCTATTTTTAATTTTTTTTTAGTAAACTCTTTATTATTTTCCACTGTGGCTCCACCAATTTACATTTCAACAAGAGTGCTCAAGGGGTCCCTTCTCTCTACATCATTGCCAACACTTGTTATCTCTTGTCTTTTTTTTTATATCCTCACCCAAGGACATTTTTTTTCATTGCTTTGAGAGAGAGAGAGAGAGAGAGAGACATCAATATGAGGAGAGAAACATTGACTAGCTGCCCCCTCTACTCACTCCGACCAAGGACTGATCAAGGATGGAACCAGTAACCTAGGTATGTACCCTGACTGGGGATGGAACAAGCAACCTTTCATTTAATGGGACGATGCTCCAACCAACTGAGCCACACCAGCCAGGGCTCTCTTGTCTTTTTGAGACGACCTTTCTAACAGGTGTGTGGTGATATCTCATTGTGATTTTGATTTACATTTCCCTGATGATTAATGATATTGAGCATCTTTTCATATACCTGTTGGCAACTTGTATGCTTTCTTTAAAAAATGTATGGTTAGGTGTTCTGCCAATTTTTTAATCAAATTATTTGGTTGTGTTTTTACTTTTTTTGCTATTGGACTATATGGGTTCCTTATATATTTTAGATATTAACCCCTTATGAGATAAAGTGGTTCATATAATATGTTTCATATGTGTTTTCTCCCAATGTGTAGATTGACTTCGCATTTTGTTGATTGTTTCTTTTGCTGTGCAGAAGCCTTTTATTTTGATATAGCCCCACTTTTTCATTTTTGTTTGTGTTGCTTCTGTTTTTGGTGTCGGATCCAAAAAATCATTACCAAGACCAATGTCAGGTTTTCTTCTAGGAGAAGCTGACATTGTGTTTACTTCTAGGAGTTTTGTGGTTTTAGGTCTTATAGTTACGTTTTTAATCCATTTGGAGTAAATTTTTTGTGAGTGGGGTAAGATTGGAGTCAAACTTTATTCTTTTGCATGTGCATATACAGTTTTCCTGACACCATTTATTCAAGAGACTATCCTTTCCCCAGTGAGTATTTTTGACTCCCTTGTCAAATATTAGTTGACAGTTTATGCATGGCTTTGTTTCTGGGCTATCAATTCTGTTCCACTGGTCCATGTGTCTGTTTTATGTAAATACTACACTGTTTTGATTACTATAGCTTTGTAATATAATTTGAAGTCAGGGAATATGATGCCTCCAGCTTTGTTCTGTCTCAGAATTGCTTGGCTATCTGGGGTCTTGATTCCATAGGAATTTTAGAATTTTTTTCTATTTCTGTGAAAAATACCATTGGAATTTTGATAGCTATTGCATCAAATCTGTAGATATCTTTGAGTAGTATGAACATTTTAACAATAGTGTTTCTTCTAATCCATGAACACAAGATATCTTTCCTCTCATTCGTGTCTTCAACTTCTTTCATCAATGTCTTACATGTTCAGTATATAGGTCTTTCACCTCCTTGGTTGAATTTATTCCTATATATTTTATTCTTTTAGATGCAATTGTTAGTATATAGCTAAACAACTGATTTTGTTTGGTTTTGTATCCTGCAGCTTTACTGAATTTTTATATTAGCTCTAAAAGTTTTTTTCAGTGGACTCTTTAGGATTCTCTACATGTAAGATCATAGCATCTGAAATCAGAGATCATTTTACTTCTTCCTTCCCAATTTGGCTGCTTTTTGTTTCTTTTTATTGCCTAATTACTCTGGCTAGGACTCCCAGTATAGTATGTTGACCAGAAGCGGTAAGAGGGCTTCTTGCCCAGCTTTTACCTGAGAATGTCTGTCACTGTGAGATGAGGAGTTGGAAGACGGTGGCCTGCAGGAGAAAAACCCAGTGTTGTGGCCTGAGCGCATCAGTGCCGCTGGGAGCAGAAATGCTGCTTAACGACTTGTTTGTTACTCATCCTTGGTGTCTGAGTCAGAGACAAACACATAGAGGAACAACATGTGTGCACACCTTTTGCCAGGGGGGTTATTTTCCTGAGACAAAGCTTGAGTACACGGGGCTTTCCTTAACATAGCTCAGTTCCTTTTTCATGAGTATAGATGCTTTTGGATCTGGCAATGAACTTTCCATTTTCCTTTGTTTTAGGTGGCTAGGTGCGTTTTCAAGCATTTCTGTGTTTTCATGGGCACTTTAGTGAACAGCTGGGAGAGGTTCTATGGGAGGAGTGATGAGGGACTTTTAACCATATGCCATTTTTGTTTTTATTTTTGGTATTTAAAAAAAATTTTCATGTGCCATTTTAAAAAAATTGGAGTATAATTAATTGGCTTTTAAAAATCATCTTATATTGTCTATATTATAGACAGAGGACCTGAATAGACACTTCTTCAAAAAGGACATACAGATGGCCTAGGGACATATGAGAAGATGCTCAATGTCACTAATTATCAGAGAGGTGCAAATTAAAACCATGATAAGGTATCACCTCCACCTGTCAGAATTGCTATAATCAATACATCAACAAATAATAAGTGTTGGCGAGGATGTGGAGAAAAGGAAACCTTCATGCACTCTTGGTGGGAATGCTGATTGGTGCAGCCACTGTGGCAAACAGTAGCAGTTGCCTCAAAAAATTAAAAATGGACCTGCCTTAGGATCTAGCAATTCTACATCTGGGTATATATCTGAAGAAACCCCAAATACTGATTTGAAAGAATAGATGCATCCCATGTTTATTGCAGTGTTGTTTGCAATAGCCAAGATATGGAAGCAACCCAAGTTCTCATCAATAGACGAGTGGATAACAATAGACAAGTGGATAAAAAAAGCTGTCTCACACACACACACACACACACACACACACACACACACACACACCCCACCCCCGTAAAAAGAATGAAGTATTACCATTGGCAACAGAATGGATGGACTAGGAGGTAATTATGCTAAGTGAAATAAGTCAGTCAGAGAAAGACAAATGTCATGTGATTTCACTTACATGTGAAATCTAAAGAACAAAGTAAATGAACCAACAAAACAGAAACAGACTCATAGAAACAGAGAACACACTGATGGATGCCAGAAGGGAGGGAGTTTCGGGCATTGGGTGAAAAAGGTAAAGGGATTAATGAAAAGATTTTGGTCAGAAAAAGAAAAGAAGTGGCCTGGTCCATTTATAATCATACTTCCACCACATTGCAAACTTCCTTTTGAGGTCAGGGATATAGTCCACCACCAATGTTTAGAATAGTGCCCAGCACATAGTAGGCACTCAGTACATATTTGCTTTATGTTTGTACATATTTAAATAACTTTATAATAAAAATAATTTTAAAAATGCCATTTTGTAATGAAATGTCCCCAATCCAGAAGAGTGTTTACTTTTCCAAAGAATGGTGAATAGAAATCCTACTCATTTATCTCTTAACTTGCTTTTCTAGTTCCAGTACATCTTCAGGTGATGAACAGTGGATCCTTCTGTTAATAAAACTGAACAACAACTAGTGAAAATCTGCTCCCAATTATTCCTGCTGCACAAGGACCTACTTGTATAGAAATGTTGTTGCCTGCTCTTGTCCCCTGGGGGCTCCTAGATAGTTTTTTCAAACCCTGAATGTGGTCCAGTGAGTCTCAAATTTCCAACCCTTTGTTCTGGTCACAAATATGGGGTCTGTAGGCTTGTGCACCTGCCTCCACCCCTCAGCCGGGTCATCTTCTCATTCATGGATTGTCACGGACGTCAGTGTCTAGACTGTGTCATAGTATAGTGAGAGCCTCGGCTGTGGGAACTGTTCTCTCTTACACACAGCAGCTTTTAGCTTGACCTGCCTTCTGACTTCCTCAATGTACTTATTAATATTTATCCATCTTTTCCTGTTTTCTCAGTGTGTCAACTGTAGGAACTTGATGTTTACTGATGATCAAGTGCTGAATCCTGTCTCCTTGAACGTGTTCTTTCTGGGGAAATGTGAGTTGGAAAAACACGTATCCATTTTAATTGGAATCAGGAATAAAAAAATAATTGAGATTTTGTGTTTAGTAAGTGGAGGTTTGATAATGCTCACCCAGTCTTTATACATCTTCATGTCTATTGTATTTCTAGAATTTGGGTGCATATCAAGATGCTCTGAAGAACAACAACAACCCTGTGGGGGGTAGCCGCTTCGACATCATGACCAAGGACAGAGAAACCATTGTCAGAAACTTTCGTTTGGTTTACATCATAACCTTAATAGTTGGAACCTTAATCCAGTTCTCTGATGAAAGTGAATTTGCAGTAAACAAGTCCAACAAAGGCCTTACCCATGTTCCAAAAGACCTGCCCCTCAAAACCAAAGTTTTAGATATGTCTCAAAACTATATATCTGAGCTTCACCTCTCTGACATCAGCTTTCTCTCAGGGCTGAAAGTTCTGAGGCTTTCCCATAATAGACTCCAATGCTTTGATATTAGCATTTTCAAGTTCAACCAGGATTTGGAATACTTGGATCTCTCGCACAATCAGTTGCAGAAGATATCCTGCTACCCTATCACCAGTCTCAAGCATTTAGACCTCTCATTCAATGACTTTGATGCTCTGCCCATCTGTAAGGAATTTGGTAACTTGACTCAACTGAATTTCTTGGGATTAAGTGCTAAAAAGTTACAACCATTGGATCTGCTACCAATTGCTCACTTGCATCTAAATTGTATCCTTCTGGATTTGGGAGGTTATTACATGAAAGAACATGAGGCAGAAAGTCTTCAAATTCTGAGTACAAAAACACTTCACCTTGTTTTTCACCCAAACAATTTCTTCTCTGTCCAAGCAAACATATCAGTTAACAGTTTGGGGTACTTACAACTGAGTAATGTTAAGTTGAATGAAGAGAACTGTCAAGATTTCATTAAATTTTTATCACAACTAACTAGAGGTCCAAACTTATTGAATTTTACCCTCAACCATATAGAAACAACTTGGAAATGTTTGGTTAGAATTTTTCAATTCCTTTGGCCCAGACCTGTAGAATACTTCAAAATTTACAATTTAACAATTGTTGAAAGCATTGATAAAGAAGATTTTACTTACTCTGAAACATCTTTGAAAGCACTGACAATCGAACATGTTACAAGCAGAGTTTATATTTTTTCACAGACAGCGTTATACACAGTGTTTTCTGAGATGAACATTTTGATGTTAACCATATCAGATACACATTTTATACACATGCTTTGTCCTGAAGCAACGAGCACATTTAAGTTTTTGAACTTTACTCAGAATGTTTTCACTGATAGTATTTTTCAAAAGTGCTCCACTTTAGTTAGATTGGAGACACTGATCTTACAAAGGAATGAATTAAAAGACCTTTTCAAGGTAGGTCTCATGACTAAGAATATGCCCTCTTTGGAAACCCTGGATGTGAGTTGGAATTCTTTGGGATATGACAGGCATGATGGGAATTGCACTTGGGTTGGGAGTATAGTAGTGTTAAATTTGTCTTCAAATATACTTACTGACTCTGTTTTCAGTTGTTTACCTCCCAGGGTTAGGGTTCTTGACCTTCACGATAACAGAATAACCAGGATCCCTGAAGATGTCACCAGTCTGGAAGCTTTGCAGGAACTCAACGTTGCTTTCAATTCCTTACTCCACCTGCCTGGGTGTGGTACCTTTAGCAGCCTCTCTGTACTGATCATTGACTATAATTCAATTTCCAATCCATCAGCTCATTTCTTCCAGAGCTGCCAGAAGATCAGGTCCATAAAGGCAGGGAACAATCCATTCCAATGTACGTGTGGGCTAAGAGAATTTATCCAAAGCATAGGCCAAGTATCAAGTGAAGTGGTAGAGGGTTGGCCTGACTCTTACAAATGTGACTATCCAGGAAGCTATAAGGGGACCCTACTAAAGGATTTTCGCGTATCTCCATTGTCCTGCAACACAGCTCTGCTGATTGTCACTATAGGGGTCACTGGCCTTGTGTTGGCTGCTACTCTGACTGTCCTCTGTATCTATTTTGATCTTCCCTGGTATCTCAGGATGATGTGTCAGTGGACCCAGACCCGGCGCAGGGCTAGGAACATACCTTTAGACAAACTCCAAAGAGCTTTCCAGTTCCATGCCTTTATTTCATACAGTGAACATGATTCTGCCTGGGTAAAGAATGAACTGGTACCTTGCCTAGAAAAAGAAGATATACGGATTTGTCTCCATGAGAGAAACTTTGTTCCTGGCAAGAGCATTGTGGAAAATATCATAAACTGTATCGAGAAAAGCTACAAGTCCATCTTCGTTTTGTCTCCCAACTTTGTTCAGAGCGAGTGGTGCCATTATGAGCTCTACTTTGCCCACCACAATCTCTTTCATGAAGGGTCTAATAACTTAATCCTGGTCTTGCTGGAACCCATTCCGCAGAACAACATTCCTAGCAAGTATCACAAGCTGAAGTCTCTCATGGCGCAGAGGACTTACTTGGAATGGCCCAAGGAGAAGAGCAAACGTGGACTTTTTTGGGCTAACATTAGAGCTGCTTTTAATGTGAAATTAATACTAGACACTGAAAACAATGATGTGGAAACGTAAAAAAAAAAAAAAAAAAAAAAAATCAAACAAAGAACAGAAAAGCCAGGAAATCCAACTTAAGAAACTATCATATCCATGGAGTCTAATGAACATCATGGTGTTAAGTCATTGACTGAATGGTGCCCACATTATCTGTGTGTGTTCAAAACAGACACAGAATGACGGCCATGTTTCACTGAGTTGGGGATGCAGGCAGGGCTGAGGTGGTGCTCACACCTGCCACCTACAGATAGCTCAGTCTCTTCTGGTGTAACCATTGTGCTTCAAATCCAAACAGCCCCATTTGAGTCAACGCTCAGTCACTCAAAGACTTTTCCTCTCCCTTCACCTTTCCCAGATGGATTCTGTGTGAACAGGAGTTTATGGGACTTCATGGCTGTAAGGAAAGAGCCAACCTCACAACTGTATGTGGTGCTCCTTCGAGTGTCCTGTGCATCCTCATTGGCCTCTGGGTGAGCTTTATTATCTGGTTCAACTTTAGGGCTTGGGGAAAAATTAGACCAGTCGTGGAAAATAAAGACACATTTTTTTCTTCACATGTGAATGATCATTAAATTTTTGATCTGGCTACACAAATATGCAGTAGTTTGCATATATGAAAGGATATATAAACTTAGTCATAGGCTGTTGAGGCCAAAGACATGGATTTACCTGCTTGCCAATCACTGCCCCACCCCCACAACCCACACGCACACAACAAACTCAGACCCAAATTTATTTGCAGCTGGTTATTGTATAGGACATTTTGGTGCATCAGAATTTTGCAGAATGCCTCAAAACTAACAAAAGGTGCATTTTAAACAGAAATATTAGGCACAGCTGGGCTGGACTTCCTGAAAAGTAGCAAAAAGAGACCAGTAATCATTAACCCATTTTACCATTTCTGAAAGACTAGATTCAAAAGGGCGATTAGAGAGTCATAAGGAGAGGTTCTCGATCTGTGGGGAGATTGCCTTGGATTTCTTCCAAAGGCAAATGAGAGGGGCTGCGAACATAGTAGAAGAGTAGTCTGGCAGCCCACTTGTAGCCTGAAGGCTCGCAGGGAACAGGAATGCAGAGTCCAGGGCAGCGGGCAGGCGGGGTTAGAGCTCCCAGCAGCACCTGAGGAGTGTCTCCTGGAGTCTTGGTGCTGGGGAGGGCGGTGAACATAGAGATTGGCAAACGATGCTTTACGCATTTAAATGTGTGATAGATATTGACTGTACAGACAAGTGCTTCCTACCTGGAGAATTCCGAAGGCAAAAGGCTGGCTTGGGCAGCCCCAAACGGCAGGATGAGAGGAGAAAGGAAGAAGCGATTGCAATCTGCCCTCCCACTCGTCGATGTGGCAAATTTCCTGCGGGCCATGTCGACCATGGAAAGGGCAGCTGGGATGAAGTTGTCACGAGGGGACCTCAGCTATCTGGGCAGCCTTTTGTATAATAAAGGGGCTAGAGTGGTAAGAGGCCAGGGGGCGAGGGGAAGACGTGTGTGGGGGTGCGGTGAGGGGTGGCTGCTAGAGGTCAACCAGGAAATGTGCCACTCGCATCAAGGAACTGTGCAATGTGGGATCTGCCCGAGGCTTCTAAATAACCCACTGATGCATCCTGTGAAAGAACCAGCATTTGGACCCCTCCATCATGGGAGGCAGAGGCACAGGGCCTGTCTGCCTTAGCCAATGGTTAGCTTCAGGGGGAACTCCTCTCTGTCCGCTATCCTCTTCCCTTGCGGTAGCCAGGGGACACCCAGAATATAGAGAAGACTGAGGAGATGGGGGAAGAGTGAAGACACTGACCACACGCCCCTCACCCCCAACTTCCCAGCAAGAAAGGCCCGAGCCAGGGCCAGGCAGGCTTTTGAGTTCGATATGAGATAGGCATTAAATTGGACTGGCCCGGACATTTGAATGCCTGAAGTACAGGCGCAATTGCTAAACTGAGACCTGTCACTAAAATCTATGGGGTCTGCCCCAAATTCAGAATAGATCCTGACAGAGGGAGAGTCCACAAAACCTGGTTGTGAGGCAGCGGTTAAAGAGAAAAGGGAAACCCTTTCCTTACAGACTTAGCTCATTCAGTAGACCAGTCTCATAATTAATACTTGCATAGAAATAAACCTTAATGAAATTTTATTAGAGTAACCGTCTTCCTTGCGCGTCAGGAGAGCACTGACTTTCCTGCACAGACCTTCTCCCAAACGGTGAATTTTCCTCAGCCTCTGTTGGGCTGTTTCCTAAACTAAAAGACAAAAATGCTAAAACAAACAAACAAACAAACAAACAAACAAAGAGCATTCCCCCTGAATGTGCCACGTTGACTCCCACCTCTGCCACCTCTGCTCCTGGTACGTAGACTGAGATTAGTTTTCCCCAGGAGCATGTCCTTGATCTTTGTCAAGGTGGCAGCACAAACACACACAAATGCTACCTTGGGAAGAGCGAATACGAAAGAAGCTGCTTGGGAAGTTACAAGCGCGGAAATGGGAATAATTGGCAAGAATAGAACGCATGGGTGAGAGAGAACGGGAGGCAGTGGTTTGATGCCTGGGATGTGGGGCAGAGAGAGGATGAGTTTAAAGGAGAAAGTAAACCCAAAAAATAATACTGGGGGAGGAGGAAGTCAGTTTCCTTGGCTTGCCCTTGACCTTTGTGTCTCAGCTCAAAGGTCACTGCCCCTGAGGGGCCTCCCTGTGATTCCCAATCGAAAGGAGCATTCCCCGCAGTCACTCTCTGTCACATCGCTCCCCTTGGCACTTTTACAGCAGACATCACTCCCTGAAATTATCTTGTTTACTTGTTTTCTATTTTCCCTCTGCAAAAAGATATGCTTCCGGAGAATAAGAGGCTTCCGTACCTTGTCTGCTGCTTATCCCCGGTGCTGAGAGTAGTGAGTGACTCATTGCAGCTTCTTGGCAAAAACCTGTTGGATGCGTAAAGAGCCCCAAATGGCCACAAGCATGAAATGTCTTTAAATTCCTCGCTTTCACCTTAAAAACCTGTACAGATAGAGCATCCCCTCCATTCATGTCTGTGCAGTGCCTTCACATCCTCCAATCTACTGCCACAATTCAAAAGGTTTGCTTTAATATGTGTTCAGCGATTAACACTTTGATGAGAATAAGAATTAGGTTCCTTAATAAGGCGACAGGTTAGAAGGAATGGGACATGCCTAGATGATTAGGGAGGGCTGCTAGGATGAACCCTGCTGAAAGGCCTTTGGGCAACCCCAAGGGAGCATACGGGTCCTGGCCTGTGGCTGGGAAGGCCCTTCAATGGGGGGCGGGGGGCAGGGCACAGTGGGTGCAGAGTTGGAAGTAAAAGGACGTCATGAGCAAAGAAAGCATCAGTTAGGTAGCTTTGCTGGGTGTGTTTGTTTTTATGGCTTCTATAATAAATTACCACGCACTGCGTGGCTTAAAACACCAGAAATTAATTCTCTCCCAGTTCAGGAGGCCAGAAGCCTAATATAAAGGTGTCCACAGGATTGGTTCCTTCAGGAGGCTCTGAGGGAGGAGCGCCCCGTGACTCTCCCCGTTTCCGGGGGTTGCCAGCAGTCCTTGGCATTGCTTGGCTTGTAGCTGCATCACTCCTATCTCTGTCTGTGTCTTCATGTGGCATTCTCTTCTAAGTTTCTGTGTCTTTTTTTTCTCTTCTGTCTCTTATAAGGACATAGTCATTGGATATATAGCCCTCTTTTATCCAGTATGATTTTGTCTTGATCCGTACCATCATTATATTTGCAAAGACCCTATTTTCAAGTATGGTCACATTTTGCGGTTCTAAGTGGGTGTGATCTCTTTGGAGGGGTGGGGTGTTAGTCAACCCACTACCCTGGGGGTGGCATGGCTGTCTCTGATGACCTGGGGGTTCAGCTGCAGGTGGCTGCACAAACACACAACAATGCTGCCTTGGGAAGAGAGAATATGAAAGAAGCTGCTTGGGAAGTTACGAGGGCAGAAATGGGAATAATTGGCAAGGAGAATAGAATGCACGGGTGAGAGAGAACGGGAGGCAGCGGCTAGATGCCTGGAATGTGGGGCAGAGAGAGGGTGAGTTTAGAGAAGAAAGTAAACACAAAAAAATAATACTGGGGTATGAGGAAGTCAGTTTCTGTCTAGTTTTCTGGAGACTGACTTGACTAGAAAGGAATGAGAATAAATTACAGGCAGTAGAAGAGACTTGAAAGGATTTCTAAAGTCACAAGGACTTTTTGAGGGTTTTTAACTGTAGTTCATTTTTGAGGAATCTCCGCAGCATCAAGCCTAAATTTGAAGTTGTTTTTATCTTCCTCCAGTCATTCCATCAACTGGAACCTGAAAATCTCCCCTTCTAATCCCTTAATGATATCTCAAGTAGATTTTCTATCTCTCCAGTTCTTTTGAGGAATTAATAGTGCAATCCAGTTTAATATGTTTAATCTCCAATTCCACCTAAACTCCTTGCCTTTCCCCATATCAGAGGTTAGGCTTATAGCTCAGTGTTGATATATATATGGGTGGGGGTGGGTGTCATCAACCTGAGTTACACACCCCCTCCTCCTCCCTCCCCCACGTCTAGCTTTCTGATGTGGAGACAAGGAATGAGATGTAGGAAGGCTGACATTTTTTTCAATGATTGTATTGGTTAAGGTACAGGCTAAGCTGTTGAATAAGGAAAACCCAAACACAGGGGCTTCTATAAAATAGAAATTCCTCTTTCTTAAATAATAGTCAGAAGTTCTCTGATAGGTAGCTGTCTGAACTCTACAAAGTCATTCACAGATTCAGGTTGACTAGTTGACTCTGTTGCTCATAGCTTGCCTTCTCTTCTGGTCTCCATTCTCCTTTACATGGAGTGGCAAGAATGAGTGAAGTCTTTCTGTGCTTTCTCTGAGTATGTGGACCAAGGAAAGCTCTGGTGAAGCTATACCACCTTTTTCAGGTGCATGATACCACAGTCTCTAATTGCCTATTAGTAAGTGTTACTCCAACAGAAATCTCCTGGAGAGTAGATGTCAGTCCCTCTGTTTACTGACACTGCTGAACTCCAGGGGGCACATGTAATCTCTATGACTTCTCAGAGAGGGGCCACTTTCAGCAGGAGTCAAGGGTCCTGCACATTTCTACATCAGAGCAACTATCCATTTGGGGGAAGAGATGTCTAGTCTCCCTGTCCAGTGTCTGTGAGTAATTCTATTGGCATGCTCTCTTCACTTGGCTTGGGAAGAAGGGGATGTCACCTCATCCATGGGGAGAAGGGGTGCAGTCTTACATCACAAGCACTGGTATCCCAATGCTGCTGATGCTCTTGCTGCTGTCCACGGCATTCTCAGGTGGCTGGGAAATGTGGGGCGAGGTGGTGGTGGGGTGGCACTGTCTGCTTCTACTGCTTTGTAGAATGCCCTGAGAGAGGTGTTTGGCCCCAATTGCTGGCATCTGTATTAGAATATGGGCTATAGAACACTTCCTGGTTCTCAGTTTTAAACCCAACACATAGGAAAAGTCTAGTCAATATGCTATTACATAATCAGAGCCAACAGATGGGAAGGGAAACTGAAATTGTTGGTAAGCTATCAGATAACATGTCCAGTGAGCAACCTAAAAATCTATTCTAAATTTGAACTACATAAATATAGAAATATATGAAAATAGTAACAGAAGAAAAGGCAGAGAATAATTGTATGGCTGTATGCCCATTGGTTCACAAAATCTACTTCATGAAATATATCCTAAGGAAATAATTGTTCATACACATCCTAACGAACTACATGCACATGCTGCTTTTTGTATTGTTTATAATAGAAAAAATTGA